AAAAAAAAAAAAAAAAGAGAAGGGAGGAAAGAGCAGAATAATGTGAAAAGGCAGGCAACAAGCGAGTGATTCGTAATGGTGGAAGCCCTAACGCATTCGCGGCTTTGGAATTAATGATCTGGCACTGCCAGACAACTGTCAACAGCCGGCAGCGACTGTGGGTGAATAGCTATGAGCTAAAGAGAGAAACCAGTGGAGGTGCTTGGAAGGTGCTATTGAGATAACGAAGCCTCCTGTTCCGTGCAAAATACCTTTAGTACAATACGTATTATATATGAAAGTTCATCTCTTATCCAAAGACATTAACTGAACTTTGCATTATTAACACTACTGAACCACTAATAGAGCCATTGCCTCTATTTCTATGAACGTCTTTATCTTACCTATTGATAATATAAACACCTTTCTCTCCTGGCTCTATCCAATTCCCAACCCGACGAATGACGCTAAGGCTTAGGAGGAAGAGAGAATGAAGGAGAAGGAGAAGGAGAAGGACAACGAGCGGATGAGGGATAATAATTTGCCCTGACAGTTCCTAAGCTCTATGTACCTATAATCTTGATGCTAACTCAACTAGGAACGTATATTCCTTGACCGATGATTTTCCTTCCCCCTTCATCATCCTTACTCAGTATCCTTAACGCGCCTAATTCGTCTTTATCTCCCGCGACAAAACCCCCAGATCAATCCCTGGGAGGTTAAAGACGAAATCATCCATCAACATTTACCAATAGGATAGCATAGCATCATGAGGGCGGTCCCCCCTTGTTCTTGGTTTCGTCGGAATGGAGCTCTGGGTTGAAATATGTATATTTATCAAGATTGCGAGAGAATGTAAGACTGCCTCAAAGTTAGAAATACTTCAATGATTCCAGGGGTTCTACTCACAAGATCATGCCAGGCCACGCCGGCATATTCAGAATCACTTTTACCATAGTGCTCGAACCCAAGCTTTTGATAGTATGGCACAAGTCGATCGTAAGTCAGAATTGAGATCCTATTTCCTGCGTCGATCTGCTTCATTCGTTCGATATATGCTCGCATAGCCGCCTTTCCTAAACCAGACCTCTGGTAATCAGGAGAAACGGCAAGGGCATGAAGAGCGATTGTTCTTCCATTCTTCTTGTGGCCCACATCGTAATCGCCCTGGGGGTCAGTCTTCCAGTCGCGAGGATAGTCCATGTCTTCATCTCTGACGGGCTTGTTGGTAGACTTGGTGGAGATGACGTGTGCGAGGAGCACATCGTCTTTGGATTCAGGAGTCTCGACGAAAGGTATGTCTTGAGGAACAGGCGATGGAAGACTAGCCCCAGCGCGAAGGAACAAGCCCATGCATAGTTCGGGGCATACGCTCAAGCGGTAATCGATCTGAGAAGTGTGAGTTTACTTGGTCTTTCAGTGGATGGATTTACGTACCTTTTCTCGAGTTGCTGCCTCGGCTGGTGGAAACGCCGCAGTCTCGACGACGAGTGACTCTTCAAGGTCGTTGATACTGAGTTGCCTAACGTAAAGTGACATTTTGGCTTTGTCCAGTAGTTCGAAGGTAGATATCGTTATGCAATTCCTGGCTGTATTTATATGGTTAGGTAGGTGATGGAGTTGGAAGATCAAGGCGGGGTTTGGTGGGGCTAAAGTTAATTCAAGGGCGCGCTCTTTGAAAAGGCAGGAGACGCTAGAGGTACCATGGCAGGGTCTGGACAAGATCCCTTTTATTCCTCTCATTGGAAGCTATTCCGATGGATGACTTTATGCTCCAAGACATATTCAATATATTAACACGAAGAAGTCGACTCATGTTAATGGGTAGTAGGGAATGAACCCCAAAACTCGGGAACGAGCTGTGGCTATTTTTCTAGACTTCACAGACTCTCTTCTGAAAGAATTTGAGACATGCATGGCAATCAGGGGTGACTTGAGCGGCGCTGTTGATTGCTGGTTGTGAATATGTTTGTGACATCCAAACATAACAAAACTCCACCTCTATCATGTTTGCCGAACCAAACCACCATTCCACGATTGAAAAAGTCTTGAGAATAGGATTTTACTTAACAAACTCCATGGATTGTGTATTACTTCAGGAGTGAGCTCGTAGTTTACAGAAGCGATCTTGCGAAAACGGCGGACATGCTTTGGATCACTCTGCAAACATGCACTCGTAAACGGGCTCTAGGTCATCGGGGTAAACAGATAGATTGCATCACTAACTAAACATTGCTTGCAATAGATGTTTGGGCTCCCTGGCCTTTGGAGGTTGTCGTTCGTCCGATCTCTGCTCTCGACTATCGCTACATTGATATATACAAATTATCTCGGAGATAAACATCCGAAAGGCAACGTGGCCGAGTGGTGAAGGCGCATCACTCGAAACAATGTTAGATATGATGTTCCTTCGGGAGCGTAGGTTCGAATCCTGCCGTTGTCGATTCTTCTTTTTGATGTTTCGTGGTGCTGGGTTCGGCTGCTGTGGACCAGTGGCTAGCCTTTTGCCAGCGGTGAAGCTTTTCGGTGGGACAGAAATGAGAATATATATCAGATAAGATTAAATAGTATGATGTCGGCCCCTTGTTGATAGATTTATCTATAGGAAGTTGTGTTACTGTTTGTTGTAACCAAGTGATGGCAGGAGGCCGTCGCTTGACAACCTCTCGAGAGTCAAATCTCTTGGAGTCGGTCGGTCTGGAAGTTAACAGATATTTTGCAGAAGGAAACCCTGGTTTGATTTATCTCTAACATAGATCTTATTCGTTATATACTGAAATAATGTCTTTATATATATTATATTAATCTAAATAACTTGGCACTATAAACCTACAATACACAGAGTACCCCATCTTTCTACACTTAGCTAATATTCAACTCGCCAACAAGCGCAACAACAGAAGCAAAACCTGCATCAGCCGTAGGCCGGATCGAAAGCACCCTGTTACCCAGATCCCACTCAGCGACGTGGGCATTCTCCTCGGTAGCCTTCTCAGCGTCACCCTCTGGAGTAGCAGGAATACCAAAGACTCGCACAGAACCTCCCGATGTTTTGGCATTTTCAAACATCTCGTCGACTTGTCTAGCGAACTTCGTATCTCGGATGCTGATTTTGAAACCGAGGTTTCGGACCACCACGAGATAGTCTGGGAACGCGAGCTTGCGAGACTCGTCTGAAGCGGTGTTTGACAGTTGGTATCGTCTTCCAGGACTAGGGACGTTCCTTTGAAGTAGTGTTAGCATAGCTTATGGGACCGAAAATCCAGAACTTACCAATCTCCAGCTGGGACCGAAACCGTTTGGATTTCATCATAGGAAAATTGAATATCAAGGCCAGTATCAGTATCGATAGAGTCAAAAGATACCGCCTTCTCGCTTGTGCTTCCCTTGCTGGCGGAGAACGAGAGCCAATGGCCATACGAAAAGCCATCTGTAGCAGCATGACCAAAGTCAGACTCATCAACTTGCTTTCCATCCGCGACGTTAATCTGAGTTGAAGAATCTCCATCACCAACACCGTTTATCCAGTGCTCCACCTGGGATGTGTAGTGTGGTGAGATGAACTCGGGCACGTATGTGATTGCGTGCGGTGTCCTGTCTTTTTCAAGAAGCTCTCGAGTGATCTCAGCTGATGCGTGACAAGCAGGCATAGTGATCCTATGAGAGTTAGATGATGGCTGATAGGTTTGGGTTTGCTTTGGATTCTCACCCGTCAATAGACTGTCCGCCAATAAGAGCTTGAATGATTCTGTTGACATCTCTGGCGAGAGAACTAGCAGCCGGACCTCCAGTATTGAGGAGCATAGCTCTATAATCTGCAGCCACAGCATCAACCTTTTGCTTGGCAGCAGAGAACGCTGGAGCATGTGATGGCCACCACTGAGAAAAGTCTTCGTCTCCAGTTAGTCCATAGCCTTCCTCCTTCTCGAACTTCTCTAGAGCACGTTCTCTCTCACGTAGAGCTTGATCAAGTGCGCTAGTCAGGGTTCGACCAGCCATTGTGATGCGAACCTGCTCACTATCGCCCTGTATCTTGTTAGAAATGCTTGAAGCGACCGCACTGTTTACTTACGACTTTGACGGAGAGAAGATATCTAACAACGGTCAGCTGAATTCTGATAGCCATGGATGAATGTAGTTACTCAAGAAGACATTGGGTGTATGTCTTGTGATGAGACGGATCATAGAACAAATCATTGGTCTGCAAAAAGTTGTTTATGATGTTGTTAATGCCGTAGTTGGTATAAGCAGGGTCAATATCTGGCGATGCAACAGGTGCCTTTTGGGCCTTCTTGGTAAAGAACAGAGCAGGCTTGTGTCCAGGCAGGCCACCAACAGCATTCTGGACTGCCTTGCAGTAGGCCAGCCAAAGGTACTTGTCGACTTCAGAGATAGGCATTTTGGTATTAGACACAAAGGGTATTATGGAGTGAATAGAAAAGACGGAGAAGACCCTGAAAACAACGGCAAAGGGATTGTCGGTTTTAAAGAATTCTGGCAAGTCATGCCTCTCCCGTTGGTAACATCGCTTAGATCTGGACCTGAGACTAACATTTTAGCTCGGTAGGGCCACTAGGCGATAGCTTCAAACTCTATGAGATATGGTGGTAGCCTGGGAGGACTAGCAGGCATCTTGCATCAATAGATCTCGCTCGGAGGACGCGGCCGTAGATCCGGACCAAAGTGGCCTGAGATCCAGCGATAGCTTTATTGATTAGATGATACTAGGAAGCCCGTATTGCTTGCTATCCATGCAACAAGTGTAGGAAATTAATAATCAAAGACCCTACTCGAGAGTGTCATAAACCGACTCAATAATTTTGTCTCTTGTGTTCTTAGCAGTACATATCCTTGGCGCCTAGAGATTACTACCACACTCCATGGCTACCTGCGAAGGACTACCAGCGAAATGATAAGTTGCATCCCCGCTAGTTTGTTGACATCCTCTAACCGAGGTGTCTCAGTTGTTGCCCGCACCTCGTGGTTATTAGTGCAAGGAGTGAACGGCTGAGCAATCTCCCCTGCATTGTCTCGGTTCCGGACCATTTGTCAAGATTCACGAGTAGACGAGTAGGTAGTACATAAAGGTACTTGTTTTCTCTTTCCCCGAAAAATGCACAGCCATCATTCCAAAGGTCGGCAATTCTTGAGGTTCCCCGCGGAACCAATTGCGAAAGTTGGTGGCTTGCGATCAAGGGTCTCTCGGATCTTTACAGAGAGTTTGTGGCTGTAGCACGAGCAACAGTGGAATGCTTACATTGGCCATTGCTAACCATGGGCATTGGCACATCGCAATTGAGATGTCGACATCCGCTGCTCATCAATTTCTGCAAAGCAATGGCATTAACTTGTCCTCAAGCCTGTCTACCCCAGATAAATGCCTCAGCAAACACGCTTTGACAAAGATAGACTGGGTTAGTAGAGAATACTGTTACAAAAAGGCCAGTCTAACCCGACGCCACACCACGTTCTCGCCCAAGGACCGCCAACCAGGCTAAGACCTCGCCAAGAGATGGAACAGAATGCTGCTGCCCATTAACTCTGGGCTAGCAATGAAACAAACACGGGAAAACAGACACATGCTAATTAATCTCGACAACAAAACCGCATCTGGAAAATTCTAGTGCAGACATGAATGCTATCGGACTTGAATGGAGATCCGTGGGCTTGGAACGTGGCGCAGGAGACGGGCGTCGAGAGAAGAGATGTGGGAGTTTGTTTTTCTTGACACGCGGAATAAGGTATAGGTTAACTCCATGGTATTTTGTCAGGTTTTCTCCGGACAGAAGTAGGCAAAGGGTCCGAGTTGATCGCCGATTATCTTTAGAAGCTGAAACATTGACTTTTCTCATCTGACTTTATGATACATAGCGACAATCAGTTTACTAAGCAATTCAAGAAATATTCTAGTTTTCCAGAGATACGAAGCTCATATTCGAGCATATTATTCTACTGAAGTTGTTCCCTGCCGAAATTTGCGAAAAAAACGTGGCTCGGTCGTTTTCCATCCCTACATCGTCGCGACGAGATGCAACAGTCCTGTTCTAGAAAAATATATCCTCCGAGATCACATCTGATAACCAATCGGAAGATACGTAATGCAATACTGCATGAGCAGTCACAGCGTTAAAATTCCAAAATCCTACCTTCTGCTTCAAGTCGTGGATCCTATCCTTCGTGATGTGGGAGAAAGCCGAGCCTCCCCACAAGGCTCGGAAGCTTGCGTGTAACTAACGACACCAAAGAACCAATCGTCGTCACCTTGACTCGCTCAGACATTTTTTACAATCAATCTCATAGGACAATTAACGATATCCCCGGCAGTGCTCCTTAGTGGCCGTCTATGCTTCATGCTTAGTTCGTGGAATATCCCGTCTTTGACTCTATTTGGAGAGGATTGGCGGTTTCGATATCTTTGATGTAACGCGTCACCGGAGACAAACCTCAATGCGCCTCTCTGAGGCTGCGAATTCGATGATGTTGTTGGAGGAAGGCGTGCGGTATGTGGGCTACTATCTGAAATGTTGACGATGAAGCAAGAAGAAGTCTTGGCAAAGAACATTTATAAAAGAGACAGGCCCTTGGCAGTAAATACATATCTCAGAACAACTACACAGACAACCAACTAAGACCTCCATCATTCAACTCTCATTACCAACTCTCAGAAATCCTCACAATGCCTTCTATTAAAACCGTCCTTACCAGCCTCGCCCTCGCGGCCAACATCGCCTCAGCCCATCCAGGACACGACATTGCCCACGAAGCCGCCGAGCGTCGAGAATTCCTCGGCTCTGTCAAGAGATCCTCTCTCGCTCACTGCGCTCCTAAGCTCAAGGCTCGTGGTGTTGAAGCTCGCAATGTTGCCCGTCGTGCAGTCCAAGTCAACAAGGCTCGCCAGAAGCGCGCCTTGAAGAAGCGAGATGCCGACAGCGTCTTGGCCGCTTCTCACAATCAGACTGATCAGGGCTTCACTGAGTGCACTGATCCTGCTACTCTTTTCGCGAGCATCAACTCTTGTGTTTTGACTCCTGAAGTTACTCAGGGTCCTTACTGTAAGTCATCATATACAATACATTTTAAGCGTAGACTAATACCGATAGATGTTGCTGGCGAGTATGTCCGAGAGAATGTCATCGAAGAACAAGAGGGACTCAACATCATCCTCGATTACCAAGTCATCGACGTCGAGACCTGCGACCCTGTTCCTAACGTCTACCTCGAGATGTGGCACTGCAACTCTACCGGAGTCTACTCTGGAGTTATCGCAGGTGGCAATGGCGACCAATCCGACGAAACCAACATCGACAACACCTGGCTTCGCGGTATCCAGAAGACCAACTCTGATGGTGTTGCTCAGTTTGAGTCCATCTTCCCTGGTCACTACACTGGCCGAGCAACTCACATCCACGTCATGGTCCACACCAACGCCACTCTCCTCGCGAACCACACTCTCGGCAGTGACAACTATGCTAGCCACGTTGGACAGGCTTTCTTCGACCAGGATCTCATCGCCCAAGTCGAGACTCTCGAGCCCTACGCTTCCAACACCCAGGAACTCACTCTCAACGAGGATGACAGCATCTTGAGCGAGGAAGCCAAGACCGATGGCGTCGATCCCATGATGGAGTACACTCTTATTGGAGACAGCATCAGCGATGGTCTGTTTGCTTGGCTCGCATTCGGCATCAACTCTACCCGATCCGAATCCGTTACTCCCGCTGCTTACTACTGGAAGGAGGGCGGTGTTGCTAATGAGAACTCTGGCGCTGGCGGACCTGGTGGTGCCGGTGGTCCTCCTTCTGGATCTCCTCCTGGAAGCACTCCTGGAAGCACACCTCCGGCTTCCCCTGACGCTTAAATGGAATACCGATCATATGATTAGTTTTCTTTACCGGTTTACCCAGCATTGCCGAGTCTGTGGCTGTGCCGCAAGATGTTGATTCGTCTATTAGATGTCAGTCTAGTACTGAGTTTGATATTTTGTTGTATACATTAAGTAGGAAGAGCTCGAAGCTGTTGGATAGATGATGGTAATTAAATCTACACTCTTATTCCTACACTAAAATTATATGCTCGCTATATCTACAGCCAGAAGGCCAGTACAAGGCCACTGATTATGCTTAGTGTCCATGTAGCGGCTTCTGACCTCTTAAACTGGGCCTTTTTGTATCCAAATCCCAAGTCAAACACCAAGTGCCGAATTCCATTGATGAAGTGATACGAAAATGGAAATCCCAACAATCCAAACTTGATAGCCGCCTTAGCAACAAAAGGTAACGCACCAAACGCCGATACGAGGGCTGTGGAATCAAAGCCCAGTCCAAGGTAAGGAGCAATAGCATGAGCACCTAATGTGAGATACGCCGTGCCACCAACGAGAAGACCCGTGATTCTAGTCCAGGCTGAAGCGCTGAACCAAATCTGTTCAGTCTTGTAGATGCTAAGGTTGGGGGTTACTGGGCGGTTGAGTCGCTGCTTTACGAGGATTTGCTGGCCTTCAACTAGGTTCAGTCTTGTGATAGTCGGTGCTCTGCAAAAGGTCAGAGTCATGCCCATGTTCGTTTCTGGGTCATGGTGGAGATTTACTGTGACTTCTGTGGGCTTTGTTGTGACAATAAACGGGCGAATACTACTCTGGCGGTGTTACGTGTGAGGATGGTGCTTGGTCTCCCTGGAGCTGCTCATAAGTCAGTATCCGAGCAAGGTCGATAGCTAAGAAAGGCATCGTACCAAGCATTGCGCGAAGGCCAAGTCTTTGCAAACTCATGTTGGGAAAAATAAAGAGTATAAACAAAATGCAAATCAGTCAGTCAAACAGCGCGTAACCGGACTCGACAGTTAACCCACCAGTCATTCGTTCGGTTCCGGGTACAGCAGCGACTTATATACAAACAATATCGGCAACTTCGCGCTTTCATTCCCGGCACCAAAGTTCTTGTAAGTCAATTCGCCAATCGAATCATTGCAATTGCTCAGTTGTCAGTCCAGGCATGACAAGTCCGTGGAGTTTCCGGGTGTTCCCGGTATTCGGTATGCGATGCGCCGGACATTGAACGGCAAGAACGGGCTGTCGGAGACGTATTACCGGCACGACCAAATTTATAAAAGGCTGATTACTGGCATAAGCAATACCTACAGTGCAATTCAGCCATTACAATGGTACAACTGTAGGAACACGGGCTAGTGTCTTCTAGTCGCATGTCAACTTTGAACGCAGTTTCGATCATATTTTAGACACCTTAAATAGAAGCTCGGTATGCTGTTGCCACTATCACATACCCATTTGGGCCGACACCCACCACAACACGGGATCTGCCTAATGCAACTCCCAATTTTGCCTCAATTAATTGCGCAGGTCTAGATTAATCATATTGCCAAGTGTTGTTTCTATTTCAGCCAGGATAAGTCAACATCAAGTTAAGCTCGTAGAGTTTGGAATAAGGTTATGACTAATGATTCGGGTTTCAAGATCGAGGAAGGAACGTCGACAACCTTAACCTTCCATTTTTACTGTTGGCCAACTCATATTTATTCCAGTACTGCGCTATTGAATAAATGCGCGGATCATTGGAGGAGATCAACTTGCAATTAAAGTCGAGACGACCGACAAGTTTCAGCCTTTCAGCTGCATCCCGAATCGCGTTGGCTCAAATGCAATGGACAAGGATGGATCCATGCTCCAGAAGGGCTGAATGACTTGACCGCTGGAGCCTAGACTAATAACCTGAACACCTCACATCACTTTAGGTTAGCATCTAGACTCGTAATTTATGTCAGTCTCAATCTTAGGCAGCTTTTGTAATACCCGCTAACCGGTTATTCACCACCATCTACTGGCGCAATAAGCTTAAATATCCTTCCTTGTTCTCTCCGCACCTGCAAACTGAAGTGCTGGTTCTTTTTTTCTTTCCTCTTTCCTGTTTCTTTGCAGTAAAATGCGCTTCATCCAGTCAACACTCATCAGCCTAGGGCTTTCAGTCCTGGCAGCTGCCTCTGATGAAGATGTCGTCTCATTCCCTGCCATCGGAGAAGTTGATGTCGTCTTCCCACGAAACGATACATACGCCGTAGAAGCGCCTTTCCCTGTTATTTTCGGCCTCCAAAACGCCCCAGTCTTGACCACTTTCAGCGGCACACTCAACTGGGAGCTTAACTGCCGCTACACGCTTTTTGGCATCGGAAGACTGTACCTGGACTTCATGCCTGACTCCGAGCCCTACTACTTTCTCAACACCAGCGACGCCAAAGCCGATCCTGATGAGGACCAGTTTCAATACTGGCGCGAAGAGGAAGACTCTTGTATGCTCAAGTGGGACTTCCGATGGACTACCGTCTGCGAGCCTCGATCTGACGGAAGCGTTCTTTTGAAAAACAATCAATTTGAACGCTCTGGAAATGTTACTTTCAAACTCCGTCCAGGCGCAAAGACTGCTCGTAAGGCTATTTCCGAATACGACGATTGTCCCATTGCCGGCACTGCCATCAAGCTCGAAAGAAATCACACAGTTGGGTGTCCCATCCTTGCGGGAGATGCTTCACCAAAGCCAAAGCCTTGTGGCCTCGATGTCAAGAAGGCTCGAAGTAGCCTCGCAGAGGCCGTGGCTAAGCCTACTACCAGTCTGACTGAAATTCCGAGCAAGAGTACAGATGCAGTTGTGGCAACGGGAACGAATAGCGGCGCTGCGCCGACGGATATTGGAGTGTCAACAGGCAATGGTGCGGATAGTGGTGCTGACAATGATAATGGGACACAAAGCCTCAGCTTTGGTGGTATGACTGGGATTTTGACTTTACTTGGTGCTCTTTCTTGCAGTATTGGAATTTCACTGTTCCTGTAGCATTTGCTACGTATAAATCCAAGGCTCCTTTTCACTACAACCCATTAAGTACCATGAAGGCTACATTCAAGTTTGTTGGATTTATCATATCTACTGGACTACCTATATAAGCCGGAACTTCTGTAACCGAGTGCCCCTCTCCTTTAATGCCGCCTCCGATATTCTAGGATCCTTCACTGAAAAGTCATGCCCATCTTTGCCCCAGACCGGCATGCCACTTTGCGCTCCATCGAGGATAACCTCCATAAACCCGTCGGTGAATGGAACATCGTCTAGCCGAGGGTCTGTGTAACGAATAGGATGCCCTTCTTTGCAGAAACCATACATCATAAACTCCCTGTTCCATAGCCTTTGCCAGCCGTAAAATTCATCGCCGAGAAATGCTTGAGCTGCCGAGAAGCCAGGATGGTAGCCTGCGCCTATAACAAGGTAAGAGTCATCTGCGGCCCGAGGTCGTAGGATGATCGATGTGGTCAAACCGAGAAAGGTAGCGACTATATCCCCCTTACGCGCCTGCATTGGAACACGAATGAAATCTCCACGACGGGTCTTTACACACCCATATGCCGAGCTCCCTACGGGCAAGGACTTTATGTACCCATCGTCGGTCTCCCTTGGATCCTGTGTATCGTCCGCATCGCCCTTTATCCATTTACGTATCTTTCCTCTCCAGCTTTCTAGACTTCGAAGTGAGTGGGCTTGAGGCGCGTGAAGCCTCTCTGTGCTGTAGTCCCTCACACTTCCCCATGTGAACATCAGGATCAACTTGTCGAGAGCCGCGTCATCCTGGAGTGACTCTTCCTTTACCAAGGACAGGAAGGTATCAAGAGTTCTTTGCCGAAACTCAGCAGCCGTTTCGACAAGTGCTTTGCAGGGAAGCGCTTGTGGTTCCGTGAGGATCTCATCGCATGTGACTCCCGTCACCTCCAACACATGTGGCTCGACGAGACTCACTGCAGGTGCCGAATTACCTGCTGCATTTGAATCTAAAACAAGATTTCCCCACGTTCTTTCCAGATCCGCTACCCAGCTTGGACTTGTAGCTGCGTTACAGAGCGTCATAAAATCGAGATCCCGCTGTCTTGTGATTTCATCGAGACAAACCGAGGTGAAGATGTCTTTCACAGACCTGGTATAGTCTACCTCGATCGACTTAGCAACATCTGGCTCGACTAAGCCGCGTAACGCGTATATCCTGTCCCGATCGTCAGAGCATTCCATGTATCCTGTGACAGTAAGAGCCCCAAGCCAATATTCGCTCTTTTGTTCGTCGTCAGCGCAAGCCAGTATTCTGCCTCCAACGATTTCTGCGTTGTTATCGTATGCAACAATATCATCGACAGCATCGCGCGGTGGGGGCAGCAGGAAGAAACAGATAAGGCTGACTGCATGACGGAAGTCTTTCCAAGATATCTCCTCATATCCTATCATCACCACGCTCGTCAGCTTATTTGCCAACACGGCCTCCTGGTGAGTCCACAAACGTCTATGCCAGTCTAATGCTAGCAGTTTATCAACGGCTCTCCGCTGGTGAACAGTCAGTGGGAGACTATCTCTGGCCATGACCCCATCATTAGCGGAATCTCTAAAGGTGAAGATCTCTCTGCGAATATTATGGTCCATTTTGACCGATTCGACCAAGTCGGCATATGATCTCAGGGTGTCTATGGCTAGAACACTCCATGAGGTTTCTGGTCCTAGCCACATTACTACACTTGAAGCGCAGTGATATATATGATGCATCATCTGAACTTGGGTCGCGCGGTCGTGAATGTCGGCCTGGTTGATGCAGATAGAGTCACACCAAAGATTCCGCTTCTCCTGGGGATCTCGAAGAGCTCGCAAGGCTGCAGCTAGATTTTTACCGATAGGTAGCTGTCCCATGGAGGTCTGAAGGGAGCCATCGGAGTGAATATGATGCTCCTGTGCTAGTGTGATAGAGTCTGGTTGAGACTGATCGCCCCAGCAGTAAGATATAGCATTGTAGTATGGTATCTCTTCCTCATCGGGCAAAAACGTCCGGTGCAAAATGGTACCTATGAGAGGGTCTGCAGGCTGTCCAGGATTCAGCTCAAGTATGCGAATATCTGAAGGTAAAAGAGCGGGGTATTGAAAACGCGCCTCCGGTTCGTTGTTATAGATACGTTCTCTCTCAAGTGTTTTAGCCTCGGCGACCATATCTGGTGCCATCGTGACGGATTTGGCCTGGCAAATATCAGTTGTCTGTGGAATGGTGGTCACAATACAACGGATCAGTACCAGGATTATTTTCCAAGCATGTTGGGCGGGGTAGGGTTAGCAAAATCGCATGCAAACACAGATATAAATTGTTGATACTTTTGACACTCAAGATCAAGTTACTTCGACATGACAGTACAAAGAGAAGGTTGCTGTAGGCTACTTTGTCCGCGTACTGCAATGATTAAATAGCCGATATTTAGCCCACGAGAATCATTTCTCCGGTCTTCGGACTCCGATCTTGATGTCATTGTCTAAATCTCTCAATTTACCTCTAATTCAACTTTACAACAAATCGAGGACGGAAATCATAATGGTTGATTTTGTCAAGGTCTACTCGACCGTTTCGGGCGATTTGCTGACGCTGCTGAGCCATCAGTTACCATATTCGTTACCCCTCCTTCGTCGACTACAATTCGCCCAACTGGAGGGAGGATTACCGCAAACTGCAAAAGTCATCTTGGCTGCAGATTCTGAGCTTAGTGACTCAAAGAGTCCAAAGAAATTCACGGTAATGTACGTCGACGTGGGTGGGGGACCGGACACGCAAGCCTGGGTGTATTCCACATACGAGCACCCAAAGCTGGCTACGATAGAGGACACGACCATCTATGAGCAACAACTTGATAGGATTGTCCAAGAAAGCATAGGAATAGCAAAGGAGTATGGTCAAAAGCTTTCATACGGTGATGCTGTTCTAGTAGGGACAATTCACGATTCTGTTCGTGAGCTTCTTTACAAATCTGGCCGAGTCGAGCCGAGAGAGACGGGAGCATACGATAAGTGGCTGTTCAAGTACGAAGATTTGCCTAAAGATGAAGTGGAACTACCCAAGGGGATGTACTGGGCGACAGCGACCGAGGATGATTGTCGGGTGGTCATTTCTCGAACAGATATCCCTAGGACAGTGTAGGTTTTGTCAGCTTGCAGTATGTACCTCGCTGATGAGTTTGCACAGAAAAGCGTTGAGTCGCATGCCAAGTCTGGTAATCAAACTCGAAGACGGGACTCCTATATCTTGGGCATTCCTAGGTATGTGCTCTGAGGGTTGAGAGTGCGGCTCGATTCTAACGTGTCTAGGTTTCGACGGTTCGTTGGTCAGTCTTCACTGCGAAGTAAGTTTGCCTTCTCCAGAGATAAGACGGCAGCTGATTGTATGTAGGAACCATATCGACGACGTGGACTGGCAAAAGCACTCGCTGCGAAGCTATTTCGGGAAAGGTCACTCGAGTTTGCGGACGATGGTTGGTGCTGTGCTGATGTTGCGCCTGATAATGATGGAAGTAGGGGCATGTGCAAGAGATTGAATGGAAAGCCCTATTGGAGGATTTCCTGGTAAGTTTCTGCGAGTAACCTTTAATGGGACTTTGACTGATGGCTATAGGGTATTGTTGTACGTTGGAGAGAAACCTCCGAGCCACACGAACGGAACGACATGAAGAGCAAGTACAATAGTTCGAATCAAGGAGCATACCAAACAGGTTGACGCAGAATGACGAACTTGAAAAGAGATAGAGTCATGTTAATTACGCAATAATTAGAATAGAGAATATCATACAGATCTTGGAAATCCAACATTTGGGTCACCGGTATGGAGTCACCCAAGCCTGTTCTCATACCTCAACAAGTACGAGTCATGATCGGCAATCCTTGACTTATCTGATCTATGAACAAACTCATGGTCCATTAATCGCTCAGGCCTCCTCCGAGATGAAGCGCCGGCAATTTTCAGGTCACGAGCAATAGTTTGTCACAGTTGGGCTGTAGTCCCCAGTGCAAAGACCAACTCTTGGTCGAAGCCCAAGCTTTGATATCCTGGAGTTCGGCGATATCGCGGAAGCTTCCGCCTACTGATGAGCTTAGGCTAAATGGCAAAGCTTATGTCTTTTTAGGAGCATTTAACGTTGGAATTTAATCTATCTAGATTGAATATTGTATTGATCCTTGGTGGACTGAGTGTCTGGGGGATGCCTTCTGCTGTCACACTGGGAGTTGAGGTTAATTGACCCCTAGCGTGCCGAGTTCTTTACCCGACTGTTAATCTCTGCCAAGTAGCTGTCAAAAATAATCCCCGATGAGCTATTATTTCCAAGGATGCTTATAGAATACCAATTATCATCCAATCGCATCACAACCAAAAGTTCCGAATGTCTATCAATATCGTGACTTCAAAAGCCGAGAACAGCCTGATTTCCGGTTATTATGGTACCTGAAACGGTTCAACTTTGACACCTGGTCCTGGCTTTTTGCATGTTTCAAATTGAAGAGAGAAGTTCTAGTCGAGTGCCAAGATGGGTAAAAGTACCGACAATCAACACCAAAACGATTGCACTTGTTTCAATCGAAATTAAATATGGGTCATCGCTGACGAAAAAGAACAAGAGAACGAAAATGACTGTATTTGACAGGAAACGACGTGATTATTGTTACAATTAATGTTTGTAAACTACTGTTTCATTCCAAGAGAAGGGACGCGTTCAAAACACCAAACATAAGATTCTCAACTATAATATCCCAAATATTCCAACATCCAAGTCTCACAGGTGGTGTCATGACATTCAACATCGAGCAATGCCAAGGTCAGAAATACTACCCAAGATCTGTCAGTTACGTTTAGCCGAGGGAGATATCATCATGAGGCTGAAGAACGGCATAATATCGTCTTGGCATATCGGGTTCCTCGTCCCACAATCGCTCCACCTTGATTGCCCAGCCGGCATTAACGCATTGAACGCCTTGTTTCATAAACATGAAGATATCGCCAAGTCGGTCGATAAGCGGACGGAAAAACTATTCAGTCGATCCTCCTTCATCAAAAGCTTAGGCCATGGGCCGATCGGAAGTCCGGCCCGCATCCTGGTAAACAATACGTGATGGTTGTTTCAGCCTCAGCAACCATGTGAAACAAGGGACTTCACTATAGACTTGATCCAATTATATATCTTGGCTTCTTCTTCCACTTCTTGGTTCCAAATCATCCTTTCAGCTCACCATCACTCGCTTTCTATTCAATCTTATACATTCTTTTCTCTTTCAACTCTGATCTGGAATCACCTTCATTTTTTTGACAAAATGGTTCAAATTACTTCCTTCGTCTTTGGGCTGTCGCTCGTAGCTGGTTCTATCGCCGCGCCCTCTCCCGAAGGCCTTTTCTCTAAGCTTGCCAAGCGTGGCGGTACTCCCAACAGCTCCGGTACTCACGATGGCTTCTACTACTCCTGGTGGTCTGACGGTGGTGCCGAGGCCACTTACGAGAACGGCCCTGGCGGTTCTTACACCATGTCTTGGCAGACTGGTGGTAACGTCGTCGGTGGAAAGGGTTGGAGCCCCGGAAAGGCTCGGTAAGTACCTGTTCTAAGTCATCATGACACTATACTAACATCAATAGAACCATCTCTTACGAGGGAGAGTACAAGCCCAACGGCAACAGCTACCTCTCCGTCTACGGATGGACCCGCAACCCTCTGATCGAGTACTACATCGTCGAGCAGTTCGGTGACTACGACCCCTCCACCGGTGCTCAGAAGAAGGGCACCGTCGAGGTTGACGGCAGCACCTACGACATCTTCACCCAGACCCGTACCAACGCCCCCTCCATCGACGGCACTCAGACCTTTGAGCAGTACTGGTCCGTCCGCAAGGATCACCGATCCACTGGTAGCATCGACGTCGGTGCTCACTTCGAGGCCTGGGAGAAGAACGGCATGAAGCTTGGTACCCACGACTACCAGATCCTCGCCACTGAGGGTTACTTCAGCAGCGGATCTTCCCACATGACCGTCTCTGAGGGCGGTGCTTCTTCCGGTGGTGGTGCCTCCACTGGTGGCAACACTACTGAGCCCGAGACTGGTGCCGGTAGCGGCGGTGATGCTCAGCCCGGTGCCGGCAACGGTGGTGACTCTGGTGCTGGTAACGGCCAGGGACAGCCCGATGCCGGAAATGGTCAGCAGCAGCCCGGCGCCGGTCAGGGTAACGGTCAAGACCAGGGTCAGGGACAGGGTAACGGCCAGCAGCAGCCTGGATTCGGAAGCCCTGGCCAGCAGCAGGGTGGTTTCCAGCCTCAGCAGCAGGAGGCCGGCGAGTCTTGCCAGCGCAAGTAAGGTGGAAAGCTAGGAACCTGAACCAGGACATCTTCCAAGGCGATCGAAAGTTTGGCTAGTGTTGGATGATGGGTATCAAACAACTTCTTGTACCTTTTGTACAGAAGTGAAAGGATCCGTATTTATTTCGTGTATATATGAAATACTTGCTTGCAGATTACTGCGACCACTCAGAATTGTCTCCAGACTCCAAGTGACTTAACTGATCACATTCATGTTGTTTGTATTCTTTCTTTTGTGACATGCTGACACTGAGAAAGAATAGCGAGAGAAGTAAAAAACAGTCCGTTACGCCTACCGTCCTAATTAAAAAGAAAGACAAGAAGAAAGACAAAAAGCCGAGGAAAGAAGGCAGAAACACATAACAAGAGCACCAAAGCAAACGACACAGCCATACCATAACCATTCCACACCCATCTCATCGGTTCTCGTTGGACCACTCGTAACTGCCATCAATATAGTTGAAATAGTACCAACGACAAAAAAGCGTGTGCCAAAACATTAAATGTCCCATGCGCATGGGAGGTCTAGTGAGTTGTGGTGGGGGACCGGGAAGTGGAAGAAACTCAGGACCAGGTACAGGCATGATATATGCTTGACGGACTGGATCAGCCTCCTGTGCCGGGGTCTGAGTTGTCGTCGGGGGAGTAGAAGGGCGGACAGGAGGAGGAGGGCGAGGGAGAGCGAGGCGCTGGACAAAAACAGGCGGAGCCTCTCGAGGAGGAGAGGCATCCTGTTGCGCTGGAGCCTCAGTACGGAGCGGAGGGCCACCCTTGCAAGGGCAGTCTCGGCTGCGATGGTCCTCTGAACCGCACTATACATAGGTAGGTATCAGTTTCAAAGTTCCAGATATGTCGTGGGAGAACTTACATGGAAGCAGCGTCTGGGGGGCTTGCGGACACGACAACGATCCTCACCACCTCCACGGCCGCCTCGGCGATCACCTCCACCCCGGCGACCGCCACCACGAGCGCCTGCTGCGTGAGCTTCGGCCAGGGCTTTGCCGATAGTACGGCCGACACGCGCGCTATCGTCAGACATCTAGAATGAATGTTAGTGGCTGTGGACGCCGAGTGTTTGAGATGTAGAGAACTGCCCTCAACTCGCAAGGGGTGTTTGGGGTGAGGAGATGAAAACGTACCTTTCTAGTCTGATATATCGTCACTGTATTCTTTTTATTCTTTGCGAGACGTCTCTTTGTGTATGGAAAGAGGTATGATGTCGTTGCGATAATGGAGGCGTCGGGCTATACTCAGGTGTACTGTGGTATGCTATGTAGATGACGAGGAAAAGAACAGAGGAAGATGAACAGGGGAATAACGGCAAAAGATTCGATAGTGTAGGGAAGCCCTAACTCGTGACGCGTGTTGGTTTATTTCATAATTCAATCTCAAGTTGCGGGTGCCAGGCACTGCCAGACACTGCCAGCTGCAACTAACTGCCAATAGCGGCTAAGATAATTGCAAGCCAGATCTTGCCAGTAAAAGAAAATTAACTTGTGATAGGGAAGTAAAGTATCTCAGGTATATTGTATGCTCCCTTTATCCTATGTCGATAGTACAGAGATTACCTCTGGTGCATTTACCGGCCAAGGCCTTGACGGTGGTAAACACAGAGACTTCGCAATGTCTTGATAGCATGGTAACATATTAAACTCTACGTATACTTCCAACGTACTTGTCTGAGTCTTTAGTTGGCCTAGAGCCTTGCAACGGTATTCTGGAAACGTTCAAATGAACATCGCTTACAAACTATGATCTGTTGCCTCTGCGATAGCAGCCTCACTTTGATGTGCAATAGGCCGTTTCAATAACCTCGGAGTGCACCCAATATTGATATGAGTATTCATAGGCTTGTAAAGTTAACGTCTAAAGTACCTTAACTTGATTCCATCCGAATTACCCCTGGCCACCAAGACTTGTTTGGCATTCCATTATGCACTAATTTGATAACCTCTTCAAGGGAAGCAGAGACTCAAGGCCGGTATTGGACCTTCATTTTCACTGTGTTGTCTTCGCAAGTAGGGTCAGAACTCAGCTGCCGAAGGTGTAGAGCTGGTAGGATAGTTGAGACCTTGAACCTTTTGTTCAACTTCACGCACTTCGTGAGCGGAATTCGTCGAACTTTGAGTTGGTGATTTGGGGCCAGTTTAGCCCATTGTTCTATCACTTTCTCCTCCAAAGTGAACCGTTCGTCGGTGCATCGCCATGTGATTGTAAGTCTGGAGTGACCTTTGGTGCATCGGAATAAACATCCGAATCCATCGCCAGCATCCCATAGTTCCACAGTCCGCAATGCAGCTAAGTATCTTGCTGCGTCACCAACGAAGCACAAACATGCTGTCACTGCCCCTTGGTTCGATCTGCGGCCAAGGTACCTTGTCCTGAAAGCTAGGTTCTCAAGCTTGGAGTCCTGGCGCCTACCTCCTTCCATCATTTCAGCGAAAAACCAAAACCAATTGATAGATTTGTCATATGGGAGGAAGCACTGAGTAAAGTCATGGCTGGCCTTGGCCAAGAGCCCCGATATTTGTTCTCCTGCGTGGAAGGAATGTTCAGTACTGGGACAGTGGCAGCGAATCTCCAATGACCCCTCCCAAGAAGATAGTGCCTTGAGGAGAACTTCCATAGCTTGCGTAAAGGTCTCATTATTCCTGTGCACAAGGTGTTAGCCGTGTCCAAAGCTGGGAGGAAAATGGCGCCTCCTACTGGGTAACAGTCGTTGCGCTCTCTGGTGTGTCTGCTATACACGGGGTGTATGTTGCAAGCTTGATGGTCAACAACACACGAGTTATATAATTTAACCTGATAGCGTTCTCTCCCAGAATGGTTGTTGAAAAGGTAGACAAATCCGTCGCTTCTAGATCCAGTGTTGAAAATGTTTCTTTCTCGAAAAAGTCTTGCCACTCTTTGCACACAGTGGTTAGTAGAGATGCTGGAGGGAAACCGCGGTCGCTGGTGGATTCTTCGAGTCCATATCGAGGAACGATACATTCTAGAATTAAGAGACGAATCTCTAGAGGCATTGATCTCTAAGAGGACGCTATAGTGGGTGACGCAGTACAGCTGGATTTCTCGTTGTATGGAGGAATCACCTCGACCGGCGTGATAATGCAAAACTGAACGGGCTTTCTATCGCTATGGAACGGAGCGATGTGGAGGGATGAGAGTCAACTGACCTGCTACTCTTGCTGGTCGATGTGGTTTTACGAGGCAGGACGGGAGGGCTAATGACCTCCCTTTCTGCGCGTGCGCGTGAGTCACTGTTGGCGATAGTTAGAGTTCAGTGACTGTGGGCGACTTCAACTGAGATTGATAAACCTTTGACCTGCCTGGAGAGGTTAACCTTCAAGTCGAGATGCTAGCCCATCATTGAACGGAGGGCAAGAGAGTTCAAGCACCGCAAAGGAGGAACAGGCTTGTGTCTCTAACACGATACTCGATCAGACATCGCCTGGCTGAGGGTCAAATATGATATACTGCCCAAATTACGCGGATTATCTCTCTTATTAGGCTATTAGTAGTCATATAAGGGATGCAGGTCGTACCATGGAATAGGGCAAGATAGAATTTCATTAACCGATAGTGAACTTAAGCACGGTGAAAGCTTATGCACGTTTGTCCTTGTACTTTGTCTGACCTGCTCCTACACAAATTCAAAAACAGAAGATATACGGATCCCTAGTGCATATATCTCCAGGTCACAGCCTTGTCTCCCTTGGCCGAAAGCTCCTCTTCAGATATTGTCTCGTGTTCGCCAGCCGCCATCCTTCTCTCACGACTTTTGTTGATACGGCTATATCCAAAGATCAAGATAAGAGCTGCGATGATACCACCACCAATAAAACCAAGTTCCAAAGCATGACCCAGGATGTAGCGAGGTCCGTCCTTTTGTCGATAGAAGTTCGATGCCATAGCCTAGTTCTGTAAGTAAAAGAAACAATACAGTTGACCAAGAGTACTTACGCCGCCAAGGTTTCCAACACCGATTTGAATAGCCATACCGACACTTCGTTTGTAGCTTCCGGACAGATTGTTGGCCAACCATGTGATGACTCCAGGGAATGCTGGATAGATAGCGCAAGCCGCAATGAAAACGCCGCCATACACGACCTTTGGATTGGTGGTGGAAATGCACCTGTTTCGATTGTTAGCGTGAAGTTCTTAGAAAAAGCTGCATCAGGGACTTGCATTGAAAAACCGACGATCATGATGCAGAGGAATACTACGATGAAAGGACTCCTCTTTCCAACCCGATCTGATGTCCAGGCAACAATTACAGCCAGGATAGCTGCAGTGATGTAGATAGGTACAGTCATCAGTTGAGCGGTGCTCGAGCTGTAGCCAAGATTTCGAATAATAGTGGGCAAGAAAAGGCTGATTCCATAGAGTGGGCAAACAATCTGTTGATTTGTCAGTATTCCTCTCAAAGCGTAGGTGATGTTTGACTCACTCCCCAGTAAACAAAGATGTTGACCCAAATTTGCCAGTCTTTGAAGGCGTCCCAGACATAAGTCCATTTGAACTCATCGGTCTGGGCAACACGAGACTGGCTTTGACCCTGATATTTGAGTCGGAAGACGACGAAAGCTCGCTCCTCCTCAGTCAAAAAGCCTGCTGTCTCGGGGAAGTCGTAAAGAGCCCAAAAGGCAAAGACAGCGACCAGAACGGTGACAATACCCTCAAGAATGAAGATCCAGCGCCATCCTTCGAGTCCACCGACACCGTCCATCTTTCCAATGGCGAATGCAAGAAGACCGCTGAATGCACCGGCGATAGAAGCAGCGGAAAAGAAAAGGGCCTGTCGGAATTGGATCTCATGCCGGCAGTACCACATTGTAAGGTAATACTATCGATGCTGCAATTAGTTTCCATGCTCAAGGTCAATGTTCTGAGGACTTACCGCGACACCAGGGAATAGACCAGCCTCGGTAACACCCAGGAAGACTCGAGCGATAAGAAGGCCAGTATAGTTCTGAACGATACCCATCAAGGTCATCACAAGACCCCATGCTACCATGATTGTAGGAAGCCAGATGCTTGGGCGGAGCTTTTTGAGGAGCAGATTGGAGGGGACTTCGAAGGCGGCGTATGTAAAGAAGAAGACGGTGAGACACCAGTTGTATTGGTCCGGACTCATTTCGAGATCCTCCTGGAGGCCTTCAATCTTTGCGTTTCCGATATTTCCTCCTAAGAAAGAGGTCAGCTTGGGTTCTGAGATCAGATTGGCGGCGACGTACGGTCGAGGAACGAGAGAAGATAGAGTAGTGCAAGCATGGGAATCAGGCGCAAGTCCATCTTAACAAGTATTAGCTAGTGCAATCTTCCCGTGGAGTATCGGATATACCTTTCGTAGAATCTTCTTCTCATCGAGATGGGAAAAAGACTCGAGTGTCGTCCCAGGCGCAGTTGCCATAGCGCCGATGCGCCCAACCTGTCCTTTAACGTGGCCATGATTAGGCGCTGTCTCTGCTTGGAAGACCTCTGCCTTTTCATTCGGTGGCGTAGAAGAAGGTGCCATGACTGAAGCCGTTGAACATTGACACCAAAAAGAATTGCTGGAGGCTTGATCTGAACGCCAAAAACGTGGACGATCAACGTCCTTAAGTACGTCAAGGAACCCCCATGTCTTTCCCCATGTTTTCCCCGCAAGATTCAGCAGCTGGTATTGCAGATCTCTGGTCTAACGTTGAATCGGCCCTAGAATGTGGGCGTGCCACAGTCGAGGAACCGGCAGACACGACATTGTGACCAGGGAGGGGCGGAATTGGTCAAAAATTGCTGTGGGATGGAAAGAAGGTGATATTTAGTGAACGCTTATCTGGATCAAGAAATTGAGACTGCGAAGATGCTGATGACAGATCCACAGCATAGCAGGGATCGGATCCGATGTTGTCTCATAATCGAGTCATTCTGCCTTCATGATGGTTTTTATCGGGTTCATCTGGCTTTCGTTTGGGGAGCTCAAAGCTTTCATCTTAGGCATAGAACATAGAAAAAGAAATCATCTACCTTGGTACCACAAGTAACGATGTTGAACCGTCCTCTTTTCTCCTAGAGTCACGCTTCTCATGCCCTCTCGGAAGTAGGCGTCATCTCAACAAACGGTTCCGAAGATCCCTGCCAGGACATGGCTTTCACCTTTTCCCATCGATTGGGTTCAACTAATCCAGTGGCGGCGCCCGTTAACAGCTTGACGCAAGGCAACATTCAAGGCTACCATTCTCCCGTAACCTTAAGCTACCGTTTAAATGGTATCGCTCATTATTTGCCCGTTTGTTGTCTCCAAGTTTGGTAGGTGAAGTGAGCGACGATCGCATCCCTAACCCAGTCCACTAACTCCAGTGACACTACTCCAGATTCACTGAACTTGGCGATGGACACCACTAGAACTGGAGCTACCCCGCATCCCATGCCAGTTCCCTGTTCTTCCCTCAAAAGTGGAATCTCTCGTCAACAACTCCCGGATCCGAAAAGCTTCCATCTCGTACCACTCTTACTACCGTCCGAGATGAGCGGAACGGTATTGTAGCGAGACAAACATGCCAACCCGCCTCGTTACGCGCCGTACCCAGTTTTCCAGCTGCGACGAGTGCCGCCGATCACGTGTAGCGTGTGATGCTCAAAGCAACGCCAACAATGCAGAGGGAGGATCTTCTCCACAGTGTACACGATGTCGGAACCGAGATAAAGCCTGTACCTTTCAGGTATGGGAACGTCTTAAGTGCGGTTTCGATCCATAGCTGATTAGCTGTTTTTATAGTGGCTTCAAAATGCCAAAGCGAATGGCTCGGCAGGCGCAAAGCGGCAATCTCGCAGGAGGACCGTATCACGACCGACAAGTGATACATCGTCAACGCGTGAGGGCGGGAACACGGATGCTCCTGAAAGCCTAGATCCTTGCCAAGCTCGTTCTACAACAGCGGATGACGTTCCAGAGTCGGTGCCGCAGCCATGGCACACAGTCACTAGGAGCTCGATTGACGGTGTCGCGATGAATGATACGGATGCAAAATGGCTCGAAACAATATACAGGGAAGGTTTTGAGGCAGTCTTTGGCTCGTGGATGGGCAAATACAGTTGTCCCTTCTTGTAAGTCTCACCCAGTTATGTTAAAGCCAAAGCTCACAGCTATAGATTTGGTGATACTCGAGCCGAAAAATATGTCAGCATATCCGATCTCTGTCGTCACCTAGACGGGTGTATAGTGGATCCTGGAAACAGTCAACTCGTTCGCAGATGTGAACAAGCCGAACAGAGTCTCCAAAGCACTATCTCTGCCTTCGCCGCGCGCTGGCTCCCTGTGACCTCTCTGGAGACTGATGAAGACCACTGTAATCTTGTACAGAGCCTTTGGAGATATGCAAGAAGAGACATGTTACGCGTCATCAATAGGCCATGCTACCGATCGATGCTTTCACTTTTTCTTTTCGCTTTAACACCAATACCTGAAGGGATTTCAGAGGACGAAGAGGCAGATGGCATATCTGGCCAGGCGTGTGTTCATGCAGCGTTGCAGCAAGTTCAGACTCTACGAGCTCGCCAGAAGAATCTTCAATTTAGCGGCTCTAAAGTCTCTCCTCCTCTAAGATCAGATACCATCGTCACAACACCTGAATCGATCGAGTCCTCTGGCTTCATCAATGCCGAAAGTACTGTATACTGGGCAGCCCTGACCTTCGATACCTCGGCTTCTTTGACTCTCAACTGCCGCCCCCTGCTATCATCCGGCTTGTTCGGTTTCGAGTCTGAACTCCCTTGGCGTTTGGTCAGGACCTGTGCAAAGATGTTTGACGAAAACGCTCCACAGTGGAAGCAAGCAAGCTCCAGTATGACCGATGAAAAGGCAAATCAAATCATCGCCGCTGGTGCCTGCTGGAAGCTTCTCGGCTGGAAGCTTACCGCGGTATTCAAAGAAGCGCTGCGTGATGGCCATGAAGAGCCCGAAGTACGGAAAGCCTATTTCGCTGTGGTAGATTCCATCAAGCAATTTGGTATCATCTTTCGCCCACCTTTGGACGAATGCCACAAGAGGATGCCTTTTCTTGGCCAGCAAACCAAGCTGCGATGGTGTAAGTATGGGATAATGTTAAAGTAAGGGCGATATTAACCGACGATGCAGTTTCTCTCATGCTTCACTACCACCTCAGCATACTGATGCTAGTCGATATGATAGAGGCTACAGATCGCCAAGACCTGCTCCCAGACATCACAGATATAAGCATTGACGCCGAAAACACAATCATGAACACACTAGCCTTTGGACTGCACAACACCTTCACACTGAAGCGGCCCCGCGATGATTCGCATGTTGGAAGCAAGACAGTATTTACAATACCCATCGTTTCCATTGATCCATATCCGCATCACGCAGTTGTAGGCATACAGCTATTACGGAAGGCTATTGATCGCGATTTTGCGTTAAGTAAGATTACAGAAGATACGCATGAAAGTCTATTGTCGACATTGGAGGATACATTGAAACACCTACCGCAGAGTTCGAAGTCTGTTCAAGCCGCGATAGAGAAGCTCGCAGATGTTTCGGACACAATGGCATCCGTGCACCAGATACCATAGTCAGGATGAAGTCTTAATTTCCTTCACTACTTCAAGCGCAGGGGTTAAACCCGAGTGGCTGCCGAGACCTCGACCTCGGAATTCGATAATAATAATGCTGGCCAACATGCCCTCCACCTATTCGTTACTTTTGTCGCTTATGATTTTCCGATGACATTCTTAACGTCTAAGGAGGAATTATTTCCGCAATGCGGAAACCGTCCCAATTGCCTTAGCGCCAGCCACTTACCTCATAAGAGCTATTGGTGACAACTGTCCTGGTCTTGTTACCGGATCCGTTGAAACTTTGGAGGGTGAGAGGGGTTGGAGTTTTTTGCCAGTTTGCTTAGGCTATTCTATTGAACGTCGGATCCGGAATGATTGTGGTTGTTTCTATTGGTGTCTGGTGCCAAGGCTTCTCCACAATCGCAACTACCTACTTCGGATTCTTGAACAAAGACGGTTTAATTTGATGGCATTTGCATCTTCAACCTGAACACAAGTCGAAATTATGGTACTCATAGTAACTGACAGACAAGCCGTCACTCTGCTCGGAGCTGGCACTCAAGGGAGACGCCTTGCTTTCATGGTTAGTGGTACGATGAGCTAGAGTGCTTCACGCACGCTGCATCTTCCAGAGCTGATACGAGACGTCTCTAGTGGTCGAGTACCGGCAATGATGTACATCTAGTCGACAGCCAGGAGGCTCAGCTTCATGCGAGCATTGAAGCCATTGACGAGTTCCGATCAAACTCATCCAACACGAACACGTCTTGGGGAACCATTATCACCCACTCACTTGATACTCTACAGGAAGCTCTAGAGGCTTCGTGGTTGGTCGTAGAGGTCAGTAATCCTAATTCGTATATAACGTCGAGATGCTGATGTTTTAGTGTGTCCCTGAGCGCCTCGAGCTCAAGCAGCAGGTCATTTCGCAACTGGATTCCCTTGCGCCGAAAGACACAATCATTGCCTCGAATTCCAGTAGCTATTCTTGTTCGGAGATCTTGAAAGGTCTTGAGTTGAAAAATGAGAGCCGGTTTCTGAGTGCTCACTCTTGTAAGCGAGGCGATGAATATCTTGAGTACCAGTACTGACTTTGATATCTGAAGATTGGCCACCTGAAGTACCTCGTAAGAACTAAAGGTTTACTTGAAAAACAAAGTGTCGTGCTAATTGTATCAGAAATCGAGATCATGGGACATGATACCACCGATCCTTCACATGTCAGCTTGATGATGGAACAGTGCAAAGCTCACGGGTTTCCTCCCTTCCACGTCAAGAAGCCCTCTATGGGATACATCTATAACAGGTGAGCCCCGTCTGTTCCTCTATTTGATGATGATGCAGTGTGGCTGACCTATCAGGATATGGGCTGCCATAAAGCGAGAAGCGCTTCTCACCGCTGCAGAAGGTGTTGCAACGCCAGAGGAAATTGACGGTATCTTCAAGGGAGTTTTGAAAACACCCAAAGGTCCCTTTGAGCAGATGGACTTGGTCGGCTTGGACGTCGTAATGGATATCGAGCAGCATTACGCTGATGCGAGAGGCAACATTCCAACCGCACCCCGCGAATATCTGCAGAAATTCTTGGATGAAGGAAACTTGGGTATCAAAAGCGGACAGGGTTTCTACGACTACAGCAAGCAGTAAAAGTTTCAACGGTATCGAGATCGATAGGCAAGAAACATACTATAGTTGATAATAACGACGGGAGAATTGCTCCGCAATGCGGCACAGTTTTCTATCCTGTTGATAGCTCTCGGGCGGTTATATGTCAATCGTGATATACTTGAAACATTTCTCTCATTGACCCTAGTCCCAAACAAGGTTAAAACGTCTTGGTATCGTCCAAGGTTTTCAAGTTCGACCTTCCTGGAACGTAGTATCAACTAGGGAGTAATCGTTGGGATGATCGTTTACGCGGGGAGGGTGTCATCAGGCACGGCCCGTAGAGGAGCAAATAGAGTGCGCAAGGGAGGTAACACAAAGCTGTCTACTGCAGGGGATGTACAGGGATGGACTATCACGTGTCTATAATAGGCCAAGACAGGCAGTTGGTTCATGGTGGCGGATTCAAGTGTCTGTCTATAAGTAGAAGGTGAATTTTGAGCAATCAGAAAGATAAAAGATGGCATGGGTATCGGATGAGAACCCGGGACTCGGACCGGGAACGCCTCGCTTGGCACATCCTCACACTCCACTGTGATGTGTCTCCAGAGTTACATGATCTCGTGTTTGAGATATATGTGCTATTGATATTGACCTAATTAGGCTCTGTTTGCGAATGTTCTGTAGAATAGTAGCAGTATTAAGCGCAAGGTATGAGCAGAGAAAATTAGCAGCCTAAGAGCTAGTCAAGTTGAACCAACGAGCATAGTCTGACCCCTGTATCCACCGGACAGTCTAGAAAATGGTGAGCACGTCGGCTTGTATCTGTGTCAGTATGATTTATCAGTGAGCTTCGATCAAGTTACACACAAAACAACGTCAAGAGACAGCAATTTTAGAACCAATTTTACTTAGAATTATACTTTGGTAATGAAGTAGAGCGATCTGGCGCACGAAGATAAAGGTTTTTATGTACAGGAGATTGTCCATCACCGCTCAGCCTACAAATAGACGTAGCAGAAGGGGCCAGAGAGTGTGCTCATGAGATCCTTGATCTGTCTATCAGGTCCAACCCAACCCAGGCGGACGTAGTCGTCGAAAGTGGTCTCGGCGCTAGGAGGCATGTTGAGGAAGGTGTTAGTGCCCGCAAGAGCATCCTTTCCGAGGATACGGTTCGAGGGGTCAAGCATTTGCCAGATCCACCAGACACGGTCAATCATGGAGTGGTGCAGGTAGAAGGCAGGGTCACCGGGGGAGGTGTAGACATCTCGACCAGGGTCACCACCCATGGCGTAGTGACCACCACCGTGGATACCGATGTCACCAGTGCCGGGGACACCCTGCATCTGCATCTGGAAGTCGAGAACGTTCTTGGGCTTGAGGATATTGTTAAGAACGGACGTTGCGTTTGCGAATCGTCGGTTGACTGAATCGCTCAAATCACGCTTCAAACAACGGGGGTTGTACTCGAGAGGATGAGGGTTGGCCTCGACCTGGCCACCGGGAAGGTCGAGGGCGGCAGGGCCAAGGTTGACGCTCATGTCCTTGAAGGGACCCGAGGTGACACAGCCACCTCCGTTACCAGTCTTGAGGTAGACGGGAGGAAGACCGCTGGAGGCACCGAGGATAATGTCATCTTGCTCGCCAATGTCCTCACCATCACCAGAGAGTGAGGTTTCGCTGCCATCGAAGATGGAAGATTTTGCAAGGCCGGTGATGGCAGTGAGGGACCAGTCCCAGTACTATTAACAAAGTCAGTAAAAGGAGGATCTACCGTATAGACTCATGAAATCCGGCAGTGTTGGCATAAACAGACAATAATTCATCTCTTTGATGCGAAGAGCAAACCGACGGCTTATCACCAAGTGGATGAAGACTTGTTGAGCCTATCAGAGCAGTCGCTTGATAAGTGGAGCGAGTGTCCACCAACGCTAACCGAACTTCGTGGGCCCTGATTGGGTACTTACTGGTTGAGTTCCCTTGTAACCACACTCGTTTCGAAGAGCCTCCTCGTACAGCCAAGTGAAATATCGATGCCATGAGAGGAAATTACCAGTGTAGTGAATAGTCTGAGTGGAATTCAAGTGGATAGAGACGTAGTCATCAAACCTAGTCTTGGCTCCAGCAGCAAAAGACTCGGGGCCTTTGGCAGGTCGCGACTGAAGACACTTGACAGCAGAGATGTAAGACTTCTTATCAGACTTGGAAAGGGTGTTCCTGTCGGTAGTTAGTATCGGTTATTCTCCGCAAGTGGCACAGCATGTCTTACCATTCCCGTCTAACACGGATGTTCTTCCAGCTGCAGGTGCTGTCACGCTTGGTCTTATCACCAGCAAGCTTCTGGGCAGCCTTGTAGGCGGCAGCAGCAAGATCATTGACCTCATCAATGTTTGTAACCTCAGGAGCAGAGGCGTCAACAGTGGTAGGCTGAGGAGCAGCCAAAACGCCAGCGGCGTTAAGGGCCAGAAGCGAAAGGAGTCCAGCACGCATGATGAAAGAGTGAGGGGAGTGAGATAAAGAAGGCACAGGGATGGCTCCGGTTTCAACACTGGCAGATGTGACTTGAAGGACCAGTGAATAAAGAGTGACGATCAAGCAGAAAGTGATTGAGCTATATACTGCAGGAGAACCTCCTGAACGGAGTTTTCCTTCACTCACTCTGCATGAAGTACAGGCCCAAGGTCCGGGGCCAGAAATAGCGGTCTTGGCTCTCCATCGGGGAACCCATTGATCATGGATGGAGTACCAACACAATTACAGTACACAGAACGGCAGCTCTACCATACAGAAGCTCAAGCCCATGGTAAACATTCGCGGAATCTAGACTCAAAAGCTACAAAGCAGACGGAAGAATCCTTCTTCGCGTAGACTCATAAAATCCTCTATACCTTTTCCATGCTGTTCAACCGAGGCAGGGTTTCGTGTTAATCAGATCTAATCCGATTTAGGATCCTGATCCTGAGAGTTGGCAGGGTCTAATAGTGGACTGCGGCACGGTCGTGAGAGGGGCAGGGATTGATCTGCAAGACCGAGGTACAGCAACGGGGCAATTGTTGGTAAAGGTATTAGTTCAGGGGAATAAGGTGCTTACAGGCCTATCGTATCAATGCAGGATATTTTGGTAAATGAGCACATATAGGAAAGGCTAGGTTAGAATCAATCTCATCACAAATATGAGAGGACGGCAGTTTTTTTCATCATGAAGTTGACAGCACCCTCCACGTAGTGCTGACGGTGGAGAACGTAGGGCCAACTCAGTACCCATTTGACTACCACATAAACGGGGCAATTGCGAACGATGGATGGGCGAAGATCCGGAAGAGTTCCGTTCCTAAGAATCCATGGGTAAAGAGGCCGTAGGTGGAGATGGGATCCATTTGCGAGAATATGCCCGACACTAATTAACAAGAGAAGTCATTCCCGGCCAGCCGCTTGATTTACCCGTTAGGGCCAACGAGAATAAGAAATGGCCATGACTCGTATTGTTCCACTGCACTAATTCCTATTCTCCGATGAAGGAATTAGTGAAGGATCAGATTAGATGGGCAACGCAACACGAAGGAAGAAAAGAAAAGAAACCAACTCCAAGCTCAGACATTCCGTCCGAACTCCTTGATCGACATGCCGATCACCCTCGCGAATCACACAGGAATTAGTGGGATCCAGTTGACATGCAACTTAACCTGGTCAACCCCAGAAACACTTTATATCGCTTTCAATATAAGTATAAGCATGGATGCAATACATCCAAGACGCCATGGAATTGAGTTTGGTATGCAGGCCGCTACAGTTACATACAGTCCATGCATTTCAACCTGCACAGAGCCTCGTTCAGTTGGCTCTTAGTGGAGAACCCCCTAACCACCACCGCTAAAATCCTGTAACGCTTTGGGCGCGCCACCGGGCAATTTAGCGGATATTACTCAGGTAGGTTTTCTGCATGCATGCATATTCTTAGTCTCGGCAATAATCTCAATTCAGGAATATTTTTCACGTCTGAGCGTTTCATACGACAAAGCAAAGCCTGTGACGATCGGAACCTGGCCAATGCGATGGATGGATCCTCCCCATCAGATCATTATTCATGTACCGAGTTTACCGGGCTAGTGCGCCTGTCAGGGGAGAGTTTCCACTCGCCGTCGACCAACTCGTACAGGTACAGCAGCTATGATACGCCTAAATGTCAGAGAGCCGGCGATAACGTCTCGGCAACATGATAACCTTAGATCAACTGGGTAGTTGACCCGATCTTAGTTCAGTTCAAACTAGTCTGGCAGTAGGTCGCTAGTTTCCTCCGAAGGATCAAAGAGGAAATTCGCCAATACTCGGCCGAGGTATTCTGGCGTGACGAGTTCTTGTGGAACCAATTACGCTCCAGCAGTAGAAGACGAAATAACCTGATCACTTTACGAGACTTTTGACCAAGGTGTTTATGTCCCTATTTCTTACACCCAGCGTTAAAGTTCCTATACAGATCCAAATTATGGGAACCTGCATGTTCTAGCTCATGATGAAACCCTGTTAGAAACGTGGTGCAGCTGGGCTGCAAGACACCTTCTCCTTGGAATGGTGCCCCTGACAGGATCTTCTTGCTCCCCCCTCTTGTGTTTGCTTCTTATGTATCCCGTATTCCCTGCCTTGTTGCTCCATCGTTCCCAAGTTCTGGGATCTCTCTTGCAAATTTCTTTACATCAGCGATCATGGATCCAGCCAACCTACCCTCAAATCCGAACGAGAACGGAGCAGCCGATATTCTTGGTTCCACTTTGTTTGTTGTTTGCTTAGCTACAGTTGTTGTGCTTGCTCGCTTGTATGTGAGGGTTTTTATCATCCGTGGTACTGGATGGGATGTAAGTTTATTGTCTCGTCTATGCATATTCTGCTTTGCTTTTTTCCGATCTCACACGTCTACCCCCACCAACTCTCCACTTGATGATTGCCCGACACTTTTCTTAGCAGAGTACTGATCACTTTCCCAGGATGCCTTCATGCTATTGACAATGGCCATGAACTGGGCTGGCGAGGGTGTAGTCATTGCTTCTGTGGCCTATGGTGCTGGAAGACATATTGGTGATGTTGACCCAGCTGTCTTCCAAACCGGAATGAAACTCAATTTCATCACTCAGCCCATCTTCCTTATAGCCATCTGCGTCGTCAAATTGTCAGTGGGATGCGCTCTATTACGAATCGCCTCAACCAAATTCTACCGTTGGTTGATCCTTGGTATCATGGTTTTCATGTCAATCTACACCATTGGATGCTTCTTCGTAAGTCATACTCCTCATAACAAGCTACAAAACACTGACCTGTCCAGACCGTGGTACTCCAATGCACAGACCTTCGCGCCCTCTGGGATCCTATGGTCCCTCGTCAGTGTTGGTCACAAAACACACTACAGAGTCTATCATACACAAACTCTGCCCTCAACATCTTGACTGATCTTTTTTTCGCCATCATCATCCCTACACCCATGCTATGGAATCTCAACGTCCACTTCCGCACCCGTATGACGCTCCTCGCCATTCTTGGCCTTGGTATTTTTGCCTGCGCCGCCGCCATCGTCAAAGTCGGTTATGTCACCAACTATGGTAAGCTCGGTGACTGGCTCTGGGACTCTCGCAACATCACCATCTGGACCGTCGTCGAGCTCAACGTCGGTGTCATCGCCGCCAGCTTGCCCTGCCTCAAGCCTCTCTTCCGTCGCTTCCTCGGCAGCTACTATGGGAAGAACTCCAAAAAGACTCCAACAACTGGTAATACTGGTTATGGGCGTGGTACACTGCGCAGTGCAACACTGCGTAACAGCAAGAACTGGCACACTTTATCAAGCGGGCACAGACAAGACGATGAGACGGCTAGTCAAGAGCACATAAACGATTATGAGCTTCGGGATAGGATGGCTAGCCCTGCTGGTGCAAACACAACAACAGTACTCAGTGATCTTGGACGATCGAGTGATGAGCTGAGCACAGGTAGTACGGGACATAAAGGTTCTTACCCAGTTGGCATCACCAAAACAACCATGACAACGGTTGAAATTTCGACCAAGGGCTCCTAGTCGCCTATATAACCTGTTTTCCGTCTATGTTGGTACGAATATTAATAATTCCACGGCATCCGATTCCATGTCACACTTATGGATATACGATGGATGGAGGTGTATATGGGAGTATCTTGGTGGTCCAAAAACCTTGTACATAGTTTCCAGTATAAAGTTTCCTTGTAGTCAATCAAACGTTCAAAACCATATTATATCGACTCACATAACCTTGAAAGATTGGTAACAAAGTCTGTTGATTTTCGAGTGGGAGGGGAATGTGTCAGAAACCCACACTGAACTGCATACAATGCGCTTTGGTAACCATGAAGAGTTTAGTATCTCCCATGTACATACCATTAATGACCTGTTAATTGCTGGGAACATTTATTTTTTCCATGATTCTTCTGAATATGCGAACCAATGCAAAGCTTCAAGTGCCGAATCTAACAAGTAGAGTTGAAGTCAGGGGTAAATTTCCATGAACATTCCAAACTTCTTCTGTGTTGTCGGATGGGTTCCCGATTGGTAGAATGTCATGCAGAGCTTTGTGGCGACGAATCAGAATCATTGCCGGTCGGATGTCTTGAGCTTGAGAGGGGAACTTTTCCAAATCGATGTATCATATCATGCCATTTTGCTTTTTGCTGTGGGAAGCTCCGTGCTGAATATTGGTTTCGGATGGCCAGCTGAAAAGTACTTATCTATTCTTTCGCGCATTGATTGGCTAATGGCACAGATACTCTGCGACTCTGTGCAAAATAAGGTTTCCTCACTTTAACAATAAGAGAACGGACCAACATGCTGACTGCTTTTGGTCAGCAACAAGCGTTGACATTCCTGCGGCACATACCCTGGAGCTCCGGCGGGTAACGGAGATGACCGGGAAGTACCGACAAGGCTGAACCTGTTTATTCGTCTTATTATTCTTGTCAGTAACTCTTATCAATTGAAATCTGTATAGAATTGGCCTATCTTGAGGCTATTAGAACCATGTGATGGCGATACCAAAACAAGGATGCCAAAGGAGACCAGGGATTCTTTATCATTATCTGCCGTGAGCAGGTCATCCTTCATCTCCTCAGGCCCGAGTAACAGGGAATTCCTAAGCTTATTTTTGCCGGTCTTGGTTTAGTTCATTGGTAAGCTCCATTTCCCCCGCAACGCGGAGAGACCGGACGGCCCACCCCCGATTGGCCAGTGGATCCCAGCAGGACGCGAGTAAGGTGACATCAAACTTCGTATCCCCAATCGAATGGGCTCTCAGCTCAAGATAAGGGATCAATCAGCTTTTTATATTTGGACTGGTCGCGTCTTCTATCCTTTTCTCGCCAAGAACAACGTTCATCAATCAGTTACTGGACCACACAATGACGGCAGATACTCCGGCCCAAGAGGGCCACCTCCAAAAGAGGTTCTCAAAGATCACTATGATCGGCATGGCATTCGCAATTCTCAAGTAAGACAGTTAATGAAACAATGGTATGATACCCAACACTAATTCGCGCAGCACTTGGATCTCTCTCGCCGGGTCCCTAGGACTTGTCATGCCATCAGGTGGCTCTGTCAGCTTCGTCTACGGCTTCATTTTCTGCGTTATCTGCAATATCTGCTTGAGCGCCAGCGTAGGGGAATTAGCATCCCTGTATCCTACAGCCGGAGGACAATATCACTATTCATTTGCCCTATCAACCAAAAAATGGAGGAATCTTATGGTATGAATAACACCAACACCTTAATTACCCCCAAACTAACTTCAACAGAGTTTCCTTGTTGGATGGATAAATATCGCTGGGTGGTTAACACTTAACACAACTGCAGCCTACTTTGGAGGTACTTTACCCCTGAATTGTCAAAGAGCATATCGCTTACCGTAAATTAGCTCGCTTCCTTGCCGCAGCCGCAGTAGCTGGTTCTGGCGGTACATATGAGATCACTCAATGGGGCACGTATTTGATGTTTGTCGCAGTATCAATTGTTGGCGTGTTCCTGAATATCTTTGCCTATCCAATTCTGAACCGATGGAATGAGGGTGCTCGTGAGTCTTGTTCAACCACTCAGGGTCTTCCCGAAGGTGCTAATTGTGATAGTGTATTGGTCCATAACCAGTGTTGTGGTGATCAGCATCGTGCTTCTGTCCACCTCCCCAAAGACTGATGCCAAGTTCGTCTTTACCAATTTCTCCAACACAACTGGATGGAGCGACGGCACGGCTTGGATGCTTGGACTGCTTCAGTCAGCTCTGAGCATGATCGGGTACGTTTTTTTCAGCCAGAATATATCAAGTCTCTAACAATTCTAGTTTTGATGCCGTCGCACATATGACGGAAGAGATGCCCCGACCACAAAAAGATGCCCCTCAGGCCATGGTTGCTGCTGTTCTAGTCGGTGGTGTAACGTGAGTTTGCCTTGTAACCTCCATGAAGCTGTACTAATTTCAATCTAGTGGTATTGTCTTCATCTTGGTCATGCTCTTCTGCTTCGTTGACCTCGACCTCCTTCTCGCATCACCCACCCAGAGCCCTCTCACTGAGATGATCTTCCAAGCCACCGGTAGCCAAGTCGCGGCGACAGTGTTGAGTGTTGCCGTTGCCCTGTGTTTTGTTAATGGAGCCAATGGCTGTGTAACTTCTGGAAGTCGACTTCTCTGGTCTATGGCCCGTGATAATGGAACACCATTCTCCAACTAGTAAGCATTTCTTTATCATCGCATACTAAGTATTACGGCTAACACATGTAGTCTCTCACACCTTCACCCCAAGCTGAATGTTCCCGTCCGAGCTATCTTAGTACAAGCTGTCTTCAATCTTTGCTTTGGATTATTATATCTAGGTAAGTTATTTCGTCAAGCCATGGAAGCAGCATACTGACAAATCAAAGGCCCGGAAGTTGCTTTTAATGCATATATCGCCAGCTGCACACTGTTCCTCAACCTGTCATATGCCGCGCCAGTTCTCATCCTTCTTATCAGAGGGCGACAGCTTGTTCTCGCAGAGCCTCCTGAGTTTTCCCTTGGACATGTGTTTGGATACACGGTGAACTACATCGCAGTCATCTTTGTTCTTGTCACATCAGTTGTAAGTCACGCTTTGTTGCATGGAGGATCACATTTCAGCCTGGAGCTATGCTGACTATCATCAAACAGTTTTTCTGCTTCCCACCAGCAATTCCGATCAACGTATCAACTATGAGTAAGCATTTTTTGCTCTGAGCTTCTTTCCATCATCTAGCTAACATTTGCAGACTACGTGACAGCTGTCTTGGGCATCTTCATCATTTTCGTTACTGGACTGTGGTTCATGAAGAAGAAATCCTACGAAGGGCCTAAACTTGAGTGCATTTTGGGGGAAGAGTTGCCCGTGGCTGATCTGGAGCCAAAGAGAACAGAAAAAGAAGTTGTCTCCAGCTCACATTCCAAGCAGGAAGAATGAGTCGTCAGCATAGAAGGCGGGGTATCTGCAAGCAAGCGAATGGATTTAGCGAAGGATATTTATTAAGTTATTGATTGGTCTTGGGTATTCTCATTTATGTATCTCTGTAATTAGTTCTAGCCCTTATTTCATACTGTTAATTGACCACGATGGTATATCCAATTAAAATCATTAAAGACAGTTGGGTTAAATAGATGCGGCGAATAAGTATACCTTCGACTGGTGCATCAAGGACTAGTGACCTATTAGTAAACGATAAGGGAGTTTGTAAATGTAGAGATGATATGTATAGGCTCAGACTTAATAAGAAACTTTATTACCAAGTCTTGATAACGTTATACTAACTTGAGCGTATGGCTTGCTGTGCTATGGTATTGTACTTGTTTGTAGGTATAGGTGGACAGGAAAGACAGTGCTGATTTGGAAGAACCCCTGCATGATAACCCCCGGTGCGATAAGAAAGAAGATGCTTGTTATAACTCACAGCTTTGCCGATGTACTCCTCACATATCCGTAATGCCAATCCTCCCTCGCCAAATCTTGCCTAATCTGATAGTTGCGCTCCGCAATATCCACCGTCTGCATGTCAACATCTAAGATACGCATCGCCTCCTCGCCATCGGTAAAGCTCCCAGGTACAGTCCCAACAATAGGCAGAGTGACTTGACTGCAACCGAAGAAACCCTCTTCCGCTGGTCCGCCAACATTGCAGTAGATTACCGCGGCAGTGTTCTCGAAAGCTCGAGTCACTAGAGCGGACTGTATGAACATCTTTTCGCAGTTGGCATTGTATGCAAGTCCTTCTTCTGACATGTCCCCTGATGTCCAGTATGAAGGGATTATTATTATCTTGGCGCCGGCGAGGACCAGCTGTCGGAAGGCTTCGGGGAAGGCAAGGTCCCAGCATACGAGGATGCCGACTCGGCCGAGAGGGGTATCGATGACTTGATGGGGGTTGGGGGCTTCGTAGTTGTCTTTGGATGTATTGCGGGCATGATCAACGAAGGACGTCAATGTAAGACGCTCTGGAATCCAGAGGTTGGTCTTGGTGTAAGTGCCCAGAAGGTTGCCATCGTGGTCGATAAAGTCAGACGTATTGAGTAGTGTGGGTCTGGCATCAGCAGCGGCGAGACCACCTTCGTTGGAAGTTTGAGTTACAAATGTTCCAGCACAGATGTTGATGTGAAGCTCTGCTGCTAATGCCTGGTACTTTTGTCGATATTTCTCAGCATCCTCAGGTGTAAGTGCAAAAGATGGCTCTTCTGGCACCCAACCCGTAAGGTGGTACTCTGGCAGGACTGCTAGTGATGCACCCTGAACCGCCGCGAGTCGTATCTGTTCGGCCGCAAGTGCAAAGTTGTGTTCAGCGTCAAGGGGCTTTGTAACTGTTAGCAATCATCTAATATCAACGTCATTGTTTCTTACCTTTGGCTTCATTTGCACAAGAGCCACCTTGAAAGAAGGACTTGATGTTATCAACGCCATATCGATTAGCTCTGATCTTGACAACTGCAGAAGCGAGGGAGCATCAGCATGGCGTTCCTGGTACTGATAGCTATCCAAGATAGCTGGGAATGACAGACGCACTTCGGCAACAATGGTCAAGAAAGGCAAGTAATAGCCGTGATTCCTATGTTAACGACTTCCGTTTCTGGTATTGATATCCTTAGCTTATTATCACCAAGTTCGGAATGGGTTGGTGGAGCAATAGCGAGGCTTGGAGAAGGATGGACCATTTCCTGGGGAATTTGATAGATGTGTTACCTCATGTCTTGAACAGGAAGTAAAATGAGATGCAATGTGATGAGATACGCATATCGTCTCATTGATTTCCGCATTTCCGCCTTGTTTGATCAATTTTGGCAATGTCTTGGAGGAGGTGGCGATGGAAATAGTCGAGTGGAGATTGTAGTACAAAGCTAGTTCCACTCTGATATAAGTACTTTGATACTTTGACACTGTACTCTAGAATGTCAATTGAGGCTGAGAATTACCAGCACAATGAACCAACATAACATCGTCAAGAACGCTGCAACGAGACACGTCCCTGGGAGAATACAATGGAATGATACCTCAGAAATGAGATCCAATGAGGAGCCGATGGCTTTACGCTAAAGAATCACGTGATATGGGGGAGCCTGGAGCCTCTATCTCTCTTCTCCACCCCCGACTATCCCGCACCTTGAAATCTCCACTCCTCAAACGCGGATACAACCAAACGGGTCATAATGCTCTCATCAACACACTCGGCCGCGCGCATGAACATCACTAGATCACGCACGGGTTGCGCCGTGTGTAAGTCTAAAAGGGTAAGACCTTGTCTTTGCTGACCCCGCGATGGCCCTACCTGACCGCTCATCTAGCTCAAATGTGATGAATCTAAGCCCGCTTGTTCCCGATGTGTAAGACTAGGCATCCCGTGTCCTGGATATCAAAAGCCCTTGCGTTGGAAAGGCGGCTCAAAATCACCACCAAAGGACCCTCCAGAGACTCCTGCGGATGCATCCCCTCCTGATAATACCGCGTTACCCCCTCAACAGCCTCAACCAAGCCCAATGTATGCGACTTACCAACCACAGCATCAACCGCAACAGCCTCACCCTCCACCTCCTCCGCCGCTTCAGCCTCAATCTCAACCTCGAACTCAGCAGCCGGAACAGTTTGTCACCAATTATTATGATCCAGGACTCTTAGATCATCTCACTAATGCGATTGACGCCGGGTGTATGGAGCCTTCAGGGCAGGAGGCTCTGGATGCCTCCATGCCTCTCATGCAGTTCACCGATGATATGCTACAGCTATATCCCGACCAGTCACTTGGACAGACACCACCAGATAATGGATCCCAGGAGCAGAATGAGGAGAGACTTTGGCAAGCTAATGCTATGGGGCCGCAACAAGTATACTCGCAAGCTTTGACCAGAGTGGAACCGAACCAACCTTCTGAGCAAGTTATCGAGATGCCGTTAGCACAAGCCCTTCAAGACCATTCCTCTGTTCTCGTCGAATACTACTTCAAGGAGGTATGCGGAATGATGTCGTGCTATGACAGCCCGATGAACCCATATCGAACTACTATTTCAAACATGTGGTCCGGATCACAGTCCCTCTACTATATCACTCAGAGCATGGCCGCTGCGTGTCTCTCGGAGGTCTCACCCACTTTTGCATCAGTTGGGCATCGACTTCGCGACCAAGCTATGATATGCTTATCCAGGGAAGCCAAGATCGCTGAATTAGAAACATCGTCCTTGTTAGCTTTGGTCATGCTGGGGATGAGCCTTTCATGGCATGACCCAGATAGCCTCGGACAACCACAGTTCGACGTTCTCGCTCGAAAGGTTATGTCTGCAGAAGCGCGGGGTGACCCTTTGGCGTTGGCCGATAAGAAAAAGGAGTTTTTTTTCTACAACTCGCTGGTATACTGGAAAATGCTGCTTTCTTTCGTCACGGATATGGACCCCAACATGAGAAGTGCTCAGCCTCAGCCAATCCCGCCGGACTCTCTTGATAAGCACGAGCCTCGCATGCCTCACCCACAGACAGGTATCGGCATCGAGGTACAGGAGTTGGTAGCAAGTGTGGGTAGCCTTGTACGGAAAGAGCGAAAGCGCCTACGCACTCGTCGATTTGTTTCCAAGGATGATATTCAGCAAGCCCAAGATGCCATTATTGCTTCAGAACGACTGCACGCGGAACTCTGTACAATTGAGTTGCCCCAGGAGGGTGATATCGTCGACGCTGGTGATGATTTGACCCCAGCGATTCACCTGGTAAATATTGCGGAAGCATATCGATGCACTGGATTACTTCAGCTGTATCGGAATTTTCCAGATCTTCTTGTGCCTTTTGCACAATCAGCGCATTATATGACGGGCTCGCCTGATTCATCAGGGTCTTATACGGACGAGAGGGCCTTTACGGATACATGGTTGACCTGTTTGGCTCTTCATGTGCTAGATCTGGTCAAGGATATCCCGACAACATCTCGAAGTCGGTCTATTCAGCCCTTGCTGTTCGTGAGCATCTGCAGCGAACTTTCGATCTGTCGTCCATACTGCACAATTTCAAATCTGCAACGATCTCCTGTGGCGAGCATAGCAGCCAGTCCTCGCTTTAGAGTGCCCTTGAACGGCTTGGAAGTTCTTCAAGCAAGGAAGATAGTCATCTCTCGGTTATCAGCATTTGAGAATATCTTGGCGGCTAAGCCGATTCGGCGAATGTTGATGCTTGTTAAGAAGACATGGGCTTGTATGGACGAGGAAAAGAAGGATATGTATTGGATGGATGTGATGATGGATAACGGGTACGAGACTCTGATGGGATAATTGCAAGCGAGAGTGGGATAGTCGTATAAGTTTCCAGGATAGGAGCCTTTCTTTTCAGATGTTGGACTTTTGTTATGCAATTTTAGAGCTGGATTTAGAGGATGCGGGTGGTACCACTGTATAAAGCTTTCAGTTCCCACTTGAAGCCGTTTATTTGCAGGTGACGAAGAAACGGTGAGGGTCATGCTTGATGTTAGTTAGAATTAAGCACTGCGGGATTTTCCTTTAGCTTCCTAAGGTTAAGCTGATGATCCGGCGCAATTGAATGTGGTTCCTAGCATGACATTCCAGGGACAGGGTCCAAAATGTACTTATCCACAAAAAGGAAAATCAAGCAGTGGCTTGGCACGAGCTTGACCAAACTCGGGTGATGGAGCCGCCGGCTCACAACAACGTTGAGTCCGGGGGGGCTGGAATACGGGTCGGCTTCTTGACTCGATTAGGTCAATGGCAAGTCAACACCATCTCAACTGTTGGTGAACCCTTGTTTTTGTGTGCAAGGACCAGATGAAATAGATGGCATATAAACCGCCACTGCCGCTCACTTACCGTCGATAGTTCACCACCATCGTCGTCATCACCATCAATTCAACGCCATGGCTCGCGGTCTTCTCACTCTCTGTGTTAGCGCGCTCGCTGCCGTCGCTGGCGCCGCTAAGTCAGCCGACGTGGTCTTCTACAATGGCAACATCTACACCATGTGCCCTGGCAACAGTACGGCTACGGCCATGGCTGTGCGCGGAGGCAAGATTGAATACGTCGGCAACAAGAAGCAGGCGCATACCTACATTGGAAAGAACACCAAGGTCATTGATCTTGAGGGCCGCATGGCTATGCCTGGTCTTGTAGACTCTCACATGCACGTCATTTCTGGAGGTCTCTCCCTTTTAAAGTGCGATCTGAGCTATCAAACCTTATCGCTCGCAGAGACCCTGGAGCACATCCAGGGTTGTCTTGATGATGAGACGGACAAGACTGACGATGATTGGCTGGAGGTCGTCAACATGGACTACGCTGGTCTTGTGTCAAAGAGCGGAACCGTTGGAAAGAAGCAGCTGGACAAGCTGAGCACTAAGCGACCTGTGTTTATCCGCTCAAGCGACTACCACACTGTCCTTGCCAACTCCCGCGCGCTTGAGCTCTCCGGCATAGATGAAAACACCAAGGACCCCGTAGGTGGAAAGGTTGACCGTCTACCTGGAAGCAAAGAGCCTTCTGGTTCCCTTCAAGATGGTGCCCGCGACCTTATCAAAGTCCCTCCTCCCTCCGAAGCAGAGAACCTCGAGGCTGCTCGTGCCGCCCTCAAGCTTCTCCGCGAAGCCGGTATCACTACATTCCAAGAGGCTGCCGCTGCTGACAACCACCACGACGTCTTTGACACCATCAGGAAAGAGGGTGGTCTCTCTGCCCGCGGGTACTTTGACTTCTGGGTCGAGGCACCCGATTCTGTGGATGGAGTGCCTGCTCTTGTCAAGAACGTCACCGACACGATCAAGCCCTGGAACGACAAGAAGCCTCTTGGTCCCAAGCCTAGCCTTAAGTGGCAAGCCATCAAGGCCTTCATTGATGGTGTTATCACTTACCCTTCTAACACCGCTGCTCTCATTGAGCCCTACTGGGCACCCGTCGACGGCAATGAGAACGGTACCTGGGCTCCTGATAAGAACTCCCTCACTGATCCCTACTGGAAGCCTGCCGTGCTTACCAAGACTCTCGAGGCTCTTTTTCTCGCTGGCATTGACGCTCAACTTCACGTTGATGGCGATCTTGCTGTCCGTGTTGCTCTTGATGCCGCTGAGTCTTTCCGCAAGAAGCACCCTGGCAAGGACATCCGCCTCGGTCTTGCTCACGACGAGCTCTCCCACCAGGATGATTGGGGTCGCTTCGCCAAGCTTGGTGTTGACTCTATTGTCAGCTACCAGTGGTCTCAGCTCAGCTCATTCTACATTCCCAACACGTTCAACTCTCTCGCCGAATACCGTCTGAATAACCTCCAAGCATGGGCCCAGATTGAGAAGCGAGGTCGCCCTCTTGTATACGGAAGCGACTGGCCTGTAAGCTTTCCATTAATTAAATTCTAATTCAGAGACTAATTGCAACGACAGATTGATCCTCTTGACGAGTTCCTCGCTCTCAAGGTCGCAGTCACCCGATCAGGTGACCCCGAGAACCCCAACTCACCCGCATCTCAGGGTCCTCCTTTTGATGGTGTCTTCCCCGGCAGCGGTATCTCACGCACTTCTGCTCTACGATCTATCACCATCAACGGTGCTCGCTTCCTCCGCGCCGACAAGCAGATCGGTTCATTGGAAAAGGGCAAACTTGCCGACATCATTGTTCTCGAGAACAATTTCTTCAAGGTCCCCGAGGAAGAGCTTGGTCGCCAGAAGGTGCTACTTACCATGGTTGGTGGTGAGGTGGTTTACGTGGCCAAGGGTCACGACTTTGGTGTCAAGGCCAAATTTCCCAACGACGATAAGGCTAGTGCCAAGTTGGCTCGTCGCACCATCGGAGGATTCAACGCCCAGGAGCTGTCAGAGGAGGCTAAGGCGGAAGCCGCAAAGCTTCGGAAGCGAGGTGCCTGCGTTCATAAGCACTAGAAGAACGCTACGTGAGGTGCCGTGGACTAACTGCTGGAGCGCGAATTCTTAGTATATACTTAATATTTGACTTGTTCAATTGAGCATTGAAGCAAAGTTTCGACAAGAACCCCTGAACGCACAGATCGTGTGATTGTGACTGCGAATCCCCATGCTAAAGATAACCTCCCAGATAACTCCGGACAGTTTGTGCGGTATCATGAAAGTTGGGTGCAGATAACTGATTGGATCGACTAACCCTTCGATCCTTCAACTTACGACTTCCCCTATGCAGAAAAGAGTTATCAACTCGCTGACTACCAAAGCGTTTACAGCTAAGGCTACGGAGAAATAGTACGATGTCGGTGCGGACTGGGATGGCGATAGCTTATTGGCGCCTTTTCCCCCCGTGTTCAGTTAGCACGTCTCATCATACCGCGTTATGTCCGCTCGACTACCAGGTACTTGACCAGAAACAGGCAATAACCCTGAAAAGGATCAAGGCTATAAAAGAAATGGCACTATAAACAAGGGATCAGCGAATCGCGTCAATAGCTCAGCCACGATGCGGTATCAGGGCTCCGAAGCGGCTTAGGATCTACCGGAAAGCAGGAACATGATTCCGACAAGGTAGGATTCCGAGGAGGCGTTCATGTTGGGTATCAGTATCTGCAGATTTGGCCGAGTAAGTCAGTAACACGGACTATAAATGATGTGATTTGTTTAGAGGTGTTGGTTCAAGATGCAGCATTTCTCAGGTGTGGCGCCTGTGACGCGATTCATGTTTGAACTGTCAAAGTGTCACAGAAACGACGATCTCTCGGAGCGAGAAGAGTTCATTCAGCCCTGTAGATCTCTAAAGAGAGTTTTCCATCGTATCTTTCACCAACAATCAACAGGATGAATCGGTTTGTTATCTCCGGTTTGGACAAGGGAAAGGAACACGATGGATGGATTCCCTGTAGGGTCGTATGAGATTAGGTAGTGAATGCAACTGTGATGATAGCGAGTTATGCCACTAAAAGTTAGTTCCCTCGCGCGGACAAGTTCCACTTTCGGGTGGGCATGTCCGAGACTCTAGCGCAAACTCTAATTATCCCACCTAAAAGTTCCCCCGCGAGGCCTAAATCCTACCTCCCTAATTATGTGCCGACGTCTGACTACCTGACTCTTCACTTCTCTTCAGCTAATCCTTTCACTGTTAAAATGCGCCACTGGGCAGAGAGAATAAATGAGTAAAAGTTCCAGACTAAACTTTACTGGGACAACCTTCTTCTTTGGGCCCGTATACTGTCAATCACTTCTTGGTCCAGGTCAAGTGTCTCCAGGTTTGTCGCATGATCCAAGAAATGTCTGTGTGAGTTTCCGTCCACCAACACCAACAGTTAAGCCACTGGCGCTAGACTAGACGAGACGTGAAATCTACAACGGGGTGAACCCTTTCCTTTACTCCCGTCACCAGTCGATACTCAAGCCACTTGCGGGAGGATCCTTGCAGTCATCTGAGCTGAACTGGAACATGTCCGTAATGGATGTCCAAATGTGCAGACGTACAGCAACTACCTAAGCAGCCATGACCATGTTTGATGCAGAGTAATTAGGTTTCGGGTTTATCAATGGCACTCATCCCATCTTTCTGCGTCATGCTTTTGTGTTATTTCTTTTTCTCTCGTCAATCGCAGCATCAGTCCATTCATTAAGTATTTGCATGATACACGATTTGCTCTTCTAATGCTTTGATCCCATTGAAACTTTCACAATGGTTGCTGCGCCGTCTGGCGCCGCCGTACTGGTAAGTACCGCCTCCAGTTCCTGTTCCTCCACTCTCTTCCCACTCCCAAGTACCGAGATACTGATGGATTCAGACTGTCGTCTTTACACTCGTCGGAGTGGCAGCTGCCATCTTGGTCGCTCGAATCTACCTGCGCGTCGTCATACAGAAGCAGAAACTCATAGCCGCCGACTGGCTACGGATACTAGCATGGCTATCTGCTCTCGCCACGGCGTCCTTCGACATAGTATACGCAGTCGAGGGGTCGTTAAATCCCGAAAACAATTATACTCTGGTCAATTGGGACGTGTCACCAGAAAAGATGGAAAGGGTTCTTAGGGTAAGCATCGCCAGAATCATGCCAACACTGGGACCAGGTACTGACCAAGTCGACTCAGATTTCATGGGCCTCAATGATACCTTTCTTCACGACATTCTACCTATGCAAAGCATCCCTCATTGTTGTATACTTTCAATTATTCCCGCCCTTCATGAAGAAAAGACGAATGGCGCTTTGGGCAGTGTCTATTTACTGCGTGTGCGCATTCATCGCCTCGATGTGCCTTCAACTATTTCTCTGCTTCCCCGTAACAAGAAACTGGTATATCAATGCGCTCTCTCATCTTTACTTCGGTTTCTAACTTCTCTATAGGGAGATAAAGGAGCCCGAAAAGGCCTGCAGCGACTGGTCGCTTATCACGACCTTCCAAACTGCTTGGGCGCTACATTTTATTGGATCTCTTGTTTGTACGTATGCCCAGCTCTACTATCGCGGTCGATCCTAGCTCACGATTACGCAGTATTTGCTTTGCCATTCTTGATTCTTCACAAGCTCAACATGCGCCCTCAAGTGAAAGTCAGTGTTTATGCCATTTTCCTTCTTGGCTTCATCGACATAGCGTTTTCCTTGACTCGTTTCCTCACTATCCAACTCACTGTTGTCGGAGATTTCAGATCCATTACAGCAGTTGGTAAGTTACATTCGCTTCACATGAAAGAATACCTCTAATACACATCTAGAGCTATGGAGTTCGCTCGACGTTTACATCGGCCTAATAGTCGCCTTCCTACCTGCTCTTCGACCCTACCTTCGCCGAAAGGGTGCCAAATACAGTTACGCCGATTCAGGCCGGCCAACAGGAAACTCAACCCACCCTGCACGCAGGACAGTGGACCGAGGTTTCACAGAGATCGACGAGACACCATCCTTAGAAGGCGATCCAAGGCCCGGCCCGTGGACAGTTTCACATTCACCTGAGCTTGGCGCAACGGGATGGAGTGATAAGAAGAGTAATAGTAGCGATGTCGAGCTCGTAAGCCTTGACGTCACGGCAGCCAAGGATCGAGAACATGTGTAAACTATAATTTATTGGATGTAACGGTGATGAAGCATATAGATATGCTATATAGATATCCATTTGACAATGATATTTCTTTCAGTTTTTGCATTGGTCACATACCAACCAGGCTACTGAGCAACAGGCACTTTCACACACAATCATCGTCTTGAATACTGAGTCTCATCCTGTTACGCGCAGGGATTCTCGAGAGCATTTCACGAGGAGGGGCAAGTAGCAATTAGAGTTGAGGTATATGTCAGGGGAGCCGCCTTGCAATCCAGGAACTTATGACCCCTGTGGCTTGGACCCTTGATACAGTAACATTACTGGCCTTTAGAGTTTGGCTCATGACTCGCATCTCACGATCTTCCCGTCAGATGTTGGTTGTCGCTTACCCGCGGCTAGTCATTCATGATGTGCAGCTTCCCGACAAGGAACGGGATGATACGTCCGACGAAGCATGGAAACCCTAACTGTAGGAACTCGTGATATCCGTGCGTGTTTATGATGCCGGATACAAGTTTGTCGTCGTTTCTAATACCTGGACAATATCAGTTCTAAGATGGGGCCTTATACCAGGACTTCTTGCATATTGAGACCTAATTATGGAGAATTATCCTGCCAAGAGTCGGCAGTTCACATCCATTCCTTGACTTCGCACGGTATCGGCTTGTTTAAGCTTCACTGTGGGTATCGGAGCAATGATGGGATTCTCAAAATAGTAATTCAAGGAACCTCGGAAATCAATCGTCGATCATTACCTGGCCCAGGTCGCTGAAGAACTTGGCAACATCACCGTCCGGAAGATTAATGATCCGACACATCGCGACGACCATCACGTCAAGCTAGCAAAAACACCAAGGACGTCATCACCAACACAAAATGGAAGCTTCACTCCCTTATCATGAGCCTCCAATTACGGTTATTGCCATACTATCTGGCTTTCTACTTTTGTTGAATATCATCAACTATGGCCTGGACAAACTTGCTTACTGCGGACTGATTGGCCAAGTCGCGATAGGGATAGCTTGGGGTACGCCAGGGGCAAAATGGCTATCTCGTGAGGTTGAAGATGCGATCGTACAATTGGGTTATCTCGGTCTTATTCTATTGGTATTTGAAGGTACATATCAGCGATCCGGCCTTAAAAGCAAATACTGATTCCTTGCCAGGCGGTCTATCAACATCTTTCAGATCCCTAAAAGCCAACCTTGGCCTCTCATCTGCCGTTGCCACCACTGGAATTCTGATTCCAATCGGCCTTTCCTTCGCCGTCATGTCGATGCTCAACGCGACTCCACTGCAGGCGTTTGCAGCAGGCGCGGCACTCTGTTCTACCAGCCTTGGCACGACATTCACTATCCTTGGCACCAGCGGTCTTTCTGCAACTCGTCTTGGGGTTGTTTTGACGAGCGCTGCCATGATGGATGATGTCGTTGGTCTAATTATGGTTCAGGTCATCTCGAACCTTGGAGGTGGTTCTTTCGACGCTGTTACTGTTGTTAGACCCATTATGGTTTCTTTGGCTTTTGCGATTGTTATTCCCGTCATGTGCAGATTCGTTGTCGCGCCAGCTACGGTGCGCCTCAACTCCTACCGCGAGGCAAATCCGACCTCCAAGATATCGAAGCTTTTTGCTTCTAGGCAAACTGCATTTGTTATTCACACGGGGTTTCTGCTCGGTATTGTTGTCGGAGCGACCTTTGCTGGCACTTCGAGTCTCCTGGCCGCTTACATTGCCGGTGCTGCAATCAGTTGGTGGGACTCTGAAGTTCCGCACTTGCAACATCAGCATTCCAGTAACTCTGCATCCCGAAACTCCGAGCAAGTTGTAACAGCCGATGATCAGACTATGGAAGGGTCCCCCTCTACTCAAGCTTCGCCTAAAGTTATGGAAGGCGGTTCCGGTGCTGAGATCTTCCATGATTACTACGAGCCTGCATTGCAGCGACTTCTCAAGCCATTCTTCTTTGTAAGTCAAGTTCCTTTCATTCTACGCACAATAACTGACATCTTCTAGGCCTCTATTGGTTTCTCTGTTCCCATCACTAAGCTATTCACTGGCCCCATCGTCTGGCGGGGTGTGATCTATACCATCCTAATGATAATTGCAAAGCTCGCATGCGGCCTATGGTTGGTTTCTTTCACTAATCCCTTCCACATGCTCACGAAGCCTATTCGCAAACTTACGCCCCAACTCAAGAAGTCTTCAAAGACTCTTGTTCCTGGTGCTCAATGTGCGGATACCACACCCCGTGATGAGACGAGCGATTCTACTCAGCGGGTTGAAGATCGCGACGCTGTTCCTCTTGAGTCAATTGCCGACACGGACGCATCGCAAACCTCCCCTCAAGTACGCAATTCTACTCCCAAACCTGAGAAGGCGCTGTCTCTCTATCCGGCTTGTATTGTTGGCATCGGTATGGTAGCTAGAGGTGAGATCGGCTATTTGATTTCCGCACTTGCTGAGAGTAAGGGAATCTTCGGTCGTACAGAGGATGGTGAATCATCTGAGCTTTTTCTCATTGTCACCTGGGCGATTACTCTTTGTACGGTGATTGGGCCCATTTCTGTTGGACTCATCGTCAATCGGGTCAGGAAATTGGAGAGTGGGAGTCAAAAGGCCCAAGGTGAGAACAGGAGGAATGTTCTCGGGGCTTGGGGTGTCAGTTAGGTGTCTCACAATACGTCTCGTACAGTTGAAGGACTTCGCATTCTCAAATAAATCTCATATATCAAAGCAATATCGATTTTATAGCCTAGGTAGAAGCCATCAACCATGCAGTCAAATCATCTACATCTTTTTCAGTCTCCTCACTGCATCAGCTATAATGATACGCGAGCCGACTGCGATGGCCCAACACTCAGAATCTCTCGGCTTAACTCGGCCCATGGTGACGACCCTCTGACGCCGTTCACGGAAGTCTGATTCGAACTCTCTTTCATCTTATTCAGCGCCTGGAAACCACCCCTGATACTATCCGCTTCGTGTCCCTTGGCGCGAAGTACACTCGTTGCCACACGAGAACTATCTCCGTCATAACAAGTGAGAAGAATCCTTCTGTTATGTAGAAGACTCTGAAGCTCTGTGCCAGGAGTTTTGAAACTCTCTTCAAGGTTCTTCCATAGACCTTCTAGTAGCTTAGCATCCGAGAAAGGACTTGGTGTGCTGTCGGACACGAAAGGCATGTTGATAGCGCCAGGAAGATGGAAGTTGTCGAAGTCCTGTGGCTGTCGTAGGTCGATGATTGCTGTATCTTGTCTCGAGCGAAGAATACTGTGCAAATCGAGTGTGTTTACAGATGCACTTTGGGGATCAGCTAGGAGCATATCGAGCAAAGCCCCACGGTCAATATCGAAGAATGCATCGAGAGCGTCGGATGCTACGCGCTCCCACTTCTCGTCATATCGGTATAGGTCAACTTTCAAAAGATCCTAGACAAAATTAGCATTCGATAAAGCTGCTTTCTCATACAAAATACCTCATTCTTGATTGAAGGAAAGTAACTTTCTCCAAGCTTATCAAAATACTCGCTGATATACTGGTACGGCAGATCGCAGCAAAGAAACACACAGTTGATAGTTCCGTCTGGTCCAGCCAGATCCGAAAGACAGCCCTCAGCCTTGCGTTTCTCGATAAGCTGGAATAGTCCTGCCAAGTTGAATCCAGATGATGGTCCGCAAACAATGCCGTTACGGCAGAGGTCTAAGGACATGGAGAAGGAGTTGTGAGAATCGACTTCCTCAATATGGTCGACTGACTTCTTCCAAGGAAACTGGACGGGAGCCATGAGAGCGAAGGATCTTGGGCCGGGCACTCGATCTCCGGGTGCGGTACATACACTATGAGCCCGTTAGATGTGACGTCTGTGGTAAGACAACGAGACTCACCCCAGTCGATACACCGATGGCTTGGATTCTTTGAAGTACGTTCCAAGACCAGTCATAGTGCCTAGGCCGAGCATTCAGTGGCTGTACTAAATATGTGATTACCTGCTTAGCTCACCAGATGTTCCCATTCCTGCACATATCAAGTTGATTTCTGGAAGTTGTGCATGAATCTGTGGACCTGTCCACATGACATGGGCATTCCAGTTGAGATCATTCTCATATTGGTTCGGATTTATGATAGTCTCGTCCGATTCTTGGGCTAAGCGCTGGGCTGCTCTGATTCCACCGCGCTCATCGAGAGGTTCTGGTTGTGATGGGCCGCCAAAGAGAGTACTATAGTCCTATTAGCATCTAACAGTGTATGTGGGCCAGGCGTTATGGTCAACTGACATATCGATACCAAAGAATTGCATAAGCTGAAGTTTCGTTGCGCTGGTCTTGTTACTCAAGAATGCTCGCACATCGTCAACACCGTGGATGGCCCTCGAGATCAACGACATGGACAAAACAGTTGATCCAGAACTGTATTCCACGACTGTCTTTGTCTTTCCCGGAACAACACAATTGTTCAAAAGGTTCAACGCTATTTCTCTGTTAGACAAACTAAAGCTAGATAAGATAATCCTCATACCTGGCATAGCTTTGACATTATTCGCAGGATGCATAGTCATCATCTTGGCGTAGATACGTACTCCATCCTGACGATAAGGATTAAGTGAGTCTGGGATCTCGACTAGAGGAAGTGGTGGCGCCGATTCGGGATCGAAGTACTTCTTGACAGAGTCTTGTCCTTTGTACACGTTGAGGGGGTTGGGGTTGGCCATGTTGGAGTAAAGTTAAGCTATGGCTTGGAGGATGCGTAGGCTCAGACAGATCCAAAGATATTAGAGGCGTAAGCGGACCTCTATATAAGTTACTTGAGGCAAATTCTCTCTGCTTGCCAGCCTTCTTTCGAGAGTCTTTGGGTTGCAGTACAGTAGGCTTTGCTCCGGCTGCATATGGCCGTGGGATGTCGAACTGACCAACACATCGTTCTTCATTGAAACTCTGTATACCAATCAACCTCCTCGGTTACAATCCACAGTCGAGATTTTCACGGCACTAAGATCTTCGCCTTTGCGCAGAGAATGGGGAGGATGTTGTGGGTAGACCCGGGTCAAAGGCATTAAGGGTTACAGGGTTACAGCATGGTAGCTTGATGGGGTTTGGGTAAATTGAACCCATTGATCGGCTGGTCTTACCATTACTGTAGCAATCTTCCTTCCATTCAAGATTATTTGGCTAGCACAATGAGGTTATTACTGTCCACTTTCGCGGCGCATCTCAGGTCTGGAGTGGCGTAATTACCCATCAAGGTACCGTCATCGAAATGGATCAGATCAATGACTACCAAAAAATACGTAGTCTGGTTTATATGGATTCTCGTACTCAGTAGCTATCTGTTTACGCCCACTCTTGATGCGCATGATTTGCAGCTATGTGTGTCACTCCCACAGACTTAATCGCTTTAGCTTACTAGCCCTTGCAGAGGGGGACCTTGATAGTTTCTGTTCAACCGAATTGGCAGTGCAGATCTGCCAGGGACCTACCTAAATCTGGATCCAGTTCAATGGTTTCTAGAAGAACCTTGATGAGTCTTCAGCTCCATAATCTCTCACCTCTCAAGGTGCAGAGTACAATATCATACACATGGCAAACATGTAACAGATATAGGTTTGTATTCTTGTCCGGCCATTTATTTCACAGTTACATGCTAATAAACTGGTATTGGGACTAAGAAAAGGCCTTGGTGTGTCATTGAAGGATGTCTTGTCTCGTATTCCCGCCTGGAGGCACTAGGTGGCTGGTCTAAAGTCCTTTTGATAACTTAAATATTGATGCTTAAAACTTTATTATAACGTTAAGGATCGACAGACGTTGTCATTTTCCTTCCATTAAAACGTCTGGATCGTGATCTAGAATTCCGTCAAGTTTTCTGAAACGTAGTCCATAAAGGTAATTTTCTCTTTGCAGAGAACGGCAGTTGTCCGGAGTCAAAGCGGTATGCATAGGGAAATTTGAACTCGCCAAACAGGTTCTCATCATAATTGTCGATCCCTGAGGTATGTAATTCGAAAAGGAGAACTGCAACAACAACCTGTGTAGACGCAAAGGCCCTAGCATCAGTCAAGGTGTCCTTAGAACTCTGGGGCTAGGTTAAAAGAGTTCAACTGCAGACGGGTCGACCGTGCCCATTTACATAGTCCCAAAGGTGTACCTTGAAGCACAAGAAATAATGGCTGACAATCGTGCCGCAGACGCCAACGTGGTCATGAGCCGTGACCTTGGCTCGACAAATACCATCGTTGTTGATGGAGGGTCTGAGAATGGCAAGGCTCATCAGTTCAACGAGCAGACGAATTATGTACCCAAAAGAGCCATTATCACAGTATGTTATGAGCAGTCATCGAAGAAGTCCTAGAGCTGACATACTGGACAGATATTCCTAGCTTGTGCAAGCGTCGACTTGCTAGCATTGATGGACCAGACCATGCTGGCAACCAGTCTATACATCATTGGAAATGCCCTCGGCTCGACGGCTCAAGTCTCGTGGATAGCGAGCGGATATTTCATGTGAGTTTCCACTTGACGATACATGAATGCAACCTAACAGACTGCAGAACCTCGACTGTCGGGCAACTCATGTATGGAAGACTGTCAGATATTTGGTCTCGCAAGATAATTCTCCTCATGGGTCTTGCCATCTTCTTCATCGGATCGCTTGCCTCTTCTCTTGCACAGTCTGTACTTCAACTAACTATCTTTCGTGCTTTTACTGGTATCGGAGGAGGTGGACTCATGACTGTTGCGCAGCTAATAGTGAGTGATGTGGTTCCGTTGAGAGAACGGGGCAAGTACCAGGGCATTTTGGTGAGTCCCTTCGAGTTCATGGTTGAAGGTCAATGGCTGACGAGGTTTGCTACCAGGGCGCTGTGGTTGCTATCGCCAATGGCATAGGACCTGTCATAGGAGGCGCACTCTCTTCGAGTTCCGAAGATTCATGGCGGTGGATCTTTAGAATGCAGCTTCCTTTGACGCTTCTGACGACTTTTTGTGTTCTCTTCTTCATGCCATTAAAAAAAGTGGAAGGAGACTGGAAGTTGTAAGTGGCCCGGTGAATGTGATGAAACCCGGCTGACAAGGGAGCAGGAAACTCAAAGCCGTGGACTTCCTCGGCATATTCCTCGCCCTAGCTGGTATGACTGTGGTCATTCTGGGATTAACTTGGGGAGGAAAGGACTATGCCTGGAACTCTACTCAGGTCATTACAACCTTGGTTGTAGGTACAGCAGTCTCCGTTGCCTTTATGTTCTGGCAGTGGAAGGGTCCCAAATACCCTCTGATACCGTGTGAGAACCTTCGTCCCCATTGCGGTCTGTTATCTGACAGACATTAGTGCACATATTCAAGTCGAAGATCGTCAACGGCGCATGTCTAACCATGGCCATCAATGGCTGGAACTTCGTCATGCAAGTCTACTACATACCCTCATTCTACCAACTAGTCTACGGCTACGCAGCCACCAAAGCTGGAGCAATGCTCTTGCCAATCACGCTTCTCCAAACCGCCAGCAGTACCCTCTCAGGCCTCATAGTACATTGGGTAGGCCGCTACCGGGAGTGCATCCTCTTCGGCTGGCTTTGCTGGGCTGTTGGTCTTGGCCTGATGTCAACTCTGGATGAGAGTACTGGCGTAGGCAAGCAGATCGGATACTCGGTACTCATTGGTGTCGGGGTAGGAAATACGTTGCAACCGTAAGTAGCAAGGCTTCGTGATGTTTGAATGAGATCAAGAGGAGTTGACAGGGTGATAGTGCGCTCATTGCTACGCAAGCTGGTGTTGAGAGACGTGATATGGCAGTTGTCACGTCATTTCGCAAGTAAGTAACTGGTAAGCATATCTGAGAGCAAATGTTAACGAGAGTGGACAGTTTTGTAAGGAACCTGGGAGCGACATTGGGCCTTGCGGTATGCGGCACAGTTTTGTACGTTGGAATGACCTCTTGTGACGTTCGTCGACTAATTAATTCAGGAATAACGTCCTGGCCAGTTCACTATCATCTCTAAATCTCAGAGACCATGAGTCCAAGACCCTACTAGGCAATCCTCAAACCTTTCTCGACACAGTCTCACCAGAAGAAGCAGCAAGGATTCGCTCAGTTCTCATCCCAGCTTACAGACAAGCCTTCCGCATAATCTTCCTTATCGGCGCGGGCGTAGCCAGTCTCGCATTCATTTTGGCATATTTTCTTATGCCGCAGGTCAATCTTACTCGACCAGATGACTCAAAACTGAAAGAAGAAGGTCGCAGAGCGTACGAGGAAAAGAAGACAAAAGACATTAGTTAGGGGGATAAAAAGGGTATGACGCTAGATATGCGTGCTTTTTGGTGTTGAAGACAGGGAATTGTGGACTTTTGGGACACCCTGAATGTCTTACTTCAAGGATTAGAATCGGTCAGTGAGCGCTAGCAATGGCACATCAGATATCTTCTCCAATTTATATGAACATAGTGACGCGATTCTGGGTTGCTTTGTAGTAGTAAGGCGACATGTTGAAGTGGTTCCAAGACACCAGATCCATGCCATCAAGCGACAGTTGTTCTCAACACCCAATACCAAGGCTATATCGGACACTCTCCATCTATCCAAGAGATATAAATGGCTAAAACGTAATTGAACAAGGCTTAGCCTAACAAGTACCGCCGTGACAGCCGCGGCCCGTATTCTAATGGGTGTGCTGGGGACGAACTATTACTGGAGGATCTACTCCGACGGCAGCTATCTACAGTAGATGCTCGGCCGGCAGTTTCACATATGGTTTAGACTCCATAACATTCTTTAAGTCCTTCCGTCATTATGGCATGGACCCGTGTAACGGGTTGTAGGTACGGCTACTATGACGATCGACGAATTATACGACAGCCAATCATGGTCACCGGAGAGCATGCCGAAGACTGAGCTGAGTCGGGTTAGCTGGTTTTGGTAGACTTGAAGGACAGGGGCCTGGTTCTCACATGTGTCGCCGGTGTAGAAGGGTCTGGTAGGCCCATGGACCTCGTTGACCAAACTCCCTTGCTTTCCCTCGCTTTGGGGCTTCTCAAGACCTCTTTCCATATACAATTTCTCAAGCCTTATAATACCATCTAGGGTGTCGATTGTCGTCTCATTCTTATCACCCTCGCTTGACAATCTTAGAAATAATGTCTAGTTCAGACTCAAGTCGCAACCGACCACTTCTCCCTGCCCCTGCAACCCAACGCCCGACTCCTCCTCCTCGTCGTCGAAACATTCTTCCTCGTCAGCCCCGAGTCGGCGTCTCAATAGCCTGCGAGTCTTGTCGGAAACGAAAGATCAGAGTACGAAACCTATACTTGTCAACAACGTGCTATATCTGACTGTCAGTGCAGTGTAACGGGAGTAGACCACGATGCACAAGCTGTGTCCATAACGATGTAGCCTGTACCTACGCTCTACCTGTGAAACACCATGAGCTACAACAGCGTGTGAGGCATCTAGAAAAAGAACAAAAGGCCAATAAGAGGATCGTCGAGCTACTACAGTCGAGGAGCGAAGAAGAAGCGAACCTTATCCTCCGTCTTCTTCGTGAGGGTGTTAGCGTCCACGGTATATTACGCCAGGTTGAACATGGGGATATGCTGTGCGACTTGTCACATACGACTGACGCCAATTGTTCTTGATGTCAGGAACTCTTCTTGTATGCAGTCGCGTACATCCCCACCCTCAGGGCATCAGAAGAATTGGCCCCGGACAGCGTAAGAGACGAAATACTTTGGTCGTCTCATGCAAGCTTAGACTGGTAATTAGGCTACTTTAATTCTGTAGCCTAAGCCTTAGAGGATAATTCTTCTACCACTAACCTACCCAGCCAACCATGTTATAGGTGGTTCCGACTACCTCATCAAGTGCTTACGAAATCTTCCTTTGAGTGGTCGATCTCATCACACCACCTCGAGATGCAACATCCTCATATGCCAATCTAACCATCCAAATCACTATGCCTCGCTACATACCAACAAGCATATCTTCCACCCATAATAGAACCCTTAGCATCTTGCGGGATGCTGAAGAGGGCAATTATGGAGTGTTGGCAGCAATATGGTTGGTCATTAAATGAAGCTATATACATGCCCGCTAACAATCGATACCAGTTACAACATTGAACATCTGACAGCTATGGTCAGGGCAGCGGAGTCCAAGCGCTCGCCTCTCATCTTACTACTCTTCCCCTCTACTTTGAAGCAGCTCCCCACGTTGGCATGGGCAGCATCGGCAGCCATCAAGTCTGCCACCGTCCCACTAGCCCTTCACCTGGATCACGCACAAGACATTTCCCAGATCGAACAAGTGGCTTGCACACTCCCTTTTAACTCTATCATGGTCGATATGAGTCATCATGAGCATAATGAGAACCTCGCTAAGACTAAAGACCTCGCCGAACGGTGCCACGATAATGGACAGTTGTTGAGGCAGATCTGTTGCCTACCTGGTCATAACTCTATTTATCATCAAGACCACAACGGGCACGAGATCAAACTGGGTATGCCGTCCGGTATACAACGATCATATACCACAGGCAATGCCCAAGACATTCTTCGGTAATATGTAGTGCATCTCAGTGTTATTGCAATCTAGCAGTAATCTTCTGCAGGATGCTGATCGCACCTTCTTAGAATCCTCGTTCCTGTCTCGTGCCTGCTCAACCTTGAGATATATCTTGAGCGCATTTATGAAACCTACTCCAACGCATCAAACATTTTCTTCTATATAAAGGCAGGAACATACCTCATAGAGACTGTTCACTAATGCATCCTTCGATTCGTTGACGGCCAAAGAAACACGTCTTTTACGACCCCAACTTCAAATCCCACGCTCGTCAATACGAAAAGAAACTCATTACCAAGTTTAACCATCCTATTTCTGAATGACTAGTACTAACCTTTGTGACAGTTGGTAATAGAAGAAATATCCTCCAAGATTTAGGCTACAGAAATAAAGTAGCCTAAATAATAGTCCAAGTTAGCACAAGGTGACCAAGTTATTTCGTCTCTTATGTTTTCAACGGTCAATTCTTCTAACACCCTGCAGCTTAACACCACGACTCTTGTCGAATATTCAAAATGGATCGAAACGTCACTCCGAAACTGTCATTGACGAGACTACCACGAGACATTCTCCTTTGCATTGTCGATGCTATACTCGAGAAGAATTATGACCACCCCGTGAAGTGGTCGTGGGACCCCGATGAAGAGCCCGAGCCTAGATTCAACCCTCTGCAGACATTCCGGGATGCACTCAGCCTTGCTGCGACATGCAAAACCCTCTATACCGACCTTACTGGTGGAATCTATCGCAAGGACGTGGAACATAACGGATTCGCTGCGTTATTGAGGTCAGCAATTACTGGGAATGTAGCTGGCATCGTGCGATCTCTTAATGCCGGCGCCGATATCCATATAGGCGACGCTACCCAGGGTCTCGTCGTCTGTAAAAGCACTCGAGAACGCTCTGCAACCGGCCGAGTCAAGAAGATCCCGAATCGTACATGGCATCCTTGGGACATGAGCGACCAAGTCACTGCTCTTCATTGGGCCGCCTAACATGGCCATAGTGACGTTGTGGCTCTGCTGCTGGAGCGTGGCGCCGACATCGACCGCCGCGTCCGTCTCGATTCTCGGTCACAACTCGAGATAATATATTTCAACGATCCAGAACAGGCGGCTTACTTGTACCCTGCGGGCTTCTGCTGCGATCTCGTGAGGCGCAACATCTCCTCAGGCGGAGCATTTCTGCAGAGTGTCAACAAAGCTGTCGCAATATGGACCTTGGAACACGGAGCAAGTCCCCTCTACTTCGCCATCAAAGGGGGGGATTTGGGTACGTCGAGATTACTGATCGAGAAGGGTGCAAGCCTTGATACCCACCTAGGCACTCGTGTCCATGCTCTACATCAAGCCGTGGCGAATTGTGATGTCAATCTTGTCGAGTTCCTGTTGAGTATCAACCAAGTTGCCAACAGAATCAACACCATACAGGATGGCCGCCGCGGATCAGCTCTTCACTGCCTCAACTATGACGTTGAGGAGGTCCGGCATGCGAATTGCCAAATCATAAAGTTACTTGTGTCGCATGGCTGTCGATTAGATATTTTAAACAACTACAACAATATGCCCGTCGACGAGGCAGCGAATGACCTATGCCGTACAGCGGTTGCAGAGTTGATCCGACATGGCTCTCATCTCCCTCGCTTCCTTACCTCGTATGGTCGCGTTCCAGAGGAAATATCGGTAGCCATTGGTGAAGTCCTAGCTAGAGGTCTCACCATCCCTAAACGTAACTGGAACACAATGATCAGCAGCGAGATTCGAGGAGGATGGTGGATGTATCCCCATTTCTATAAATTTGTTCATCGGACAAACTCCATTCCCGTACCTTTGAGTGGCTTTACACTCTTCCAATGGATACTTTACTGGGAGGCAAGACCTTTCGCGTACACAGTCTTGCCAGGCCAAGAATCGATGTTACAGGCTTTAGCGATCACTTGAAAGGGGTCGTGGGGCTTTTACCTAAGGGTATCATAGAAGTTAGGATATCTAACCCAAGCTTAGTGCCTAAGCAAGTATAAATTATTTTGTCAATAGACTTCTGTGTCCTGATCATTTTATGGACCGCCTGATACTGTCCCATGCTCGCGAGTAATGCCATCCGAGTGTTTCGACGACTATAGTCTTACATTTCCGAAATTCTGCAACAACGTCCGGTATGGTGTAGTGGCTAACATTTCGCGCTCTCACAACCTGAGAGATCAGTACCGCGGAGCCCAGGGTTCGATTCCCTGTACCGGAGTTTCGTTTTGCTGTACAAGCACGTCCTTGCCTCTCTTTTTGCCAAGCAATGCCTCCAACTCGAGGTTCACAAATGCGGGTAGGCCCTGCCTTATTTTATCTACTCAAGACATCTGGAATCAATGGCAAAACGGATAGCTTGCACATATGTAAGCTCTTCAACTGTGTCCGGCGTGTAATTCGGATCCGGAAGTGGGGCCAACAAGTTACTCGGGGCGGAGGAATCGAGGAGATTTGAGAAAAGTGACGACGGTAGAAGGACCGTAGAATTGGAGAACCTCTCTCTTATCGATAAAGATTTCACCATTATTCGGCAATTATGCTGTCAGTAGCGGGATGACATCAACGACCCTGGGATCATTCAGAGTGCTGACTCTGACTGTAACGTATAGTTGCCAGAAATGGCTATTTCAGATCATCGCAATAGAATGTCATATCACAAGATAGAGTCTACAACGTTGGTTCATGTCTCCATGGAGCATTCGGAGACGGGTTGATTACAAAGATTGCTGTAACAATCGCGCAATTGAGTTACCTTGGCTGGCCTTGGTCCAATTGTGGATGTGGGTTTAGCTCCTCCACCCTCCAGAACTTCGGATTAGAAATCTAAATCGGGCACCTTATGAATAATCGATCCAGTCCATTTCATTCCCCCAGACAAGTGCAGTAACCCCCTCACTCACTATAACTTGCATATGCATATTGCCTTAGTAAAGGTCAAGATCTTCTATCCATTCTTATAAAGCTCTCACCATTCCCCCTTCGAAACTCACTTCACTCACTCACCACTTACTACATTAATGACAACGCGCATTGCCCAGCTAGGCAAACAATTCTTCACCATGGCTCAAAAGATCAAGACTGACATCACCCTCTACACCACCAACACCCCCAATGGCATCAAGCCTTCCATTCTGCTCGAGGAGCTCAACCTCGACTACAAGGTAAATTACCTGTCTCACAGCCACACAATCAATCTAACAAGCTCAGGTCCACGCTATCAAGATGACCGAGAATGAGCAAAAGGAAGAATGGTTCCTCAAGATCAACCCCAACGGTCGCATTCCTGCTCTCACTGATACCCTCGATGGCAAACAGATCCGTGTCTTTGAGAGCGGTGCTATGCTTCAGTACCTAGTTGATCGCTATGACAAGGACCACAAGCTTTCTTTCCCCTATGGCTCTGCTGAGCATTGGGAGATGACTAGCTGGCTGATGTGGCAGATGGGTGGCCTCGGTCCTATGCAGGGACAGGCAAACCACTTCAAGCGTATGCATTCTTGTCTCTTTTCACGCATCAAATACTGACGGTGTTCAGGCTACGCTCCTGAGAAGATTGAGTACGGCATCAACCGCTACACCAACGAGACCCGTCGTCTGTACCGCACTCTCGACACTCATCTCGCCGAGCAACCCTCCGGCTACATCGTCGGCGGTAAGGTGACCATTGCCGATATTTCAATCTGGGGTTGGGTCGCCAGTGCCAGTAAGTCTCTTCTCTTCTCTCATCACATTCCGCATACTAACACATCCCGACAGAGTGGGCTGGTGTCGACCTCTCCGAGTTCCCCAGCCTGGAGAAGTGGCTCTACAAGCTGCTTGAGCGTCCTGGCTTCGAGGCCGGTCGCCATGTTCCTACCCCTCACGGCGCCTTTGAGATGAACAAGCTGTCTGAGGAAGAACTTGAGGAGAAGGCTTCTGGAGCCAAGAAGTGGGTGCAGGCTGGTATGAAGGATGATGCCAAGAAATGAATTAACGAGAACATGAAAGTCGAATAATTACTAAAACAATAATACATGCAATCTTCTTAACTCATCGATGACCCATATACCGAATGTGACCATCGCCGACTCATTACTTCTTGACAACAGCCAGCTGGCTTCGCACAGGCACATTCTCCTCTCTTCCAACCTCGGGGAAACCCTCAACCTTGACTCCCTTTCGGAAGATAACACAATGCGTCGAGCCTCCGAAGTGGAACATACCTGTCTCCTGTCCCTTCTTGACATGGTCACCCTCCTTAACCGTAATCTCACACGTGCTCACTTCATCCATACCGATACCAACAAACGCCAGCAGTCCAATGGCCGGCTCATCAGCTTCGATAATGATGATAGCTCTCGTAGCCAACGAACTCAAGTATCCCTGGCTTTGCGACAATCCAGCTGCCGAAATCTCCGTCGAGCCAGGCTCTCCCACACCCTCGAAGAGAGGCTCACTAAAGTACGTACCGTCCTGTACGAAAGCACGCACGATCTTTCCAGAAACGGGAGTGTGCCAACGGTGGTAGGACAGAGCGGAGAGGAAGGCCTGGTAGATGGTGCCGCCAGCAAACTTCTCGGCGAGAGGGTCGTGAGCGAGCATATCGAGGATAGAGTAGGGCTGACCCTTTGCGAAGAACCGGTCTCGGAGCTTAACGTCGTGCTCGATGTTGTACACGCGCGATTCACAGCAGTTGGCGATGACGAGATCGTCATCGGGTGATGCAACCGGACGAGCACTGTCGCGGATCTTACGAGTGAAGAAGTCTAACCAGTTAGTGGGTGAAAGAGCTGTGTCGGCAAAGTGATATCTTACCGTCCCATGACTTGAAGCCATAGTATTGAGCTGAAGCATCACACTCAAACATGTCCTCGAACTTCATATCCGAACCCAGAGGCTTGTTGGCAACTTCGACGAGGTCGTGAAGACCTGTCGGGCCAAACCAGCCCTGCTTGTGATCTCCCAGGACCTTTGCCGAGTCAGGCGTCTGTCCAGAGTCAGTGCAATTCTTCAGCCTTCATGCATACATAACATACCTGAAGATACTTGCCCCATTCATTGAGGACCTTCTTCAGCATTCGGTTCACATCAGGATCCAAGAAAGCCGCATAACCACTACACTCGTCAGTCTCACCCACACACTTCTCATCTCAGTGAAAACTCACCTGGGCGTTCCCATAGGGTAATCAAAGATGGCACAAAGCGGCACACCGACCATGCCCACACTCTCCGCCGCATCCGTCCACTCAGGAGCCGTACTAAAGATATGGTTCAGCGCCTGCAGCATGTGCTTGTAGTCGCGCAGCTGCGGCGTCCCCGTAGGATCATTCTGGTAGGGATGCTTCTGGGGGATCTCTTCAAACATCTGGATGAAGTACATGTACACGCGGGGTGTCTTCTCGATGAATTCCTTGAATTCTTGAAGGACGGGGATGAGCTCTTTGGGGTTCTCGTCAGCGTGTTTTGTCACCCGGCGCATGTACTCTCTGTGCACGCGGTGGTCGGCGGGAAGCCATGCACCAGGTCTGAAAGCATTGAGTTAGCTATGGTAAGATGGGATAGGAAGTGAAGCTCACTTGTTGATGCGGTGCTTGGCGGGGATTTGGTGGTGGTCTCCGTGTTGATGAACCATGTTTGCTGCTGTTGTGTCTTCGCTGAATATGTTCTTGACTGCGTATGATACTGAAGAGCAAGTTGAGATCAGTTCAGCTTCAATTGCCAAGCCAGAGGTTCTATATAAGACTCCTCTTCTCCATAGACTACCCCATCTTCAATCTCACTTAGTTAGTGCTACGTCAGCTAAATCTCGATGATGTAAACCCTCCTTCAGACTTACATGCAGCTGAAGCTCCCAAAAACTCCACCCCCGGGCATTACCGTACTAACCCCTCTCCGGAGTACCCGTTTATAAAGTGCCGTTATCCGTATTCAATCAATTCCCTGATAATTTCTTGTCAAGAATGCAAGGCGCATTGCTTTGTCGATTGTTGTGCCGATCTCCCGAACTACCAAAGCCAATTGGAAAATCACGGTGACGTTGCTGGCGTTTCTTCCAAGTATGGGCTTCTCCAAAAGATCTTGGTCTATTTTGGGGTTCAAACTTCATGATCATTACAGTTCATAGTACCTTGGAATATGCCGTTCTAGATCTTGGTATTACTCAACATTTCAGTTCTAGAATGTTTGTCAATTGACGTCCTGTTATGGTTTCGAGCCATCGAGATTGACATTGGATATCTGCAGATCACCACTCCCGATGTCAAGCCGGTCAATCCTGCTTACACAGACACCCTTGATGCTTTACAACACAATTGTAAGAATAACATAATCACTATGCAGAAGGACACTTCATAGTATTTAATCTTTTTTAATCATCCTCTTCAACTCTCAATCTCCAAAATCCCCCCAGTAATAAGATGCATCTTGGTGAGTAGAACTAACCCATATGCCAGCATCTTCAGACTTTTATTTCACTCAAAGTCTGTAGAATTGCACCATCAAAAAACCACCTTCTATCAATCCGCCCCATTTGTACTCCTTCTCCATGGGCAAGAATATAGCAAGAAATACCGTTTCAACGACAAAACGGTTATCAGTTACCAAAAGACAAAGCAGGAAGCTCGAACGCCTGAAATTAAATACATGTAATGAAGGACTCCAGGAAAGACATGTGTGCCCTTGCTTCACCAGAGACTCGGGCAGCTCACCGAATGAGCCCGTCACGTCGGTGAATCCATGAACTTTCCTCTATCGGATGTGTCGTTGTGACAAGGTCGCTATCTTTTGTTCGGAAGGGGCGGAACGAATCGCTGAAATAAGTAGAACAAAGGGAATGAAATTTGCGTCGCTAACCAGATGGCAGACTGGTTTGGTATGATATGGTGTAACACAGTGGCTGAATGTAAACAATTCGAAAAAGAAATTCGTTACGTCGTAAGGTGTTCTCAGGCACGTGCGGTAAGGAGTGTGTTCTCGGTATCGTGGTTCGATCGACAATTTGGTGTATGTATGAGTGGCTTACATGACCACGCAGCATCCGCAGCCTCCCTTGCTATCGTCGTCCGCAGGTTGTTGGCGTTGAGGACGCTGAGGTTCTTGCACAGGAGGCTCAGTAGACTGCTCCTCTTTCGGTTGCTCTGGAGCCGGTGCGTTGGGCGAAGTAGGTGCGTTGGGAGAAAGAGGTGTCCTTGGGCTCGGGAGAGGACTGGTAAGAGGCTTATCCGAGATCTTGGGCATTGTGGAGTAACCTCCAGCACGAAGTGTTGGGCTCCTGACAGGCTCCAGCTTGAGCGGCCATTCACCCTCTGGTCCGTTTCCTTCTTCTTTCCGCTCGTTCTCCTCTTCAGATCTATCCGCTTGGTCGCGATGTTCTTTGCCCAAAGCGTTGTCGTTGAGCGGCCGGAAGTCCTTATCGTAGACATCGCCGAATTTACCCTCCTTCTCCCACTTCTCTTGCTGTAGGCGGCGCGCCACCGTGGGCAAGAGTTGTTGGTCAGGGGGCAGTCGTGGATCAGGTTTATAAGAATTAATCATCCATGGAGGGTCACCTTCGGGAGCCTTAGTCGCCGCAGACAACTCGCCAGATCGAGTTGAAGGTCGTGTAGTAGAGATGCTATTTCCAATAGAACCAGATCTCGTCTTTGGCCTGGTGGTTCCGGTCGTGCCTGTCTTCGAAGGACCAGATGTTTTGCGTGGGCCGTTCGCGTTCTTCTTGGGCGAGGGATTATCGGTAGCCGCTCGCTTTGGTGCGGGCAAGCTACTGTTGAAGTTGCTGTTGATCGACATGGCATCGGATCCCTTCATCATATGTGCGCTTCCAGGTCGAGCCTTTTCATTTGTCAAAGTCCGTTCATCTTCGGGGCTCGAGCTCGTCTTTCTCGTAGCAATGGATGCTCGCTCAAAACGATCAATACTGATGGGCACTGGACTAACCTTGGCAACCGGAATGCGAGAGCCTCCTTTATGGTTGTTTGGATGAAAGTAAGCATTGCTTTCTTCCTCAGCAATCTCTTCTGGAGTTCTCAAATCCCAGGCTTCGCCTGTAGTCTCGGGACTTCGCGCATCGACAGCAGATGAGTTCTTGCGAGATCTGGTCTCAGATGCGTCTGTGCCCCGACGTATAGCACTTCGGCTTCGGTCTCGGTCACTTCGTCGTTGCTTACTCTGGTTACGAGGTCTCGGGATATAAATACCGGCAGCTTGAAGCTCTTCGTTTTCTATCCTTGCCAATTTGTCGCGGTGAATCCATTTGGAACCCTCCTCGATAGGCGGTTGATCGATAGGCACAGCATTGCGACTGTATTCGTCTTCGGCCTCATCAGGGCCATATGTTTGTTCCCAGGAGCCGCCATTCAAGGCTGGGCTTGTCTTGGATTCAGTGATATGACGAGCTCCGGCTCCGTCAACGGAGTTGTGAAGTTTTGCACTCGAAAGATTGTCGTGGGAATTTACTTTGCGACCTACTCGGTCCATTCCAGAGTGGTAGGAGTTGGAGTTGCCATTTTGGGTAGAGAAATGGTTCCTCTGAGAGAAGTCGTGACTGGTCACAGCATTCATATCGTTATCAAAATCCTAACCAATCGTCAGCAACTAGCCCCTGCAACCTCAATAGCTGTAGACAGCATCCTAAGATGCAGAGCTTCATACCTCCTTCTGGGACAAGTTGTATCCCCATGAATCTCTATGCCCATGACTGCTACGCGGCGGGGTTATATTCTCGGTCGAGGTCGGGGCTGGAGCCATTGTCGCCTTGTCGATGGCGCCCGCGACCTCCTAGGAATGACTTGGCGGCGCGCAAGGCGGTAAAAGAAAGGTATGTGTTTCGATGTTTTTTAAGACGGAAAGAGAGCGATATCGTGATTAAAGCCGGCAGATTTCGGAGTAGTAGCCGTTAGATAAAGTAAAGGTAGTGTTTGTAGGACACAATCGGTAGTGCGAAGGTTGATCGAGGCGGCTAACGAGGGGATCCGGCAAGTTAAGGGGTGGAGAGAGATCGTATGAAGAAGTGATAACTTTTAATGGAGTAGAGTAAAGAAACTATCGACGGCCAGCGATACGTTGAAAGATATCGTCGTCACTAAGATATCATTCTTTGGTAAATCGAGGCGCGTCGGGCTCCGAGAGAGCTGTGCAGAGAGAAGAGAAGGTAGGACAGAAGATGAGGCGAGAGAGAATTGCCATGAGGGGGCTGGTCTGCGGCAAAGTTAACACTGTGTTGGTGTGCAAATAAATGGCACCTGAACGGCGCTGCCACTAGGTACATCCACTGCACGGCCCCTCACCCGGGCGGGCTAGATCCCCTGGAAAGCCCCCTGTACGGACTCAGCGAGCTCTAAGTGGACACGGACGGAAATACAGTAGAGAAGAGGCAGGGATTGTCAAAGGAACAGTCAAAGTGGCTTGAGATGGGATATGAAATTTGTGATGATGGAGAGACATTCTTTACTAGGCAGGTTTAGAGCTTTGTCGCTTGATTTGCACCTGACAAAGATAGGATCCATACTGCAGATAGTGATAGCTCTACGCATCAGCGGTGTGGTTGATGGATTGGATGGATCTGATCGGGTATCTCGTGGCTAAAGCATTCAACCAATGGCTGGAAGAAGCCAAACTAGAATCCATGATTGCGCCACGCTTCATGTACAATGACCAAAGGCCGCAAGCCGGAATATTGATTGAAGGCCAGTTGATTGAAAGACCCTAACTCCCAAGGCGGTCCCCCTTAGCTGCCGGCGCCGTTTGTTTCATTCTAATTGCTCAATGGGCAGCAACAAAAAGAATGGGATGGATCATGCTGTCGACGCACAGATAACTGCAAGCCAGCGAGTGGAAGGGGAATATTCATGGTTTCCCCTGATGAGAATAAGCCGCGCCGGGGTCAGAAAGCCACTGGGCAGGGGGGAAGAGCAACGGGCCAATTTGATGAAGGAACCCGACAGTGGACGTCCACGTCTTTACCTGAAATTTCGTTGCTTTTTTTCGTAAGTCGTTTTGTCAGTCAGTGTTCATTTTCTTTTCTTGGTTTGAAGCAAGGTATACCCCATACGGAATTATTCTGGCAACGTCAGCGCTTCATGCGCTAGAGAGACAAAAAGTGATAGATGTCAAGTCCTTTGATCAATGCTTTGTTTGTCTTTTTTTTTTAATCGCTAACTGACCTGCTATAGGCAGAAAAACGGCGTGCTTTAACTCAAATGGATGATACCGAGATTAGATTCCCTCCAAGATGGTTGGACCGTTGCGCTGGGAATGGACTGTCAATCAGCTGGCCCCTGTGTTGAGCGACAGGGGACATATTATAATTCATCATCGCCTTGGTTTATGCAACGCTGTTGAATTGCACGTCAACAGGGGTCAACTAAACGAGGAATCACATATTTAGTTATATGGGAAAGGGGGCCCAAACAGACAGACACACTCTTTTTGACAGCAAACTTGCATGAGGCTTTCTTTAATGAAGTCATTCACAGACCAAGAAACAAGCAAAAGCGGGAAGAAACTTGGCCGCCTCAGAGCGTGAAGAGGTTGCCATTTAGGGTCTTTCTAGCGTTCAAATTAGCGGCGCACTGTCTGTGCACTGTATTGTGTCCGTGAAACGGTCCCACAGATTCCAACGGCACTTGTTTCTCCAGCATCTCGGTTCACTCTTGCAACCTCCGTCATGCTTAAATTACGTAGCATTCTTATCCGAGTATTCCTTGATCTTTGAATTCTCTGTTACATTTGGGTGTTCTGTTGATGATAAAGTCATCTTCTAGAATCATCAGATGAACCTTTGGTGGTCCCTCAGCAGCATATCATCGATAGGCTTGATCCACCATATCTCATATCTGCAGCCTGCACATCACCCTCGCATTTCGGGTTTAAGCGAGAGCCTCATAAGGACGAGAATCAAGTAAAAGACGCCCTCGAAACGTGCTTCAACGGTTACTCCCGTCTGGCAGATACCCCCGAGAGTCTCCCTTGCAGAGGAAAAAGAAACCACCTCGGCCACTTGACATAAGCTTGATTTCCGTATTCTGAAAAGAAGAGCAATTGTCTTAGACAACTCCACTGAAGATCAACGCTAGTGATTACACTTTCGGTTCCTCGAATTTGCTCCAAAGTCAACCGTTTCCTTGGGTTCGCCCGTTGAATAATTGGCTTTGCTTTTGACGACATTATGACAACATCAATGAGGAGAAGGACTAGAATAGTCTGTATCTCGGACACTCACAACTGCCAAGTTAAACTGCCCAAGGGCGATGTCCTCATTCACGCAGGAGATTTGAGCAATCAAGGGAGCCATGCTGAGGTCTGTAGTTCTGACTCACAAATGTTCTTGACGGCCACATACGAGATGGAGGCTGATACATCTTCAGCTTTCCAAAACAGTCGCTTGGTTAGAGAAGCAGGACTTTGAGGCCAAAATTGTCATCGCTGGTATGGCTCTTCAAGACTTCATGACTGTCGAGAAGTGTCTAACTTGCCTTTCAAACTCCAGGCAACCATGATATCACTCTAGATCGGGAGTTCTACGCCGAGCATGGTCTTTACTTTCACAACAAGAGCCCCCAGTCTGATGACGAGTGTCTACGACTGTTCACTTCTTCGCCTTCGATAACGTATCTCGCCCACGGCTCAGCCAACGTCCGCCTCACATCGCCTTCGGGGCCGCGTACGCACTTCAAGGTCTTTGGGTCACCATACTCTCCGCGACACGGGCTGTGGGCATTCTATTATGACGCTCCTCAGAATCCTGGCAACTGGTCAGACCTGACGTCGCTCTGGGAGTCCATACCACTTGATACAGATATCGTCGTGACACACACGCCTCCGAGAATGCATTGCGATGAGACAGATGAGCGACGAGCTACTGGCTGTGAAGCTCTAAGGCAAGCGCTTTGGCGAGTGAGGCCACAACTCGCAGTCTGTGGCCATATTCATGACGGAAGAGGTGCTCAGCGAGTGATGTGGGATCTAAGTTGTCGGAATGTTGCCTATCAAGAGAAGAGTGTCGTGCGCTGGGAGGACCCTGGAGAAGGTAACAACAAAATCTGTCTGGTAGATCTGACAGGAAAGAAGGCGCCGTCACTCGACAACGATGGCTCTCATCCAGGCCGTTATGGAACAAGTACAGGAGACTCTGACGTAACCGGCATCAATCGCCCCAAGGAGTCAGCAATGAGTTCATATGCATTCGGATCTAACCCTACAGATAGTCATGCTTCTCATGGAACCATCGGATTAGGGGGTGATCCCGCTTCGCCACGGAGCGATCAGGTAGCTCTGTTTGGGAGAATGGGTCGAAGAGAAACATTTGTTGTTAATGCGGCGATCATGAAGAGTCGATATCCACATGTCGGAGGAAAGCAATTCAACAAGCCCATCGTAGTCGACCTTGATCTCCCTGTTTGGGAGCAGGACGGCCATATCGATGGCCATTGATTCGCTCGTGCTTACCCTAGACTCAGGCTCGAGTTGATGCCCAACGAACCACCATTGGGAGAGAAGATGGCCTCAAAGAAACTTCAAGCGATAGCTTCTGATGGAGCTTACAGTTGGCCATAGGCTATTGATATGTTTGCTACGCTGTGACGCACCTTCTGCATTGTGCTGGATTGGGATGTAAATATGGTGGTATTTTACGTCGTGCACCAACGCTGGCAGATGCATGTCATGGTCGAGTCCAAAAGATGAACTACAATTCTAGTGCAGGAACGTGGTGCCAATGGCTGCTCGAGTACTTTTAAAGTAGATAGGTTAGCCAGTAATTGAGCTTCATCAATATCTTGGTGTACTTGACGCTTGCATGATGTCTCCAAGATGTAGTTGTAGGTATCCATCCCAGTCTTGGACTGTAGACTACCCTGGAGCAAGATGTGAGCAAAGTTGGGTTTCACGACTTTCAAAACTCCAACTCCTCGAGTGATAAAGGAAGTAATCGGTTCAATGCTGCCAAACGTTCACCGTAATTACAACACCACATACAATGCATCTCTGGCTCTACTATGAACTCATAGCCCCTCCCATTGAGACGCCAAGAGGACAAAGGAAATGCCTCCTTGGCACATGAAACAAGGGAATCCCGTTGATGGACATCCACGTGCCTATCGCATGAAGATCGAACAAACCTTCTCCTTGTTCATCGTCGTCCCGAGTTACAGAATCTTTACCCAGCCCAATACAAATAAATAACCACAACGAGGGATTTGCTTCATACCTGCGGGGAGGGCTCCGCAGCAAGAGGGGGAAACCCAGCGATTGAACCAGTACAGTCTCGTCTCCTCACCGCCAGTCTTTGTCGTGATACCCTCAGCCCAATAGCGCGGTGCTTAGTCCCCCTGTATTTTTTCCTGTTCTATCTTGGGAATGGCGAAGCAAAGCACAAAACTCGTCCCCCTTTTCTGCGTATTTTAATACAAGGCTAGATCAGGTACGGCAGTTCCTCCATGAAACCAACGCGACCTACCTTACGGATACTGTAATACGATATTACGCTTCGCTTCGCTTCACAAAATACGACCCCGCGTTTAGCGACAATGCATACATAGGAGAAAAGGGAAAAAGCAAAAGACAAACGCTCACGGGGATCTTCCCAGGAACATGGCGCTTGAGGCATTTGACCGACGCGGGTTGAAGCGGCCTGTTCCCTGCTCGTCCATTAACGCGTTCGAGGGGTCAGTCAGTCATGGTCAAGGTCATGAATGACATCGGCATCGCCAATCGCGGGATCGTCAAAGGGTATCGGTATCGATCGATGCGTGTAGCACCTAAAGATCAAGGACCAAGATTTCTACAGGTACAATAGGGAAGGGAAGTACACCTCATCTTTGGGCTCACATGGTGGATAGGACAATTCCCAATATTTCGTCAACTGCGAGCAAAAAAACTTGGAACAAAAAAGGTTGGATCATACAAGAGGTAAGGTGAAAAAAGCCGGATCCAAGGATTTGACGTCTGGTAGAGAGCACGCCCACGTGGTGCACTACGCTATCGAATCCCATCCTGCCATCTCAAGCTATGGACCGAGAAATAACGTCAAAGAGCTCGTGCCAGAGCCACACACTTGATAGTTGCCCACCCTTTTATCCAACTGGATGATTGTTTGTCATTGTACATACTCGCTTCCCATTCATCGCGAGATTGATGATGTGGTATGGTGCCTGATAGCGGGTATCCAAAGACAGGAATTTGATCATCAGCCTTGCTTAGTGAAGCTCTCAGAGGAGGAACCCTTCTAGAAACTCTGCTGCCACAGGTGTTTCGTGTTTGTTAAGTCACTCTACGCTTTCAGTAAGCGTAAAAAGTACCTGGCTTCCTCTCTGTCTTTTCTTTCTGGTCAAGGATTAGCCTAGTAAATCAAGCCTGTGATCCTCAAAGCCACATGCTGCGATCAGATTCAAGCAATCCGGCCTTGCCTAGAGATGGCTAGAGAGCTCTCGTGAGGAGGGGTCTTTTATCAATCTTCTGCCGCTTGCTATTCCTAACAGAGAAGTCTCCCTTCCTAGGTCCTTACTCAGAGAGGAAAGCCCCCTGGGCGAGAAGGTCGATGATCTTCCTCTTGCTTCGCTCGTTCTGGCGGTGGCCCCCTTTGGTTTGGTTCGCTTGTTTCCCCAGGATTCTGGTCCTCTTTGTTTGTGTACCTGTACCTGTGTACTGTACTGTAGTCCATGTATTGCCTCAGCTCCCGGCTGTAACCTGGCCAGTTGCGGAGGCCCAGATCAAAGTTCCGCTCGAGTTGCTTACGGGCATATGTACGATTTAGGCCTGATCTGTATCTTTGTCATCTTTTCTCCCATAAAAGACCTCACTTGAAGAAAACCAACGACGAAGAAGAAGGACTTGATTGGTCGAGATATCATCCTAGATGTGATCAGATGCGAAGCCCGTTGGACGGCCCCGCCTTTTCCCGAAGACGGGGAGTTTTGCTTTTTATCCAATCAAGTATTAGATATCCCACCTTCTTTTATCCCTCTGTCTTGGCCTGGCTTCAGCCCAACGGTACTGGGCCATGACGCTGATGACCACTCGTCACAAGAGCCTCTGATCTGGGGGAGCATCTGACTTTTTTCTTTTTCTTTTTTCTTTTCCTTTCGTCAGCAATCGGAGCAATTGTTAATTCTATAATAGTGATAAACGTGATGTGTGGTTCGTTCTGCCGTCACACAGGCGCTTATTTGTGAAGTCCTGTGCGAGAGATGTGATGAGTCCAGTAGACGACGACCTTTTGGGTATCAAACGTACATACATAGGACTCGATACTTCTCCTGGATGGTGTCATGCAGAAGAAACAGACCAGACTGCCCCTCACCACCATCTCCCGTCTCCCCTCTATGGTTCATTGGTCTTTGTCAGCCTGTGCCCACTGCATCTCTTTGGTCTTTCTGCAGGTCCATCTCCTATCGGATGAGGAGTCCACAGAGAAGCCTTCTGCAGGAATGCTCGTGTGTCTGTCTGGTGTAGCATCCACATCATGACACTCTTTGCTTCATGGCAATCACTCCACTTGTGCTTGGCTGTCTGCTTTGCTTCTATACATCTGCCGTGGGGGTATCTTTTACGTCGGATGTGGAGATATCCAACACATGGCTTTCTCGAATCTTGTAATCCTCTTTTCACCGAATATCTGGTTACCTGCGGAGTATAGTAATTGACGATTGTTTACCATCATGAGGTTCCTGGGACAATGACCTGAAAGCCACAGCAACCACACATTTTTATCCACCTATAGCGGGTTACAGGGGGTGAAGCGAGAGTCTAGAGACGTGGTGCAACTTGGAAATGCAGGCCTCGTGATGCGATGGCCTGCGAGCTGCGTGCCCACTATCACTATCGGCCGTCTCACAAGGGGTCCAAAGGGAGCTTCATTCAGGGATATCTGCTGCAGCTTGTCGACAAGTCTCCTAGGCCGATGAATAGAATCGCACGAGAGAGAAGTAGGTCCCTTACTGGAGCTCGCTAGCGGCATCGGTTGATCAAGCGAGCTGAGCAAGGTCCAAGGAACGGAACAGAAACATGGAACAGCATCTGAAGCTAAAAGAGCTCATGAGACGTTCGTCGCTATAGTGATTACATGTAACTTCCTTGAAGCAATTGACCGCACTTGTGTCTGCTGTATCATGGAACATCACCAGGGCGTAGCTTGGATCTTGCTTGGCTCGTTTAGCTTACACACCAAGCCCTGACAGCTCAAGCTGTCGATCCCTAGAGCTCTACACACCGAGTAATTGATCGACGATCTGTGCTCATGTCCTCGTGGTGGGAAAATCACTTGTACATTATGCTGTCGACTTTTACAACAGGCATGATGCTGTATTCCAATTCGAATTCTTGTCGGATGGCCTCACGACCAACTCATTCAGCCCAACGAAGAAGAATTAGCCAGTCAGCCCATGGGTGTTAGTGGTCCAATGGGATGAGATAGGGCAACTGTGTCGACTGTTGAAATGTGATATGTCGTTGCTTGCACTATGTACTGTACTATGGTTGCCCAATCTCAGGGACACTCTGAGACAGCTCTACTTTCAACTATACTGCCTCAGCACCGTAACATTCTGCTTCACTTTACCTCGGTGATATTGTAAAAGATTCTTACAGCCATCATCGTCGTCATCATTTAGTTCAATTTTTCAGCCTTGTTAATACTGCTGAAATAGAAACCTCCATTCGCTTTCAGCACCGCCTCACGTATTTTCAGCTGGCTCAGACACGACTTTTCGGTGCAATGCTAAATTTAAGGAAAGGCGCCAGTCATCAGCCTCACCGCCTCTGGGCTTCGTCCCGCTCCCTCCCGCTTCCGCTCCCATCCCTCCCGCTGGGCACCTTCAGATGATTAGCCTTAGGACATGTCAGGCTTACTTCAGAGTACAGGGCACCTTCAGGTATCCAGATGCGATGCATTGCCCTGCAGTCGGGCCAAGGTTTGCCGTCTCATAACGGGGCTTGATGAACGCCTGAACTGTATTCTGGGAACTGATGATGTTTTTACTGGGCCGATTCAAGTGTCAGGATGTTCCTGGGCTGATTCATACAGCTCAGCAGCTTCATGGAGTTGTCGGGCTACGGTACCTCGGGGTCGGGCTACTCAATGGATGATTATCTCCACTCGGACCCTGAATTGACGACAGACCCGGAGCATTGGAAAGCCTTGCCTCATCATTGTACATGATTCTGATGGCTCATCTTTACGGTAAATGAACAAGATATTCAAGGACATTTCCGAGGTTTGCCCCGAGCTCAACAAAGACGGACGGACTTGAATTGAAGGGTCTTACTCGCCACACCAGCCACTCCGATTATTGAGGACTTTAGAGTCGGGCTTAGCATAGCTGAAATGCGAGGTACCGAATCTTTTGCCTTAAACAGTCACTACACTACACCACACCGGAGTCGCCTTCTACTAAGCAATTGATTATCAAGGGGAACGTTGTAATCAAGATTGACACTTTTGGATACGGGGATTATTCAAAACCAGTAATTGATCTAAATCCGAGGCTATATCTGATCTTACACCCATTATGAGATAATGGGCCATGGCCAGTCATTCTGGTTCATCGCCCTCCGCGGCCGCTTCCTTTCTGCGTCGTCCTCGCGCAGCGAAACAGTGACGCGGTACATGAGCCATTACCTGACTCATCTAGCACGGTACCTTTAGCTCGGTTAACTCGCCACTAAGATGCATGTACCTCCACGTGTCTCGACTCGTAAGATCCGCGTACCTATAGCGAACCGCGCCACAAACCCACTTCCAGTGAATCAAGTCCCCCGGGCACGCATTTCACGAGCCATTTCAGTGAAAGAGCGCGCAATTGACCACTAACAACCAGGGGACCAGTCACTAACCTGGTATAAGTGCGGGCTGCAGCAGCGCTGTTCTTGGCTGGGCTCAAAGCATTCGATGTCCTTCCATTAGTTGCTGTCTCTTCCAACGGGATTCTCCATATACCGTGACGCTATTCGCCCAGGACGTACGGATACTGCAAGAGGGTAAAAAAACACCGATCCCTTTTACCAAGCATCTTGTTCCGTCGTGTCAGTTCAGTTCAAGGTACTAGTCAGCTCATGATTAATCGCCGCCGCCGCCGACGAGGACAAAACACGAAACGGAAAACACGACTCTAAAGGAGGCTGAGGAGGCGATTATTAAACCGTTCAAGCGTCTTAACACGAATAAGACTTTTAAAACTGAATTAAAGTAAACTCAACTCGCCACGTTCCTGGATTCTTTGCCTTTTGAAGCAAGGAACAAATTCCCCTCGCCCAATTGACTCTGATCTTCCGTTGCGTTTTGATTCTTTTTCACTCCACTAGAGTACGTACCTCGACACTATTCAACCATCTGGGGCCTCAGGCAGAAGTCCTTGGCACAGGGAAGGTACTTACGCCTACATTGCTTTGGAGCGCCCAGCCACCTCGTTTCAATCACACGCCTCACGAGTCAAACCATTCGATTTAATCAGTAGCTCGTAGCTACTTGATTCATTCTAGAAAATCAAGATTTCAAAGGCGATAAACGGATTTCATCGGTAGAGAAGTGACTCTTTTCAGGTCTCGAGAGTCCATAACCAAGTCACGACTCGAGAAAAAAAAAGAGAAACTCCACAACGGCCAGACCAGACCAGACGGGACCCAACTCCATCGCAAAGAGGGACTCTGACTACCTCTCAAGTACTTGCGGCCACAACCAGTACCGCTTACAGCACCCCTCCAGGGGACCACCTTCTGGACCGACAGCGACCACTAGCAAGCAGCTCAGCGCGACGCACCACCAGACGAGACAGCACAGGTGGACCGCCTTGACCGGCGACCGGGCACCCCCAAAGCCAAAGGCGACCCTCCAGAGTCGTGGACCCCCTTCCCTGGCGTCGACGATCAAGACTCTAGCCCGTCCTCTCTATCGACCCCTTGTACCGGCGAATCAGTCCCCCCTGTCTTCTACCACGCTTCGCCCGTGACCTCATCTTCCTCTTGTTCTTCAATACCCCAACGACCGCTGTCTCCTTCTCCCTCATTGTTTCTCTGTTCCCCGTGGACGTGAACAACCAAATCAACACCACCAAACTTTACATCTTTACTTTCTGTCGTGTTCAGCAGCCGGCTGCTCACGTCAAGACTCTCGCCTGCCTACCCCGGTCTTTCGTTTGATCTGGCATTGATTGCATTTACTTGCAAGTTCAAGTTTTCTGCCTGGTCTACGGTACCCTGCAAATCCGAGCATCCACCCGCCTTAGGTGCTCTGGCGACGAGACTCACAAGACACCGCCCCCAAAAGCCCAGACCACTCAACAACATCAACTTATACCCAACTGGCTTTTAATATACAAACGGCCTCCCAGCCCTGCCTTGCTTGTAGGACACAGCCTTATCAAACCCGCCAAAGCCTCGCCCTTCCGACGACCTTCGGATCCATGCAATAGACATTTTCACGAACAACATTTGTCTATTTTATATACTCGACACCTTAAACAGTAGTCGACATCAACTCATCCAATATGTCTACACAAACTCCTGATCCTTACAAAATCCTGGGTGTTGCCAAGGATGCACAGCTACCCGAAATTCGATCCGCGCACCGAAAGCTTGTTCTTAAATGTCATCCCGACAAAGTCCAGGATCCAACATTAAAGGCTCAGAAGCAGGACGAGTTCCAACGGGTTCAAACCGCTTACGAACTACTGGCCGACGAGAAGGAGCGGAAACGCTACGATGATCAGGCCAGACTCGCGGAACTTCGGGAGCAAATGAGGGCAAAGGCAGCTGCAAGCGCGTCAAGTCGTCAGACAAGCGCTGCGGCAAGCCCCTCTTCAGCTCGACCTACCCCTGCAACTACATATAAATACGAAATTCACACCCCTGAGCGCACTTACAAGGCTACTCGAGGACCTTCACCAGGTCCCAGAGGCTACTCTTCATATTCGCGTTCTTACGAGGATGATCATCCTCGCGCCGCTGATATCTTTGAGGGAGTCCGAACTGTGAGGAGAGAAAAGTCCTACCAGGAAAAGACTTCAACAAGACGTGAAGACAGGGAAAGAGAAGAGAGGGAACGAGAGAAGGAGTATGCACGAGAAATGCGTGAGCGAGAGAAGGAGAAGGAGCGTGAGCGTCAGCAAAAAAGAAGGGTCGAAGAAGCCGTTCGACGTGCCGAAAAGGAAGCCAAGGAAGCCGCCAAGGAAGCCCGACGCGCCGAGAAGGAGAAGAAGGCTCGCGATAAGTCTCGCAAGCGGGAAACGGAGAGCAAGAAGACGAAACCTTACATCGAGACCGACGGTGAGCCCGTCTCAAAGTCTGACAAGAAGAAGTCAAGTAAGAAGCACGATGAGCGACGCGAGCGTGATCGATCGACGCACCGTGAAGAGATTGTTCCTCCTCCTACCAGCTCGATGCCCCCGCCTCCTATTCCCGCTCAATATCAGACTGCCGAATATCAGAGCAAGGCCGATGCTGCGATGAGCTATATCCAGGCCTCTCGAAGCAAGGGCCAATCTTCTTTCGCCCGGCATGTTCAGCCTCCTGCGCCCACTCCACCTCCCGTTGGCTCGCCCTTCGCCGCCCCCGCCGAAGACGACGACGCTCGCCGATCATCCGCCAAGCCCAGACGTAACTCATCTGGCGAGAAGGCTTACTCCAAGCCTGAGGTTGTTGATGATCCTGTTGAGGCTACTCCTCCCACTGCTCGCCCTCACATGCACAAGTCTGCTACTGCTACTGGTGTGCCGACGAGCTCCCCTCCCCGACGCGACCTTCCCCGGACTTCTACTCTGCCTACCGAAGGCCACAGCCGTTACGCACCAGGCATTGCGAGAGCTCAGACCTTCAGCGGCGCGTATCCCGAATTGGATCCCCGCGGTCGAGGCCGCACCAGGCATCAGGCCCAAATTCCTGAGAGTGATTCCGAGGACGAGTACGAGCGTCTTCGACGTGAGCGCAAGGCTCATCGCAGCAGCAAGAAGCACCGCTCTCCTGAATCGCGTGGCGAGCATGTGATGCAGTACCGAGTGGATGGTGGCCGTACAACGCTCCAGAACTCTTACTCGCGCACCACTGAGCCCACCGATGCCTACGGATACTACGCCAACACACCTGGTGTACGTGTCGTCGAGCGCCCTCCCATGCCTTCTCGCGACGCTAGCTACTCTGGTAGCTACGGCGCCCAATTCTCCAAGGTCAAGACTTCAAGTTACGGTGACGTGCAGTTCAGCGAGTACCCCAAGTACCATGAAGCGTACGCTGCCTAGTTAGCAAGTCAACCTTCACATATATCGTCACGCGGCATCATTCCACGGCGTTCGAACGAATGTATTCAGCACTTGGGTTTTCTTTACTATCTTAGCCCCGGCATTGATATTTATCATTTATCTTGTTTTGATACTTAACGACACGAAATATGTCTTACGAAATACGAAACTTTCCTCGATCGCAGCCAGGCGATCGGGATGCGGGATGATTGGCGTGAAGGGTAGTGGTTGCTTGATTTCACCACCATATTGTTGAGTTTAGCTCCTGGCATCTGGAAGGCATGCACGGATCGCTGTGGAAAGACAAGTTTGCATGGTAGACGTGTTTTCTTGGCTTTGTCGCTGTGTGTTCTTGTGACCCCCAGGGCCACTCATTGTACGCTGTTAGGGAGCGCAGCATTCATGGCATCGGTAAGGGACACGTTTGGGCGGCTCTATCTGTTTTTAGTTCTGTTTTTCCATATCATCATCGGCGTTGGGGATACCACACTCGCTCGGGTTTCTTACTTACTCGGATGACGAGATTTTATATCAGATAGAGATAGGAGGCAGGCCTGAGATATGGCCTGGCTTGATTAGAAATGAAGCTAATTCGCCTCGCACTTTTACTGTTCTATTGTGATCTATACTTGTCTACTGATGTCTACATGAACATTCCTATCGTGAGGCTATACAACCCAGCCACCTTTACACTATCACATATCTTGGTGGCGATTTTGATCGCACACAAGCATAAGCTGACACGATTCTGCGCCGCCGTGAACAATTTCACGGGTTATGATCGGCCGAGGTGTCTAATTGCCCCGGATTGAACGGAGTTCATTTGATAGGTCGCATTTGTCCTCTCGGCAAGTATCATGAGTGACAAGACCCGCATCCAAAGTCACAACTTGTAACCCTCGATGTGGTGCACGCCGTAGCGATACAAGTACACGTCCCTGTCTGATTCGTTCATACACAGAACCGGGTCTAGATTATTTGGACACGGAAAGTGACATCTTTGCACGGGATCTTGCTTGCGCCTCCGGGAGGGTATCTTGTTTGGGACGGTGAGCCGCGGGTAGACGCGTAATGAAAGGCGTCCCCGGATTGTTGCCTTGGATCCAATTGAAGGAAGGCTGGAGTATCACAGGACGTCGTTTCGGGACTATTGAGGGCTGAAGTGTCAGTGGGGATGAATGAGGTGGCGAGACATGATGCCTGGTAGATGGCCACGTGCAGTCAAGATTTAAGCGAAGAGGATATCGTGGAGATGTTGTTTGTTTACTTACAGCGTGTCTGATCCTTCAAGTCTGTGGGTTAACATAGTCGTGATGCAATGCCAACAGCGTACTCCGTCGCGGATCCGCGTGAATAAGTGACATCGTGTGCATATACGGGTGTAGAACAAACTTCAATAGTCAATACGTATGCATCGAATTAAGGAGATGGTCGTGTTTGGGATGTATCAGAAGGATCGAAGTGGTCCTAATGGCCATGCATTATGCCGTGTCAGATATCCAATAGACCCATGATAACAACTCCAGTTTCATAAACAAACAGACAGGGTAAATGTAATTGAAACGGGAGCATACGCAAGATATGCAACGTCATGTCCATCGTGACTTCAACTTCCCAGCTGTGGTGTTCCGTCACTGCGATGCGATATGTAGGTATGCAGCCAAACAATATCAATTGCCGACTCATAGTATCTGTAGAATAGCTGGCATTCATCTGGCTTAGTAATTTGTAAGAACAAGTCTCCGTATGCTCTTGCTCCTTCCCCCAAGTCCTGAGTTGCTTCTTCACATTTACACAGCACTTCTCAAGGAGTCGTTTATCTTCACTTATGCTCCCTTATGTCCAGCCAAAGGCAACGACTCTTTGAGAAGTGGTGTTATCCCGAGCACATTGTCTCCGTACTTTGCAAATTGGGCATGGCTCATCACTCAATGCCCGCCCCAAGAATGAGCTCGAATAGAAGTTGCCTTGGAGTCGTTGCCCTTGAAACTACGACAACATCGACACAATGCATCGGCCTTTGGCACCGATGAACCTTCGCAGCCCACCGACCCTGTCAGATATCGGAGTAAGTTTGACCATGAGTCCCTTCCTACTTTCTCATAACTGACCTATTATGAGCTGTGAGAAGACTACCGTCACTTGGAAGTCCAGGCCCAAACATACCATCACTTACTTCCCAAGATGGGTCGCCACCGCTGCGGCCTACAGGCTTCTCCATTCATCAAGCCTAAGTTCTCAACTTTTCACCGCAAGAGATCACTTCGTTAGAAACACCAACTAAGTATCGCTGCAAAAACCACTTAACGTTGTTCAGGAACACAAACACGGGCCAAGTACGTTATCCCTCAACACATAATCTTTCTCATCTGACACTCGCAGGCCCCGAAGTTACTTATATATATTATCGACGAAGGAGCAACCTTCATGCGGTGTTCAGATGCCAACAAACCCTTCTTCGGTACCTTCCAAGGTAACGATGAGTGGACCAAAACCGCCGTTCAGTTTATCGCCGACCAGCATCCTACGTCCCGCCCGATCTCTGGAGATGACCATTGGAACTCCTTAGATACCAATCTTCTCTAATCGCAATGAGTCTATGAGTCGTCTGGAATAGGGTGCCAAGTACGCAAAGAATGGACGATTTCTTGCGAGGATAGCTCAGTATGCATCTGCCCCGGAGCCATGTAACGCAAAAGTTACAAATGGAACTCAATCGATTCAACCTAAAGCATTCTGGGTGTCCTGTTTCAGATGACTCGAAAACCCATCATAGTTATGAGACATTTGTCCTTGAGGATAGCCAGTTTCATGACAAACTACAAAATTACCAAGGCAACCCTCATCACTCAAACCACACCACTAGATCCAGCCACAATGATACTGTAACAGTTGTTGCTCCATTCTCCTCAAACCTTCTAGTCACCATCAGCACCTCGATCTGTTCCGCCAACACTCCCTCGGAAGTATCAGCCTGCATCATCAACGATAGTATCATCAACCACACCTACCTCCCTTATCCTTATCATCAGCCTTCTTCGCAACAGTACCCAATACTCAACCCTCCATCAAACCTGACACCATCAGACACACAATCCACCAACTGGCCCACGCAGCTGGAGACGTTTCTTTCGAAACTGTTCATCTCAGGACAGGGCCCCAGTTTGCGCGCATCATCGATGGACAGTTGTCATTTCAAGATATGGGGTCTTCAATACATCAGGCCACCTACCCCTAAGCATTGCCATGAGTCTGTGTTGCCGCGATGATACAGACTCTCGACCATTGCGCATCAGTACGAAGGGGATTATCCTTGATATCCCATGCGCCAGGTTGTGGCCAAACGGTCAGAGCGACAAGATGCTTAGGCGTCACAGTAAGATGCCAGTGCGCTGCCAGCCCAAAAGTTGTCCTAAATGGCCAGCCAAACCTGCAAAGGCATTTCTTTCTGGAGATCCTCGAGCCCAATGCATCACGGGCTTGGTTCACGATTATACAGATGGGGGGCATCGCACGACTCAAGAGAATGCTAGCCAGTAGCTTGCATCGAGAGACTTCCAGAATCCCTGATGCTAGCAGCTCCCATCAAGAAGCATCTATGTCCAAGCCTTAAAGGTATCGGGTATGGCAGCTAATTGCTAGCAGCACATGCGGGCAGGCTGTTGTAGAGGGCGTCCACATCGAGCTCTTCTTCTTCGCCTCCGATGGCGGTTTCCATTCGCTCAACAGCTACGATATGAAAGCGTTGCTCTGAGTCGATGGGTACACGTAATTGGTGCGGGCTCGCTTTGGGGTGTTCGTATGCGTTGTAGCGGCGGGTCTTGGATCTATCTTACGAGAACGAAGCAGGCGGCTGTATTGATCGGCCTGAGGGCATCTATGCCCAGGTATTCCTCGAGACGAGATCAAACTCGGGGACTCACGGGGTGTACAACAGCAAATTCGTTTCCGCCAATAGCAGAGTCCGCGTCGAGTGGCTTGATAACAACTGCCCGGTAATGAAGAGGTGGCTCTACGAAACCCGCGATATGAAGAAGTTCCTCGAGGAAATTGATATCGATAACGATTCATTCTTATCATTATCAGCCAGCATCAGTCTAATTTCAGGGGGGTGCAAAAAGGAGAAGAGAAGGACAAGAGTGCATCGCATCTGAAGGCGCACAACAACTGTTATCATGGACAGCAGCACGATACAAGAGAATCTTGCCCCTCTCTGTTTCCGGAGAATCCTCTTCTACTGAGTAGAGTACTGGTGCTTCGATGCGACGACAGGCTCGCTGAATCGAATAATTCAGTGGCTTCTAGGCGTTCTTGTGATGAACAACCCGGTCATTCTCCGTTGGGCCCCATCACAAACATCCCGATAGCCCCATTGCAAGAGACCATTGCCGTCGGCCGTGCAGTTGAGGGCGCAGAGGACGTAGATGCAGCACGCAAGACGTCTGGCAGAGCTTGCAATACCCCTCATAGTGAATTTCATCCACCAGTGGATCTGACAGATGATTTGCATGATGATCTACATACCCAACAGGACCAGAGTACCCTTACATCTCATGTCGACCGAGTGGACAATAGTTTGCTAGCGACATGGAGGGTTAGTTGAGTTCTCGCCCGTCAAAGCTGTAACGCGACAAGCAGAGTACGATTATATTTGTCTCCAAGTGTCACTACACCAAGGTTTCCTCTTTGCCTGGCAGCAATATGGCCAGGACAAAGCATGTGCCACCATTCGAAATCCCCTGGACCCTGCGTCCGATGGTTGCGTCCAGAATAAGAGGACCAGGCCGTTAGCGAGTACATGGAGTGCCTTGAGAGGCATTGCTACTATTGTTACTTGGCGGTTCTCCTGACCACATGGGCATAGAAAACTGAACAAGTCCAGTTCATCCATCTTACTACCCCCGACCGATCAACCCAGTGGGAAGAGGGAACTGAGCAAGGCATGGTCACTGATCCGACTATTCTCAGCCACCATGGACTGAATCTTAGATGTTACGGCGCTACAACAACCTACCGCAAATGAGTAACTCGATGCTGTTAGGCTCGAGCTCCAAACGCTATCCACCCAGGCACCAGAAGGAAGTCAAATAGGCGGCAGTGCCTTGTCAGATGGACTATTCCAGCTCAATGGTATTGGGGAGTCCAACAACTCCAATTCTTCTTTCTTCCTCTTTCCTAGTTCAGTGATCTATTTGTTTTGTTGAAAGAAACTTGGATGTCATTATCTTGAGCGTATCATGGATAAAAGGAGGCTTCAGTTCTACGGGTGCTATTGCTGACTTCGGTCGAGCCTTGAGCATCGAGTATTACAAGAGAAGGGGGTTGGCTTGCTTCGCCCTATGAGCCAGTCTACCAACCAGTTCGAACTAGTACCTCCGACCTTCAATTCGACACGAGTATCTGGGCGTGAGACGCAGCTATACGCTGGAGTTGTTGATCCTCGAGCCCCGTCTCGCTGACGGCCTACGAATCAGCATAAGCGAGCGCCAGATGCAGGAGACAAACCCTCAGCTCCTCTACAAGGACAACCAGAGAAGACATGACGAAAGTCCTGGAGCGTGTACGATTTTGTCACATCCCCTCTCTTCAAGGTGGCTCATGATTTCTACTGCTTGTAGCACGAGAAGGGAGAACGTTTGATGAGAGGGGAAATGTTCTCCTATATTCAAGGAGTGGTACAACTATTTGAAGGAGACTTGGGAACAAAGTCAGGAGAGCAAGATGCAGTGAAACAATATCAGGCTTCACTTGCTGGGAACGATATTCTACTATGAGAAAGCACTCTGCACTCGGGAGCAAATTATTGGGTTCTGAGAAGGAGGTTACAAGAGGACGTATAAAACATGCCTATGTTGATCGGGTCGGAAAATGGAATAGAACCAGTGTTCTTGTCAGTCGTATTTCACTAGTCCTCGATGAATACATACCGTTTTTCATCTCGATGATCAAGGTCGAGCGAAGGTCTTGTTTCATATCGCTTGTACATAGTAGCAGGGAGGCCAGCGAGACTCTATCCGAATAAGCCATATAGAACAAACAATCCCAACACCTCGAGGATGCTCACTCCAAGTTCATCAACTGATCGATCGATTGCCTTTGTTGGGCAGTTGGACGCGTTTAATGCACTCTATCCCACCCTCGAAATGAATCCCTGAGCCCATCCAACGATTTACTCGCAAGTCCATCATGAAACACTACCACTGAAGTCCCAGCGAGTACGATGTGCGAATGAAGTCGAGTCACTCACTACAAGGAACTCCGCCGGATTCAAAAATGTTGAAACAGTTTGGATACCTGGGCAAGAACAGAAGGTACGAAGGCAAAAAAAGAAACTCCGGTACAGGGAATCGAACCCTGGGCTCCGCGGTACTGATCTCTTAACTGATGTTGAGAGCGCGAAATGTTAGCCACTACACCATACCGGACGGCTATTTGTTAAAATTTTGTTTGAGATTCTGCAATATGTTTTTCCTAGCATCCTTCGATGCAACTCATGCGTGAAGCCTCCCACGTCCAAACACTCACCTTTCACGCTTGCTATGTTCTTTCGAGCAACTAGATTACCACTAGATTGGCTCCTCAGACAGTGGATATCATTGTACCCACCCTTGAATGTTGGTGACAGTCGGTGTTGAACACTTAAATAAATGCTGGTGGTTGAGTTCCAAAAAGGGGCGAACACGAACTTGAGAAATAGCCCACCACAGTAACAATAGCAGAACGTTTCGCACTTAACTTCAATTGCACTAGAGCCCCTCGGTTTAAGTAATCGAAATTCAATTGTAATAATTGTGCATAACATTAGAAGCAAGTGCGCTTGCATAGAGGTACCCCGCGTTGCCGGGTGACTGATTCACTGCCCCTAATTTCGCTGTGAATAGAAATAGCTGCCTGGAATACAAGTTCTCAGAGATCAATTCATTTCAGGATTACAGAAACACAGACCTCGAACATCTCGCGAGCTCGTAAGAGGTTCGTATCATCTTGCTATCTTTTCTTGCTTCATCAACATGGAGTACTCGGAAGATGATTGGGATCCGCCTGAGGGCTACACGTCTCTCGAGTGTCCGAATTCACCCGAAAACAAGACTCTAACATGTCCCTACATCGGCTGCGATGGCTTCACATTCGCTTCAGCTGACGAGTGCTAGAAGCATGATCTCAACTGGCACAAAGGCCCATACGCTTGTGGCGAGTGTGGGTACAGGTTCGCAGCCGCGCCTGCTCTAAGCAGGCACGCGAGAGAAAGTGGCCATCAAGTCGAATGGTTTTGTCGAGCCGAAGACTGTGAGCGGTACGGAATGATGTTCTTCACTGGTGCTCTGTATTTCAAGCATCTCCGTTATTCGTCGGGTCACCGCCGGAACGATGAGAGCGATCGTGAACCTCAGGATAATGAATCCCTCTTTTCGCCTTCTTCCACCACCGGTGCCCAGAACACTGGTGACGATGTCTACCACCCTACCCTTCAAGTCACTTATTCTAGTGACTACTTTTGCGACGAGCCCTGTTGTCACCGTTACCTCAGGGATTACAAGTGCAAGTCTGAGCTCAACCGCCATGCAGATACCGGCGCTCACCAGATTGCTGCCAACCTGAATCGAGTTCTGTTGAGGAACACTCCCGCTGAACACCTCTGCGCTGATCAGGAAGCCATGCGAGCCCTGAAATGCAACTGGTCCGACTGCGAGCTGTTCGGGAAGGATTTTAAGAATGCAAGAACCTTTTACAGACATCTTCAGGAGGAAGACCATCGTAATGGGTGGGAGCTCCCGCTCCAAGATGAGGACTTTGAGTACAACAGCGGCCCTGAATCATTCCCCGGAATAGCTCTCTATGTCGGCGACCACATGGGAATGTGTATCAACGAAAAGTGTCCCAGACTGGGTATGAAGTTCGAAACCTACACGGCCATGAGGCAACACAGCAGATCTTTTGGTCACGCCCTGACCGAAGAGGACCTGGTCTCTACAGACACTGAAGACCCCGACGATAACGATGAAGAGATCTGGCAAACAAGTGATCTTTACGGCATGGAAGTCACTCAAGATGGTGGTCTATGGAGATGCGTCAAACAAGGCTGCAAGGGCTACCACAAGATCATGAAAAACCTGAACAACACCCGGTCGCACTTCAACTCTAACGCGCATGCTACAGCGGATTTCGAACTCAGTTCTTCCGACGAGTCCCAGGAGGAATTAGAGGGTATGGAAGCCGTCCAAAGCGGCGGTGGTTGGAAATGTGTGAAGCCAGGCTGCCAAAAGCTCGGAGCTACCTATCGCCTCCTGCACAACGCCAAACAACATTGCTCGACAGACGCCCATGCTCTTGCCAAAGAACCGAGCCCAGAGCCAGAAGAACCGCTTCTTGACGTGGAATATGATGACGAAAAGGCTGCCTGGGTTTGCACAAAGGCTGCCTGCAAGCGTCGTGGCATACCGTTTGCTCATTTTGGCTTCGCTCGACAGCACGCTCAATGCGCTTCTCATTTGAAGGCTGTTGAAAACACAGCGACACCTACGCAACCAACTGCGCATTTTTTCAGGACCCCGAAACGTCTGAAGCGTTCTTTCCCTAGCTCACTTCTTACACCTATCGAGATAGATGATTTCGCAGTTCCTGTCAGTCCTGGAAGTCCCTCTGCTGGCCGAGGCTCGATCACTGTGAGGCACCCGGATGGCAGTCCTCATAATGACGCTTCCACTCGAACCCCAAGACAGATTCGAGTTCGACGATCTTCTGCCGTCAGCCCCGCTGTTGGGAAGCGAATGGCAGATCTCGAGAAGGAAACTCAGCAGCTGAAGGACCGTGTCACGGAGTTGGAGGGTTAGATGGCTCGGGTCGTTGGGTTGAAGAGCCCTCCTGTGCCTCGCTCGCCTATCCCAGGATTACTTGCCGCGCAGGCACCTGCTGCTCCGGCGTCTAATGCTCGGTCGTCTTCGCTCTCTTCGCCTGCCTCATCCGGACGCATGGAGGCTTTGACCCAGTATGTGCAACAAAGCTTTAGCCCTATTGTGCCTATGGATGTAGATGAGGACGAGGTGTGGGAGGTTGGTAGATTCTAAACGATGGCATGATGAAGTTGAGAAGCTGTTACTATTTGGCACTGAATGAGAAGGTCAAATGAGAGGACTAAATGAGAGAGTTGGACGGAACTATACGACGATCAATACTTTGCTTGTAATTAGTAGCTGTGCAAGAGTCTAGATGCATGAGATGAAAGAACCCGATTGACGCCAAATACCGTCTAAATCACCATGAGAACCCCTCCTCAGTCTCCCGAAAAATATCGCCAGTCCAATCGTATGAAATCGCCTGTTCCGCAACAGGGCCCTCCTGAGAGCTGGAAAGAAGACCATCATCCGTTTCGTTCTCGGCGCCAATCCGCTGCTGAATCACCTCATTCCCAAAACACCCACGAGAAAGTTCCATAGTCGCACCGTCTCCATCTTCTCGAGTACCAATACTAGCACCGCCGATCTGTAAATCATCCAAATCCATTTCTTCTCCTTCCTCAAAAAGTGCACCGGTGCAAATGAGCTGACTCCCTTCGATCTCAACATCAACTACCTCCTCAGCGTTGAATAGCTCTTCATCAATGTCTCCCTCCAGGCAAAGCTCCATCTCGGGGAGATCTTCAACGTCCTCATCATCGTATACCTCGTAGATCTCGAGATCAACGTCGCCATATCGAGATGGAACTCCCACAACGTGGGCGCCGTGGAAGATGGTTGGCTCATCAGAATCAGAATCAGGGTAGTGCGGCTCGGGATCGAACATGGCATCGGCTTGAACCATGTCGTCGAAGGTTTCGATGGGGCTTGGTTGGTCTTCGGGTTCGGACTCGCCGTCGCTGTCAGTGTCGGAGGAAGAGGAAAATGATGGGCCTAAGAAGCTGGAATGATCATGAAACTCGGCCATCGCGCCTTCGCATGGCCAAATCCCTTCAGTGTCAGGGACTTGTTCAGCCTCAATATCCTCAGTAGATACGAGATCATCTTCTCTGAGATCTGGAGTGTGGTACTCATCTTCGTCTTCAGTTTGCAGGAATCGGATCGCTTCCTCTGCTGCCGCGCCCTAGACAGGTAGCAGGTTCAATCCGATGTAAATATCCTCCAGTGCAAGCTCCTGAGCTCTAGCTTCTTCCAACTTCAAGCTAGTCTTCCAGATGATGTCCTCGCGTACTAGCTTGTTAGCTTGCTGGGATTCATCGTGAGCAGCAAGACGAGACTGGATGTTGTGGTGTAGAGACTCTGAAGCAGGGTCCCAAGTACGACCGGACCAAGTAGGGAGGCAATCATCACCAACGACAATATCTTCAAGACTAACACGGCTTTCTTTGGCTTGTTGGAGACGGAAGTTCGAGGTGTAGAAGAGATAGTTTTTGAAGTCGGCGGTCATAAGATTGACAGGGACGCCGTCAAGACAGAGTTGACTGAAGCTGTTGGTCTCGGTGGCGGTGACATTTCCTTCTGTCGTTTATGTTAGTTAAGGGTAGAACTTAGGAACAAAGATTCATACGTGGAGTCTCCGGTGGAGAGAAGTATACAGTTCTGCTGGAATCATCGCTATCGGAATGAGTATCAGAAGGACCTGGTTCGTCAGGGTTGTTGGTAAGAGTCATTTCATCCGTAGTGCAATTGAGATCATTCATCCCAGCGATTGATGATGGGAAGGGATGAAAGAGTTGAGAAGGAAAGAAGTAAGATGAAAGAAGGTATCTGCCTAGGTTGTTGAGTTGAAGGGGAGAGAAATAGAGTGCCCGAGGAACCGATTTTTTCAGGGTATGTGAATCACTGCTTGTAGTGATGGGACATCTGCCTAAGAGGTTCAATCTTAGTCTATATCTAGGTCAGTAACTTATTTTGTTTCGGACAAAGACCTTTCGAACAACAATGTTTGTCAATATCGGATTGCAACCCTTTATCAAGGTAGGATGATCACTAGGCAAACCTGAGCGTTCAGCCTATCATCCTTTCTGGCAGCATGATGACTTCCAAGGTAGGTGTTTTCGTATCAAGATACTATTCACACCTTATGTCCAGGAAACAGGGGCTTCCTATAAGATATACAGGCATATAGCGTAAGGAAGCAACTCTGAGAGACTGCTCGCGACTCGGACATAAGTGGATGAGATTACCGACTAATAAGCCACATTCTTTGATACAGATTCATCTTCTTGTTGTTGTCTGCCATGATTGGCTGATTGAGATTCACTGGCCAACATCATCAATTCGGAGTGATGCGTACGATTCAGGGGAAATCCAGTCAACCACATCTTGTAAAGATCCAGACAAACTACCAGAAGAAACGGCTGAAACTTTCTATTTACCAAGTGTTAGTACTTCCATTATAACCCTTGTTTAAGTGCAAAGATGTAGAACATTGATACTTTGACAAGGTCTACCGTATTTGTAACAATTTTAGGTTTGGAGAACACCAACATGTCGTTGTCAAGGCATCAGCTTTAATCTTTTATTTTCTTGACAACCTCAATTTTCATTTTTGGATCCTCCTTGTACTTGACTGCATAGCTCAGCGCTCCGATCTGCCTATCCAAGCCCAGCATGGCGTGCCACATCATATACGCCATCATGTGGTTCTGCGATTTTCTCGTCGTTCAGTGTATATGGCCTATAGCAACGCGCATCAATAGATTCTTCAGTCGTTCCAACAAAAACAAGAGGCGTCCCATAGCTGGCTCTGCTATAACCAAGAACAAGGCCACCGACAAAGTTCTAGCATGGATAGACAATGTTGCTCCTGGTAGGTACTCTGCAATTATGGGTATGTTAGCCTGGCTGACAACTCAGGGCCGCCTGAGAAGGTGTATATGAAACCCAAACGCAAGAAGACGGGCTCCAGGAAGAAGACAAAGAAGGCTAAGAAGCGAAGAGGTTCCAAAGATAGCACTGCACCAGCACAATCATAACATCAACAGATAGATAAGAAGTTCGAAGAAGTTAGCAACTACGAGCAATTCCGCCCACGATACCACTCAGACAAGCTCCATCCCGTTCGTATCACACTGGGACGGAGGCGGCGACTGCTCGATCAGCATCGGAATATCACATTTAACTTGCAAGGATATGACATCTTGCCATCACTATCACCAAACGGACAAGCCAGCTAGAAGCCAAATATGTCAAGATCGAAAACAGATCGTTATGTTCATTACTCTCGGGGGTCTCTATAGTTTATTTCCCTCCATATGCGCCTTTGCGACACTCGGTGCTGAATGGTTCGTCAGGATGGACACTCTCCCGTCTGTGCCAGTATCCGATGTAGGCTTCTTCAAGTTGGTGCACATCGTATCTCCTTCGACACGACGTTGGGTCTTCGCCAATCGTTGGTGGGTTGTTCAAGAATTGTATCGTTGAAGGGCTTTTTTCTCGGCGCTTGTTGCGAGTCTGTTTATCCGCTCGCTCGTTCGTTTCATCTGTTCTTCTTCCCCATCGCATGTTCCTCACTGGATATCGGCCATCTCAGCCTCCTCGGTCTTGTCCTCAGTCTCAACCTCGGGCGCATCTACATCAAATTAATTAGTACTAGGTCACCCAAACCCTCAATTCGTTCTTAACTCGCCCTTCATCTCAGCCTCTCCCTCGGCCTCCATCTTTCTCTTCAGAGCGTGCGCCGCTCTCTTCTCAACCTTGCGCTGCTTCTTGGCACTGAGCTTAGCTCTGGGTCCGCTCGTAGGCAAAAGGCCCTTTCGCGCGCCTCGTGTGGTGTCGGCCTTTGCGACCTTGTCCTTAGGGGTCTCGGACTTCTTGCGTCGCTCCTTGCGGGCTTTTGAAGCGCGCGCCGCAAGGCGGTTCTTGGAAGGTCCGTTGGGGTTGCTGACGGACGGCATTGTGATGTGGACTTTTTGGTTGTGATGTTGGGAGGTTTTGCGATCAGAGGCTCTAACTAAACTTTTTTTTACTCTGGGGTCGAAAATCTCGGTGAACTCTCGGTGAGGGATTGCGCTAAAGGTCTGCCCCGCCGTGGGGATCGGCAGTCTTGCATGTTCCAGAACGCCGCTTCAGGGAAAGATAAGATAAGATATGAGGAAAGCATCGACGTTTTGATGACAATGATGGGAGAGCTACAGTTTGGCAGATTAGTCCATATAGACTGTTTTCACGTTTCTCATAGTGAATTCGTTCTAGAGTAGTTTACAAGGCTTCCTCTAACTGTCATGCACGAATGCCTCAAATCTAGCACTTATACCCAACCTAGGTACTCCCTCTACACCCTCCTCAAACACTTGGCAAGCTAGCAGGGCATCCAATGCCTGATTAGAATCCTTCCCGTTGCGTACCTGCGTTTTGACATGTGTATTTAATACAAAGGTATGTTCAGAATTCGCCGTAGAACAATGTGCATCAAAGTATAGCAGACAGAGCTGTTCCTTCAAGGTGGACTTTCATTTCCATCATGGGAACTAGATGACAAGCTTATCGTTCTTCTTTGCAGTCTTGTACCGATTCCTATGTATTGCGCCTGCAATATGTACCTATGTAATAGTTTTAAAGAAAGCCACTTTCCCATTCATCAAATAGTTGCGCCAAAAGTCGTTGCATCATGAACATGCCATGCAAAGCGCCAGAGAAACGTATATACAGTCTTATGAACAGGCACCGTCTCCGCCTTCGAATTATATGAACCTTTCAGCCTCCACGCTCCCAGCGCTCCGTTAGTTTCTTTGCGCAGTTCTCGTGTTGTTATCGTTAAGCATTTGCCGGCTAGGGTCGTCGTCGTCGTCGCTCATCAAACCATCCAGTTCAAACTCTTGAGCGTCGCGCAATTGCCCGTTCTCAACCGCCTGGCCATTGGCGTAATGGGAGCTACCAAGCTCCTTGGTGTCCAGTGCGGGGTGGGCAAGGCGATCCCAAAGTCCAATGAGCATGTTGACGAACAGAAACATAAGCGATGCGAGGGAGAAAGTGATGAGGATGTACGAGACGTGATCCATCGCTGAACCGGCAACGAGCAACATCTGCTCTTCTGTCGCTCCCATGAAGAGGAATCCCGCGGCATACATAAGCTACGAATGTCAGTCGCGCGATCAATAATCAATATGGTTAAACTTACGAAACAAGGAATAAACTGGAAGCTGTTGGCTGCTCGGCCATCCTCTGAAATGGAGTGCGCATCTCTCAGGATAAAGGCAATCTCGATAATTCGAGTGAGACCAACTCCCATAAGAGTGTACCCGAACATGGTGTGCGTAGCAGCACTGACCATGAGCTCCTGGGGATGGGCGGACATGGCCCAGCCGGTGATAAAGATAACGAAGGCCGGAATAAAGTTGCGCTTGGGGTTTCCATCGCGGTCCTTGCTTAGCCAGATACCTCCGAGACCAGCAGACCACCATATAATGCCCATTGTAGTGTGTTGCCAGTCGTTCTTGACCCAGTCGGTACCCCAGCGGTGCTCAGTGAAGGTGTTGACGCAGCCCCATGCGGCAATGGCAACGCTATCGTAGAACTCTTGAGAACGACCATTTCGGCGAATCCAAAGCTGGCCAACGACCAGAATAATCGTAAGAAGGATTCCGTATGCGATGAACGCACCGCCCATAATGAAATGGGCTGCGCATTGGCCAGTGTGATCTCCTTGGCAAAAGCCGAGAGCAGTGACACCACCAAAGATCATCTGCGTCCATGCCATCACAGGCATCAGCTTGCCAAGGAATGAATGGCAAGGACGAATCAGTTTTCGAATCTTGCCATTGATGCCCTTTTCCCAGTGTCCCTTGAGATACAGTCCAAGAACAACCTGCGCGACAAGGGAAAGCTGAAGAATGTGTGCAAATTTCCCATGGACATGATTCGGAATGAACTGGCGACCTTTATGCGCATGACCAAGGAAAAAGCCAAGAATAGCGAATATTGTGCCTACGGCTTGAGTTGGCACATGCCATCGGTTCTTGGTCATACCTAAAACCATACCGACTGGGAAAATAACGCCATAAGCCAGCATCTGAATGAAAATGTGTATCCATAATACCGTATCTAATGGCTCTAAAGAAACGGTTTCGCCTTCAGGAATCTTAGTTGTGTCGTGTTCGTGAGCTTGTGTAACTGGAGCAAGAAGTGCAATTGTCGCGATGCTGAATAGCGAAGGCACCGCCAGGGCCTTGGCTTTATGAGTGCCGATCATGGCGGTACCGTGTTGGATTTTATATGTGTTGAGTAATGTCGTCGATAACAATTCCAATTGCAATATTGGTTGCGTCTTCCCGTCGCAACAACCGTTGGGTCAGTGGGGGATCGTCACGATCACGATGATTTAGCGGCGTTCAGATGGTTCGACTGTAAGCAGTAGATACTGGCGTCGATAAGCGAGTCGATGACGACGTTAAAGGCAGAGCAAGTAAATGTCTGCGCTCGTTGAAGATGGTAGAATACAACTCCTCTAGGGGGACCGAAGACCAAAAGAAAAGAAGGTTTAGGAAAGCGAAAACAAAATCGGGAAACCCCAAAGATTTGTTGTTTCCTTGTGTTGCTTTACCTCCGGGACCTCCATAAAACTTGACGCCGCAGGGGGGGGTCTACATCGATGGTGGGCGTCATTCCGGAGTCTTCGGCAGGTCCAGCATTACCTTGACAGCCATCCTGATTGGTTGTCTGTAGCATGAGGCTTGATCCTTGCCCGCTAAATCCTTGGACGACCAGGGGGTGCTCCGGAGCTTTCATGTCCGCTAATAGAGCGACGTGCAGCTTCTGGGTCCCGATATACCCGGATCCAAGAATGCCATGTTTATGTTTTCTAGGCTAAATCTTGGGATTCCTTGGTCTCGATAGCTTGAACTGTATTCTTCTCCATTCCAAGAGCGGTGGGTTGGACAACAATGAGAAGCATTAAGCTCTTATGGGCACAAGCATGCAAGGTCTAGCACTGAGCTCTCTCGCCAGATGGCTAGGATCTGTATATCCGAAGAATCGGCAGATAGTCGACACCAGGTGTAAGTGGTTCCTGATGCATTTCGAACTTGGAAAAAAACCGCAAAGTAGATCCACTGTTCTCTTTATCTCCAAACCTTCCTCCATAAAATACTTAGTGTCCACATGCCTGGTAGGCATTGAAGAGATCCCGATTGGGTGGATCGTAGCCAGCCTGTTGACTGCAACGTCCATGATCGAGATAGCCATGGGTACCTAACGAGTTGAGCGGTACTATTCTCTATACTGACAACTATATATATTCATATTCCCTACCATCCCTATTCGTGTCTCACAAGATCTTTACATAAAACAGAGTAGGAAGATAGTATTTGTTTTAAGATCCGCCCAACCTGAAAGACTGTATCTACAGGGTAGATACCATGCAACTGGAACAACAACGTTGGCTCTTTAATTCAACAAGTAAACAAGTCTTCATCTAGCGACTTAGACGGTTACGTTTGCTTAATAGTTAAGTGGTAACGTCTCCTGAGCTGTCCTTTGTTTTAGATATGGAATGGAGGCTCCGAAATGTGGCTACCAATATGCCTGATATCACCGAAGATCCAAGCTACCAATTCAACGTATTATCAGTAACCTATTGTTTTCATCTATTTCTTTGCTTTATGATTGGACTAGAGAGTAGTGCGGTCCAATAATCACGATTTCGAGTGCCGGCGGCCGGGCCATGAGTGTCGAGGGTAGGCTGTAGGTACCCTTAAAGCTGCATGTTTGCCCATTCATATATCACTCCGTAGTCAGAAAAGCTAAGACGCTTCATTCTTCTTCAGCAAGTCCTTGGCCTTTTCCCAAAGTTCTGCTTCCATATCCCTCTCCACCCTTGTACCCCGGCTGTTCAGCCAGCCAGCACCGATATTACCGACGGCTCCAACTCCGTTGGGTTTCTGCGATGCCAGAACAGGTCCGTTATTCTCTTGACGCTGCGGAGGCGCCAGATTGATGATACTAGCCTCCTCGAGAGCAAAGATCTGTCGCTTCATTTTGACGTCAACAGCATGTAGTGAGGTGAGGAATGAATCTGTCGCTGAGCGAAAAGCATCCTTCTGTGCGGGAGGGTCCAATGATGGCTTGGGAGGCTCAGCTGCTGGATCTTGGGTTTGGTTGGACTCTGGCGTGGACGGTATTGTGAGTGCATTGAGGGCTGTGGCAGTGTGCTTCATGAGCTGAACAATTTGTTGATCGATGGCGTTGAGCTGTCGGATGTTTTCCTCCACAGTGAAGGGCTCATAGCTGCGCGATGTTTCGGCGCCTGCCATACTAACATCGTTCGGAGAAGACATATTGTGACTGGAAGGACTCCTTGTTCACTGTGATAGCTGGATGTAGCTTTATGCTTGATATTTGGTGAACAGAAGCCTCAAGGCGAGCAGTACGCGTCGCTAAAAATACGTGGTGACAGGTATGATATCGTAATTGCAAATGAACTTGCCAAAAGTCAAGACGTTATGATTGTTCTCAAGTTTTGATGAATAAGACGTGTTCGAAGCACAACGACTTGATGGAATTGTTCCTGTGAGGTTGGAAGGTACGTATCTTACAGCTCCTGCCACTGCCCGCCCGAGCAGATCTCGTTCGTGGGCGAGCGTGTATGTATCCTCACTCGATCTCTTGTTCCAGCCACGAGATATTCAGTCAGCCAAAGATTGGTGACCGATAAAGAATAAAGTTCTAAGAAAGAAGAAAATAATAATGTTATCCTTTTTTTCCTTGGAGAATATTTAAAAGATGCCTTTGGATATCCTGAAGTTTCTTGGTATATCTGGTCGCTTAATCTTCGGCTAACGGTCGCGCTCACGAGTTGGGGCGCGCTTGAGTCTGTCACGGACATCAACCTTTAGCATCACCTCGAGGATACATATTCAAAGATTGCCATCAAATTTACTTTTGCCTTTTGAAAGTTTTATCAGAAGCTCCTTGAATTAGTCCTAATACTCAGTGTCGAATCACTTTTAAACCCTTCTCAACCACCATTAAACGATAACTCACATACAGAAGTTGGCGATTTCATCTCACCAACAGCTGTCGGCACTCGAACTGCCATCTACACGAAGGCCTGTCATTGGGACATGATCTTTAATTGAGAGACTTTTTCATTCTTAGTACGCGCAACGGATAGGCGTGTCTGGGTGCTTTCGATACTAGGCAGCATTCTGGTACCAGCCGTCACTTCTCATCATGTCGGCTCCGTCACAAACACCAGGCGCCCCTGCGCCGGGTGCTTATCAAGGAGGACCTGCGGCTACTCCTCCAGCACCCGCGCATACAACTACATCAACAACAGGACAAACAGGTACCAGCACGACGGGAGGACCGATGTCCAATCAAAACCTTAACCAGATAGTAGGTTTTCTTTTACATCTTGTTGTTTCTTCTCACCCCGATTGTGTGTTTGTTGGATATATCAGCACAGTACCTGCCGTCAGTCAGTTGCATACACTGAGTGGCATAGCTCTGATGCCTAGAGGGTTTTGCAATGCCCAACTCGCAAAGCCGCTCTAACAAGAAAGGTCGATGCGCTTATCCACCCGAACTTCAATGAACCGACAACTCAGGCGCTCTCTTAGCAGTCACACTTGTTCGATACCTCTGGATGCGCACTAAATAAGGGTGTCAAGTCTGTTGATTATCGTTGCGGTTCATTCGTTATTGGTATACATCATGCCGATGTCGACCTTTCAACCTTCCGATGCTCTCCGTCCATCTACTTATGGAGAACGGGTGGTCAGCCTCTCCTTCCATCGCTTCCTCTTTTGCTTTATCTTGATTCAGCGCATGCGTGCCCAGCCACTGTGGACTTTAGGGGAACTTGAGACTGACATACAATCGTTCATAGGTAACTGATTATCTACTCAAGCGGGGGTTTAATCGCACAGAGGAAGTGTTTCGCCAAGAATCCAAACATCTTGGCCCAGATGGTAAGCCCATCTATCAGCTGGCTAATCTTGGCCCAAAAAAGTATCAAAAGGCCTTTGCTCTTCTTCGCGAATGGGTAGAAAACAACCTGGACATCTACAAGGTAAGCCGAGCCTCATTTTATTCTTGCTCCGCTAACAGCTCCAGTTTGAACTGTCTAAACTGCTTTGGCCTGTCTTTGTCTACTCTTTCCTAGAGCTTGTCAACCATGCCTACACTGAAGATGCCAAAGCCTTCCTTAGGGATATTGGCCCCAACTTCCAGCCAGTTCATGCAGATGATCTGAAGACGCTTGGGACCATCACACTGTCTCAACACATTAATGAGAATCCCATGACAAAGCTATACCGGGAGAACAAGTACCGGATTCCTCTAAACCAACATGCTAGCGGGGATCTCTTCAATTTCCTCGAGCGCGAGTCTGATCAGGGCGGTTCCGTCATTCGACAGCTTTTGGCGACGTATTGCCAGATTGACTCCACAGCTCGCGGGCCTATCACTCCCTTTAGCTTCGAGGCTGTTTACAGACGATCAAGAAACATGGAAATAGAGAGCGTGGACACCAACGAGGGCATTCCAGGCGTTAACATCGGGTTGTCTAACAAGGATGTTCTGGACCCTACCACTCCCTTGAAGCTCGGCCCCTTGCCTATGGACGCAGATCTTCGCGATGATGTGCGCGCGGAACTAGAAGAGGAAGAAAGACGAAACCCACCCCCTCCAGGAAAAGCATCATTAGTGGATGAATTTGACCAGAAGATCAAACGCGAGGAGAGTGTGGATGCCCCAAGCAGAACAGAACTACCTCTACCGCCGTCTAGACCGAGAGACATCATGCTCGAGATGCAAAAGCTCAGGGAGAATCGCGATCGATTCAAGATTGATGGTGCCACAGGAGGCGTAGGCGTGCCGATCAGTGCATGCATGTTCACTTTCCACAACACACTTGGGAGGTGAGTAATCTAGATGAACACTGTGAGCTTTGCGCTAACAAATTGCAGTGTCGCTTCTATGGACTTTTCCAACGATGGGCAGCTGGTGGCTGCCGGCACCACTGAATCTTATATCAGAGTATGGTCGTTGGATGGCAAAGCCCTGCCCACAATGAACGCGCACGAGAAGGATGCCAAGTTCAACAGCCGCAAGCTCATCGGACACTCGGGCCCTGTTTACGATGTATCTTTCTCTGACGCCGTATCTGGTCCCCCACAAAAGCTCTTTGGCGATGAAGGCAAATCAAACCCAGCCATGGACACCCGGCCCAAGCTGCTGCTATCTGCATCAGCGGATGGTCAGATTCGTCTATGGTCGTTGGAGTCTTGGAGCTGTCTGTGTCTGTACAAGTCTCACGATGGACCTGCATTCAGAACACTCTGGGGACCCCATGGGCACTACTTCCTCAGCGGAGGGTACGATAAGGCTGTTAGAGTATGGATGCAAGATCATGCCTCTCCTCAGCGACTACTGGTTGGCCATGATACAGCCATCTCAGCGCTTGCATGGCATCCCAACGGTCTCTATGTGTTTTCCGCCTCTGATGAGACTGACAAGTCGATCCGTATGTGGTCCGTAGTGACTGGTGCTTGCATGCGTGTTTTCACGGGCCACAACGAGTACATCACCGCAATGGAATGCGCGCCAAATGGCAAGATCTTAGCAAGTGCCGATTGCGCAGGTAACATCTTCTTTTGGGACCTTGCTAAAGGAACACGCATCAAGCGATCACGTGGACATGGCAAGGGTGGTATCTGGTCACTAAGCTTCAGTGTCGAATCCAACGTACTCGCATCTGGTGGCCAAGACGGTACAGTTCGACTATGGGATGTTGAGCTGCCCGCTGACCCGCAAAAGGCTAGTCAGCAGCAAGCCGGCCATGACGCAACGGCAGTGGGAACGGATGGTGCAAACGCTGGAGGCGCTGCTGGTGAAGGTTCTCGCGTTGCAGCTGCAACTTCGGGGCAAAATGGAGGCGCCAGCACGACTGGAACTCACAAGAAGAAGAACAAGGAGGTCATGATCACCCCAGACCAGATCAGCGCGTTCCCAACTAAGAAGACGCCGGTGATGAAGGTCAAATTTACACGGATGAACTTGGTAATTGTGGGAGGATGTTACGACCCCGAGCGTTAGGAGCGAGAGGGTGCCGACCCAATTGCGCTTGCGAAATACCGAAAGCGAGTATTTGCCGCACAGTTCGGGATAGACTTAGGGTTGCCAACCATGGCTCCTGAGCAGCCAACGGAAGCGGGTGACGAAACGGACGAGATATACGCTTTGAAGAAAACAGCACGAATTTCAATGCCCTATTCACTGGACAAATAGGTCCTGACTGGGAATGGATGCATCAATGCTAGATAGATGTTGCTCAAGGCGTTGGCTGTATTCAGTATTGGGAGAACTGCTTGGAGATTTCACAGCAGACACTGGGCTCCCGACAATAATAGAAATTGATAATGCCCAATCACTATTGTTCGTACTGGTGAAATAATTAGAATATGGTGGTGTAAGTTGTAAGTCGCAATGAGACGGCGCAGCTGATATTACGATACGTACCTGCCGTACGGGGAAGAGTGGGACCGTCTCCGCTGACGTCCGCCTGCGTGGGTGCTTGCTCTCCAAGCTTCCAACCTTCACCTCCCAAGCCACTCCATTAACCTCAACGACATATTACGACAGTGGAAGTTTAGCTTCAAGTTTCGTGATCGCATCAATTAGTCATGGACGTCGAAGAGTCGCCTTGGGCCGATTCATCACAGGCTTCGCAGCAGGCGTCGCAGCCTGAAGCTTCGGCCTCCGCTTCGCAACCGTCTACCCCAGCTCCCTCCGCTTCCTCATCCGCCCCTCGTCCGTCGAGAGGGCCCCGTCGCCTGGTCGCTCAACCCACACGTCTCGAAGCTGTCGATGATCCTCTCGGTCCCCTCGGCGCTGTCCCCGAAGACAATGGCTCTGCCCAGGATGCTCCTCCGGTGCCTCCGCAAAAGGAGCAGATGGTGATTCGTACCACCATGCCTCAACCGCAGCAGCAACGACGACCTACGGATCCTCACCATGTTGACGACGAGGAGAACGATGGACCCAAGGCGCCTCGCGCACCTCCACCAGTTGAAGCTGCGCAGCCCAGCTCTGTGAGGAGCAGCAATCAGCCTAGCGTTAGCGTTGAACAAGCTGCCAAGCCAAGTTTCCAGATTACCGTTGGCGATCCTCACAAAGTTGGCGATCTGACGAGCTCTCACATTGTTTATTCTGTTAGAACTAAGGTACAGGGAACAGTTTTCTAATTGCCTCAACTGAGACTGACTTGGGAGAAACAGACCACTTCTAAGGGATACAAGCAGCCCGAGTTTGAGGTCAAGCGACGATACCGGGACTTCCTCTGGCTTTATACCACTCTTCATGGCAATAACCCCGGAATTGTCGTCCCACCTCCCCCGGACAAGCAGGCTGTTGGTCGATTTGACAGCAACTTTGTTGAGAGCCGACGAGCTGCACTCGAGAAAATGCTCAACAAGACCGCGATACACCCTACGCTGCAGCACGACCCCGACTTGAAGCTTTTCTTGGAAAGTGAGACCTTTAATGTAGATATCAAGCACAAGGAGAGAAGGGACCCCATTCCCACCGAGAGCAAGGGCGTACTTGGATCTTTGGGTATCAATGTTGGAGGCGGAAACAAGTTTGTCGAGCAGGACGACTGGTTCCATGACCGAAAGGTCTACCTTGATGCCCTCGAGAACCAGCTCAAGGGCCTTCTCAAGGCAATGGAGACTATGGTTGGCCAGCGAAAGATGATGGCCGAGGCAGCCGGCGACTTTTCGGCTTCCCTTCATGCACTATCTACTGTAGAGCTGTCGCCATCACTATCGGGCCCCCTCGATGCCCTCTCCGAGCTTCAACTTACTATCCGAGATGTTTACGATCGTCAGGCCCAGCAGGATGTTTTGACATTTGGAATTATTCTAGAAGAGTACATCCGCCTCATCGGCTCAGTCAAGATGGCGTTCGGTCAACGTCAAAAGGCCTTTTATTCATGGCATGCTGCCGAATCAGAACTTCAGAAGAAGAAGGCTACTCAAGACAAGCTGTTGCGGCAAGGAAAGAGTCAGCAAGACCGACTCAACCAAATGAGTGCCGAAGTAGGCGAGTCAGAGCGCAAGGTGCACCAAGCCAGACTTCTATTCGAGGATATGGGCCGATTGATGAGGAATGAGCTTGATCGATTCGAAAAGGAGAAGGTGGAGGATTTCAAGAGTGGAGTCGAGACATTCCTTGAGAGTGCAGTCGAGGCACAAAAGGAGGTGAGTAAGATCGCATCTGACAGACAAGAAGAGTGCTAACAAGGCATAGCTTATCGAGAAATGGGAGACCTTCTTGATGCAACTCGACGCTGAAGACGACGAGTCAGTGTTTTATAGGCCTCCAGTATACCAGCAGCAGCAACAAAAGGGAGGTGATACTGCTGTCGACCGTGCTCGAGCAAGGATAGACGAAGATTCGGACTAGATCCACGCGATACATCTGTTCACAGCGCAATACCACGGTTCTGTCTTTTAGGAATGGCATCACGTTCGAAAGAAGGGATTCATGTTCAGGTCCATAGGGATGGCTGACTGTTGAATAATTCCGAGAATCGTGGGCACGTGTTTTTATATCTTACAAGCCTCGGGGACTGTTAAACTGTTGTACATATTGAACCACCCCCCATCCACCTCATGCTCCAATTCTCGGACGTTGCCAGTAGTAATTTATACAAGACGCACTTATACCCTCTAAGGATTTTGGGTAGAGAAACTGGTGTTGCGGTGGTCGCTTTTCGCTTGTTCCATTCACATATCATATCGTTTACTTTCTCTTCTTAGCCTGCTTCTTAGGTCCTGAATCCCTCATAGTGTTGGCATCTTGTGCAGGCGCATATCCAGTGATAAGATCCGCGTAACTTCCATCTGCATCCTCAGCAGCCTCCTCGCCACCCTCTTCAGCATTAGAGGTATCGTAGGCACGACCGTAACGTTCTCGGAAAGCAGCCAATCTACCAGCCTCATCGAGCTCGACGTTCTTGAGTGACTTCTCGGATGGCTGCCATAGCAGTGTGTTGCGTGTGTCCTTTGCGGCTCGGTAGATGGGTAGCGGTGACGTTGTTCGCATGGTGTATGAAGAGCCGTCGGACAATGTGACGAGCTGAGTGAATGTGTAAGGTCGGCGCGGTCGGGGGATAAAGGTTGCATGACGGACTTGGCCGAGGGAGAAGCGGCTTGGTGAGTATGATGATGTTGAGGAGAGAGTTGTTCGAATTGGCGACAGAGTCGCTGGTGAGACGGAGAATCTGGCCATCGTGAATTAAAGTGCTGCTACGAGCGAGGCCGAAGGAAACGAATTGACGACCCTGAAGACAGGGTATAGCGATTGACGACCGTTTGGCTGGTGGTGGTGAAGCTTGAGATCGACCTGAAGTTGATCGGTAAAATTTAGGATGCGAGGTCCGAAGGCGGGTACCACCAAGCAGGGGTTTGGTGGCTTATCGATAAGAAAACGGTAATTGTTCTTCGTCATTTCTCGACTGGCGTCGGAGCCCGAACCTGCGAAACGAGTTAAATAAACGTGCGTCTCTTTTTCTATTTCAGGAAGAATCCTGATCGCCTGTTACGGTTCTTGCGAGTGCATTTGTTGATAATGCGCTGTGGTGGGCAATGAACAGCTCCCGAGCGCTGCGCAATGGCGCTGCGACAGCACTTGTCATGACGAGAGGTGGGATGAGAGGATTGAGCTCTTTACGGCATACCGGGTGTCTCAGAGGTTCGATGCTAGGACTACCAGGCTATGATACACCTTCCAGGTCAATATCCAGGTCTTGCGCGTGGCAATGGTCGCTACATCGTGAGTCTTCTTCGTCCGGTGGTCGATACTCTAGCTAATGATATATACTATAGATAGAAGAAACCATACTTCTGCCACTCTAAACTCATGGCATAAATCACCAGCCACACCTCCGACCACTCATCCGACCAAAGATGTTCCTCTCCCCGAACAGCTTCGCTCCATAATGCGTCTTCTCCCTCATAGTGTCGTGGTATGCACATCCAACCAACCCGGCGACGGCCCACGAGCTATGACAATGTCATCTTTCACCTCTCTTACACTTACGCCGACACCCCTTGTTACGTTCAACATTGCGATACCGAGCAGAACGCTGGATGCGATAAGAGCAAGCGGGGAGTTCAACGTGCACGTCCTCTCTGGGGATGAGCGGGGCGCGAATGTAGCAAGTCACTTTACGAAAGGCAATGTTGGCGGGCATGCGTTTCAAGGACTTGATTATACGCAAGATGGCGACGAGGCACCAGTGTTGAAGGAAGATGGCGTCATGTTTGCATTGCGATGTAAGGTGCTACAAGATGCGCCGGAAGAGGGTCTTATGAGAGTGAGAGATCATGTCATTGTGGTTGGTGAAGTGGTTGAGATGGTGAGAGTTGGAGAAGAGCAGGATGAAGATTTTGGTCTTGTATATGCGGATAGAAGATATAGACAGGCTGGAGGAGTCTTGGAGATGTAAGTGTTGTATATCAGAAGCTGGGAGTGTACGAAAGCCTGAGAGAGCGAGCGTGTGCTGTACTATGTATAGTAACTTGTATTTATGACTAGATGTATGTTTACATGGGTATCATGAGGCCGTATTTGCTTCTCGAAAGTTCAGATGATTACGAGGAACTTGTTCTTGAGTAGGAACGCAGTAGAATATTCCCCACCACGTTACGGTGTAAGCTGTACCTATCCTCAGGGTATCAGAAGAATTGGCCCCAAGAGCATGAGAGACAGAATAATTCGGTCACTTTGTGTCAGCCCAGACTAGCAGTTAGGCTACTTTATTATGGTAACCTAAGCCTTTGGGGACAATTCCTTTGTTACCCACATGCCTATGTCGTCTGATACCATAGGTAGTCGCTAGAATTGACTTTGGAAGCTGGGGGAGAAGACTCCATGATCTTCTGAGGAGCAGTGGACAATGGTATGGATGAAAACTTCCAGATATGGTAAGTGAGCCCAGAGATCGCCTAGAGCCTAGAACAAACACCAAGATCTGACAACTGATGTTTGAAGTCTTATGCAGTCCGCCTCGTTTTTGGCCCCCGATTGGTGAATCAGCTATTTGTACACACCAAAACTCAGCCTTGTCAGTGTCGATAATGAATTTTATTGGTCTACGCATAAAACAGAAACGGTTTGGCACAGTTGCAGCCTAGTTTGCTGCGGTTGACAGGCCTCAATTAGATCCATACTGAAGGCAGGTAACAGGCAACAGAAGCATTAGCCCGTCTAAATGGCTAGAAGATTCGATCAAATCGAGGGGTTGTCGTGTTTTTGCTGGGGATAGGAAGCGGTGGGACTTTGTTAGAAAGCCTAGGAACGTGAACAGGGGTCCTTTTCAGCCTCGAATGAGGGGTCGTATTGTGTCGCAGCCGAGAATCTCGAGGACAAAAAACTACAATAGCGATAACGGAAGGCTCTCTGCTAACTTGCACTAACAATAATGGACGGGATTTGCCTTCACAATGGAGCTTTGTATGATTCATGTAGATCGGTGAAATCTCTGCTCCCGCTATCTCAATAGTCGAATGTTTGATCCGGGAGCTTGTGGTACCTGAATTCGCAAAAGATGAACATTCTGAGGCGCTGCACATCAAGGTTGGGGGAGAACGTGGAAGACTCTAGCAGGGTCTGGCCAATCAATTGAGACCAAGCTAGACAAACGTGGATATTTGCCGCCTGGTCCCTTCGTGCTTTTTTGGAGTAAGCGTGTACGTACTCGATGAGATTGCAGACCGCAAAGGAAAAGAAGGCAAGGAAGGCAAAAGGAATGGAGACAAGACAAGTCAGAGAGAGGCAAACTGCAGTAGCTGCGTTGGCCACTTGCCGTACAGTAGTGCAAAGTCGGGCGGTTGCTATGGCTGCCTTTTTTGCAGCGCCCCTCACTAAGTACACAGTCGTAGGCTAGTAGCAGCGGAAGGCGGGGGAGAGCAGCTGTAGGCGGCGCTAGGTGGACTCTTGGGCCGTGGAATCTCATGGAACCCTTCACATTGGGAGAAACAGATGGAAGGAAGGAGGGGCCGGCCGCCAGCCTACATATTTTTCTTGTACCTACCTCTGCTTCAACCTTTCTTCCCTTTCTCTCCAAACATCATCTCTCTCACGCTTTTGCAAATTCTCCTTTTCTCTCTCACCAGGAGATTCACTTTACCTTTAGACGAGCAATCTTGTCTTTAGCCTTTTCTTTTTTGTAACGAATATCTCAAGGTACGTGCGTTCGCCGTTGCGTCCCCCGCTACACCTCTATCAGCCTTGCACGCAGCTTGCCTCGAATTCTTCCTCACGATCATTTGCAATACCCTTTGTTGCAGCTTGAATAGCTTTAGAATCTTCTACAGATTACTGTCTACTGAACTTGCTATTCTCGCTTACACTGGTGGCTCATGATTGTTGGAAGTTTGAATTCCAGAGCATTCTGTACCCCTCCATCACTTCCCACCCTAGTTCACCGATCAAGATGTTGCAACTATAAATTTATTCTTTCATCCTTCAATATCTAACGTTCTTCAACAGTCACGATTTCCTTTGATACCCGACACAATGTCTGAGACTTTCGAGTTCCAGGCTGAGATCTCTCAGCTTCTCTCCCTTATCATCAACACCGTCTACTCCAACAAGGAGATTTTCCTCCGAGAGCTTGTCTCCAACGCTTCCGATGCTCTCGACAAGATCCGATACAAGGCCCTTTCGGACCCTAGCCAGCTTGACTCTGGCAAGGATCTCCGAATTGACATCATCCCCGATAAGGTCAATAAGACTCTTACCATCCGTGATACCGGTATTGGTATGACCAAGGCTGTAAGTTAGACCGTTTACCAGTTGCCTGTTTCAGTAACTAACAAGATGCAGGACCTTGTCAACAACCTGGGTACGATTGCCCGATCTGGTACCAAGCAGTTCATGGAGGCCCTTACTGCCGGTGCCGATGTTTCCATGATTGGTCAGTTCGGTGTCGGTTTCTACTCCGCCTACCTTGTCGCCGACCAGGTCAAGGTTATCTCCAAGAACAACGACGACGAGCAGTACGTCTGGGAGTCCAGCGCTGGTGGCACTTTCTCCATCGCCGAGGACACCGAGGGTGAGCAGCTCGGCCGTGGTACCGCCATCATCCTCCACCTCAAGGATGAGCAGATGGAGTACCTGAACGAGAGCAAGATCAAGGAGGTTATCAAGAAGCACTCCGAGTTCATCTCTTACCCCATCTACCTCCACGTCGAGAAGGAGACCGAGACCGAGGTTCCTGATGAGGACGCCGAGGAGGTCACCGAGGAGGGTGATGATGACAAGAAGCCCAAGATCGAGGAGGTCGATGACGAGGAGGAGGAGAAGAAGCCCAAGACCAAGAAGGTCAAGGAGACCAAGATTGAGGAGGAGGAGCTCAACAAGCAGAAGCCCATCTGGACTCGCAACCCCCAGGACATCAACCAGGAGGAGTACGCTTCCTTCTACAAGTCTCTCTCCAACGACTGGGAGGACCACCTTGCTGTCAAGCACTTCTCCGTTGAGGGTCAGCTCGAGTTCCGTGCTATCCTCTTCGTTCCCAAGCGCGCTCCCTTCGATCTCTTCGAGACCAAGAAGACCAAGAACAACATCAAGCTCTACGTTCGCCGTGTCTTCATCACCGACGATGCCACTGACCTCATCCCTGAGTGGCTCGGCTTCGTCAAGGGTGTTGTCGACTCTGAGGATCTCCCTCTCAACCTGTCTCGTGAGACCCTCCAGCAGAACAAGATCATGAAGGTCATCAAGAAGAACATCGTCAAGAAGTCTCTTGAGCTCTTCCAGGAGATCGCTGAGGACAAGGAGCAGTTCGACAAGTTCTACAGCGCCTTCTCCAAGAACCTCAAGCTTGGTATCCACGAGGACTCCCAGAACCGATCCATCCTCGCCAAGCTCCTCCGATTCAACTCCACCAAGTCTGGTGATGAGCTTACTTCCCTCTCCGACTACGTCACTCGCATGCCTGAGCACCAGAACAACATGTACTACATCACTGGCGAGTCCACCAACGCCGTCAAGAAGTCTCCCTTCCTTGACGCCCTCCGCGAGAAGGGCTTCGAGGTTCTCTTCCTCACCGACCCTATTGATGAGTACGCCATGACTCAGCTCAAGGAGTTCGAGGGCAAGAAGCTTGTTGATATCACCAAGGACTTCGAGCTCGAGGAGACTGAGGAGGAGAAGAAGGCCCGTGAGGAGGAGGAGAAGGAGTACGAGAACCTTGCCAAGGCTCTCAAGAACGTTCTCGGCGACAAGGTCGAGAAGGTTGTCGTGTCCCACAAGCTCGGCTCCTCCCCTTGCGCTATCCGAACTGGTCAGTTCGGTTGGTCCGCTAACATGGAGCGTATCATGAAGGCCCAGGCCCTCCGTGACACTTCCATGTCCAGCTACATGTCCTCCAAGAAGACTTTCGAGATCTCTCCCAAGTCTCACATCGTTCAGGAGCTCAAGAAGAAGGTCGAGACCGACGGCGAGAACGACCGCACCGTCAAGTCTATTGTCCAGCTTCTGTTCGAGACCTCTCTCCTTGTCTCTGGCTTCACTATTGAGGAGCCCGCTGGTTTCGCCGACCGCATCCACAAGCTTGTCCAGCTTGGCCTCAACATCGAGGAGGACGACTCCGCTCCTGCCGATGCTGCTGCCACCGACGCTCCTGCCGCTGCCGCCGCTGGTGACAGCGCCATGGAGGAGGTCGACTAAACGATCTATGCATGCTAAACGGGATACCATAAAAAGTCAACGGAGTTGAAGGGTTTCGGTTTTTATGAGCAACAAGGTCTTTGTGTTTTCTGGTTTTATGCGGACTCGTCGGATTTGAGCAGCCGCCTTATCTGCCATAATTCCCCAGTTCGAGAGAACGGGGTGTAACTCTAGTTAGCTCTATGATCACGAGAAAGATGAAGTAGATGCGAAATGGAAATGGTATAGAACAATAACTTTTGGTCTTTGATCGTGTGACTGGAATGCATCTCGATGTGTGTGATTCTCAATGTAACTAACTCCCTTGACTTATACGTCGGAACGGGTCAGGATGCATCCATGATTGCCTTTCTAAGACTCCAATTCGGATCAACAAGACTTTCTTGGGCATGATCGTCACAATACTACACCAAGACCCAGATTTCCCCCCGCATCTTTATTCTCGGCTATAAGAAATGGAAATGGGCTCGATCCTTGTTTTGGTACAAGAGATGCGACTATAAAGCCGCAGACAGTTTTTCGCTCAGCTCACCGTTGATGTCTGTCTGGCTTGGTAACGCTGTCAATAATCAGCCATGCAGATTGGCGTTTTCAACGTTCTAGCCGTCCTCTCAGGACTGGCCGTTGTATGCGCTAACGACATCTGTACAGCGCCAAGTCTAACGGTCAAGATTGCCAATGGTGAGGTGAAGGGTTTCAAAGACGAGTCCTCCAGCGTCGCCCAGTTCCTCGGTATTCCTTACGGTGAACAGCTACGATGGTCTCCAGCGATACCTAAAGGCAAATTTGGAAAACTTAATGCTACGTCGTTTGGCCCGAATTGTCCTCAGAGTGAACCTGCTGCCACTGGTCCTTGGGCTCCTGAATTCCTCATTAAGCCTAACAGCACGAGTGAGAACTGTCTGTTTTTGAACGTCTGGGCGCCATCGCATGCTTTGTGTCCTGAGACGGAGCCGCTTCCTGTTATCGTTTGGATTCATGGAGGAGGCTTTGTAGAGGTATGTTCTGTGCTCTGTACAATAGCTCGGACTGACTTTGATATAGGGCGGCGGTGGTATTGCTTATCAGATTCCTAAGAAATGGGTCGAGAGAAGCCAAAAGCATATTGTTGTCAGCATCAAGTATGTGAATCTGTTGGTATCCTACTGGACCGTACTGACCAGTCTCTATAGCTATCGCCTCGGAGTCTTTGGCTTTCCCAACGCCCCAAGCCTTGGGCCCAAGCAGCAGAATCTTGGACTTCTAGACCAGCGTCTTGCCATGCAATGGGTCAACGATAACATCGCTCGTTTCGGCGGCGATCCCAAGCGTATTATCCTCTGGGGTCAGAGCGCTGGCGCTATGTCTGTGGCTTTCTACCAATACGCGTACCCTAATACACCCATCGCTGCTGGATATATCGAGAACTCGGGTTCAGCTTTCCTCGGACTCAGGAGCAGAGATGATACCAACAGTAACTTCACTTCACTCGCTAGGTCTTTCGGGTGTAGGCGTGACTATGTCGAGTGTCTGCGACGTGTTCCTTTTAAGGATGTTCAGAGACATGTCGATGAGGCAAATACTATGAGCTTTGTCCCTGTTGTTGATGAGCGGACTGTATTCTCCAACTACACTGAGAGGATCTTGAATGTTACCAAGCTTGTAAGTCACTTCGAATGCTTAAGCGGATCTTCGTACTAATCTCTATCCTTAGCCTGCAATCATTGGCTCGACCCGAGACGAAGGCGACTTGACTGCCAAGCCCGGACATACAGGAGCCAATACACCAGACCAAGTCAAGCCCGACGACACTTTCCACTGCCCAGCACACTACGAAACCATCGTCCGATCCTCTGCAGGCGTGAACACATGGCGTTACATGTACTCCCCCAACTTTACCAATATCATGCCCGGCGGAGAAGGCGCATTCCACAGCGCCGAACTCCCTCTGATCATGGGAACCCATGACGAAGCACGTGAGAAGTCCAGCGAGTTCGAATACGAAGTCAGTCACGCCATGCAGGATTATTGGCTCGCTTTTGCGCAGGATCCATCTGCGGGTTTGACCCGGATGGGATGGGAACCAACGTCAAAGGGAGGGGTTCAGAGCGGAATTGAGTTTGGGTTCAAGAATGAGATTGTCGTGAGGCCATATTCCTGGAGTAGCTTGGAAAAGGGATGCAACAAGGCTGCCGCAGTCAAGAATTCGGCGTAGGTATATAGTAGTGCAGCCAGATGATCACGTTGGGGTTCGATATATGTATAAATCTTGTCAACATACACACATCATGTTTATATAGGATACGTCTGATTCAATGCAAATACTTCGTTCATTAGTTGACATTTGACTAAAACAAAGGATAAACTCAATATTGACTAAGGGGTATATATCTATATATCTGTAGTGTGTGATAAACAACAGTCCAATTCTCCATCCGATCCTGTACTTGATTCTAAAAACTCAATTGTACACAAGTCACACCAGCGACTTTAACAGGGACCATGAGTCCTCATTTCCTTCATCTCTTCTGGTCGATTATCTCTAGATATGACCAGCATATCCGTGCTGTCGCAATATTTGTTCTGTAACATGACGGCTGACTACACAAGAACGTAGAGAGCACAAATCTACTGAAGATTAGCGATATTCGGGAAGCAGGAGATTCAAAACTTACCATGCTGAGACCAAGGACCATCGAAGCCCAGAAACAGACATTGTTCAGGGTCTCCTTGCCACGGACCCATCGTGTACGTTGGAGCATAACGATGGGTAGCTGAAGCATCTGGCAGACGAAGCCGTATCCGCGGAGCTTCTTGGTGATACAGGCCATGACGATCTCATGACCGAAAGCAGAGATGAGGAACGTAAGCGCAGTGGCAGCACCTCTACCGATGCGAGCTCGAGAAGCGCTATAAACATGGCGCCGAAGGAAGCTGTATACGGGGATGTTCCATTCACGGGAGAACTCCATCCAGTCGGTTGAGTTCCACCAGTCAGAGTAGAAATGTCGATCAGCGAAACGAGTGATTTCGGCGAATGCACCGAGGACGTATTCAAAGATGACGAGGAATACAAGGAGAAACGTGAGCATGAAAGGGAAAAGTAGCCATGAGATGGTCTCGGCTAAGATAAGTAGCTTCTCAGATACGGACGACACAGCGGGGACGGCATCGAGACGCTCCGAGGCGTCCAAAAGGACGGGGAGGATGAAGTCTTCGGAAATGATGGTTAAAAGAAAAATGCAGCCAAAGGTGGCGACGATCTTTGCAATTAGGGAAGTCCAGTTGATATGCGAAGTTCGGGGGTATTCGATTTCGTAACATAGCGTTGGGCAAAAGATATAATCCGTGTAGTTCGACCAGGTCAAGTTGTTCGGGTAGGTAACATTGCCAATGGGACTCGTAAGCTCACGGGCAAGGTCCTCTCGTAGCTCATCAACTTCATCAGCGCTGTTGTTGGCGCTACCAACAGGGCTAGGAGCTAGAAGGTCGTTGTTGACATGCTCTCCCTCATCATGACTCTTGTTGCCATTGGCAATATTCTGCTTGGCCTCTTGCTTCTTCTGGCGCTGTCGGCGACGCTTCTTTGCGCTGGCGCTGGTAGAGTCTCCAGTTGTAACACTACCAGGGAAATCGGTGCTGGGGTATTGGTAGGCCGGTCGTCGGTCGTGAGGAGAAAAGGGGTTATCGAGAGCGTGCAGTCGCTTCTCCGTATGCGACAAGTGGCCGTTGTAGAAAGCATACGAGTGCATCTTCATCAGAAGCACCATAGTATGCAGGAGGAAGAACACTTGGGAAGTCCATGTCCACTCGAAGTAAAACGGTACAACGATCCAAAGAGAGAGCCAAACAACCTGGTAGATGCTCTGGATGGCGACTCCACCTCGATTCCAGTCGAAGAAGCTTCCTGCTTTGGCATTCCTTGCCGCGCGGTTCAGAGGCAAACTGACAGCAGTTGTCGCAACCATGAGGAAATCAGCAATGGCAAGATGCCAAAGCTTGACCGTAAATAGACCCCATATTTGCACTCTTAGAGGAAACCCTGTGTCTTTGAGGTTGCGCAGCATAGAGGTAATGCCCATAATAGCAAGACCTATCCAGAACAAGTTGAAGAAGCCGTGGAAGTCTCGATATTCGCTCTCGGGGTCGAAGTGGCTCACACGTGAGGCAAAGTCTGTCGCAGGAAATATACGGCGGCGTTGCTCAGCGCGAGCTTGTTTTCGAGCGGTGGATAGTGACTTGGCCGATGGTGGCGCATTCTCTGGGACGGGTGTAGAACGACCGCTGTGTACAATTAGCTTCAGCACGTAGTTTAGGACCTGATCTCTGGCATACCTAGTCAATCCACTGGCTGTTCCTATGCTGACGTTGTCGGGCATGAGGTGTCCTTCACCATCACTTGTCGTTGACATGCGAACAACATCGGAAACTTGTGAATGTTGGGGTTTGCGCGGTCGAGGGCGAAGGACGTGATCATGATTTCCAGCATGGCCATTCCCATTAGGAAGAGCCTCTATAGAAGAGCTCATGGTCGCGATCGTATCTTGTGGTGTTGTGGTATATCGCGATCAATGTTGGGGATTCATCCGACCACGTCTTGGGGGGAAGACTTGGCTAATGTACTACTGTAGTCTAGTAGCTCGGCGAAGACGGAGAGTCAGAAGCAAGACTTGAGTCAAGAGCAAAGTTTGTTGTTTTAGTCGTACAATGCGAGACACGGCAGCGATTGGCCCTAACGGAACTAAAGTAGTCTTGGCTTTAAGACTCGAGATGTCGTCAATGATGCTGGAAAAGGGTACTATAAGTAAAAAGAGGGGGTAAATGAGAAAAGATGAGCGGCAGGTATAACCCTAGAAAAGGAAAGGAGAAGGAACGACGTAGCTGTAGGACAGCCAAGAAATGTGAATACTTGTTTGTTTGAATCCTTGAAGGGACCACGCTACGGATACAGAAAAAGGATCCAAATAATTATTGGGTCAGGTTGAATTGGGGGTCACCTTACAGCGGAAGCAGCGGCGTACTGTAGGGCTTGGCTTGGCTTTCTGATGACAGCTGGAGATGGATACACTATGGAGATAGACTTGGAGAGAGCTCCAGCCCTTTTTTTGGCGGGTGAACCCCTAACTTTTTCTCCTTCTCTCATGACGTAACCCCAGAATATGGGGGGTCCTTCGTCATTTCTGCACGCACTCAAGTATTGTCTCTCTACAAATGACAACGCATTCACCTCGTGACCCGAGAATTCATTCTATCGTCTATCAATTCGCCTTGTCTAGGCAGAATCCATCATAAAACAAAATTATGCTGTCACGAAACAACCTCCAGAAATATCGCCTCTTGCGCAGACCCCTACCTTGATTAGCAACTTTACGCGTATCACGTACCGCCGTATTCTTCTTTCCATTCGCGTGCCCCTTTCTTTATTCTTATTCGCTGATAGCTGGTTTCAAAGGGTTGACATTGTCTGATGTGATTCGTTTCCTATCAGAACCCCTGCAGCATATGTTCTCCTCGTTATCCCCGGCCGTTTCTCGATTCATCGCGGAAGTGTCTTGGGTAGTATTAGTACCTCCTTGTCAACAGCTAACATGACATTGGCTTACGATCGGGTTACGCAATGACGATCCGTAGGCTCATGCACTGGGGATTTTATTTCCGTCGTAGTCTTCACCCATCCCAATTTCGATTATGTTAGCTGTCAATTGTCTATTCTACAGAGCAAAGAAATACACTGAGTGAACTTTGGGGCAACCACCATATTACCATCACATATTGGCGCATGCTTGTCTGGAAGTTTAGAAGCAATAGAGGAGACCGGAACCTGCATGATGAAGTATCCACATGAATGTAGATATTAGAGACATAGAACTTTGACACCATTATGAGGCTCTCTGCTCTCTATAAGTGAGCTACTCAGATCATTAGGGAAACGGTTGAAAAAAGTGACATGAGATGAATGGCTGTCTCGTTACACTCCAAATGGACAAAGCCATACAGCTTGACTCATCACTGTAACCAAACCTGACTCCATTACAATGGGAAACAGAACATTACTCACTTTGTGCTTATGCAGACGAGATTTCATATCATTTGTTTCCGGTTCTTGTCATGTTGTCTGCTGCTATACATGTCTGATCAAAGAATGCCCTATGGAAGGACAAAACCTCCAAATCCTGAACATTAAACGACTTCCATCCCATGGCCCTATCTGTGCAAACGCAACAGTTCCAAACACATTACTATCAAACGCCGCAGTTACCGCATGAGCTTCTTATCGCGTGGTAACGCTGTAAGAGTCTGTATCATTTATTACTCATCTAGATTTTTCGATGTTTGTGACATCTCGGAAGTCGAGGTCTTAGGGAGTTTTTTTGACTTGACGTGGTTTTTAGGATTCCAGAAACTGCGGCAATGGGTTTCCTCTTTACTTGTTGTAAACGAAATGACAACTCAGTTCTCCCTGAGCTTGGTTCCCTCACTCCTCTTCGCACTGAAAAGGAAACGGAAACTTTTGTGCGAGTTGGTTGAATTGGTCCGCCGAGACCAGAAGGCGGGATAGGGCAGCCAAGTTCGCGATCGGCAGGTCCGCGTCTTGCATCTCCTGCAAGCTTCTGTCAAGAAGTTTGTACTCAATGACACTGACTCCGTGTGATCGTGTTTCTTTCCTCAGCTTTTCTTGCTCTTCCTTGGACCAGAGTAACTGTCCATGCGATTCAGACTGTATGTCGTTGAACTTTGCGTCGATGGTGCTGGCAAGTTCGTTAAAGAATTGGACCAGTTGGCTATTGTCTCCCAGTAATTTTCGCAGAGCTTGATCGATCTTTCGCATCTTTTCGAGGTTCGCGTTCGCACTGCTTCGGGTGTTCACACGACGTCTCTTCGTGGGTGAGAGCCCGACCGAACTCTGGTCTTGAGTCTGTAGAAGCTCCATTTTGGCCATGATGGCGGCTAGGCCTTGTCGATGGGCCTCTAAGATGTCTTCTTTGGCGGCATCAATTCTCTCCATAATCATCTCTTGGGTATTGTCGGTGGTTCTGGTCGGTGCGTCAGGCGCTTCTACCATGGCGACATATTGGTACTCCAGAAGGTCTTCGTCCGCACTTCGGACGGTTTCTAGCCAGGTCTCGTCGTGCTGAGCGCACCACATAAACACTTTGTTTTTGTACTCCTCACTGAGCACCTTGATCACCGGCTCCGACAGCCAGTGAGCCATTCCAGTGGCAAGTGATGCCTGGTCGCATCCTCGATTCCCGAGGCGAATCGCAATATCTCCAGCTTTTTCCATGGCTTTCTCCCTGGTCATCACGTACGTGGCCTCTACAAGTCGAGGATTTGTAGCCGTGGTGGAAGCTAGAGCAATCAGGTCGGTCACTCGATGCGCCATAGTGTAGGTAGGTCTGATTCTCGTTGATCCTTCAAGTTCCATGTTAGCAAACATCTTTGCGGTCATTAGATTTCCGCCGTTGACTCACAAAGTGGTTATGATGTGTGTATGAAAGAGTCTTGATTGAGTGAGTTCCAATACCGAACTAGATCTTTTTCAACCTTGAAAAACAAGGAAATCAATACAGGAGAGTGTTGAGGGCGTGATGGAAAGGAAAAGTGAAGAAGAGGATGTAAACAAACAATTGTGCAGCTAGCAGCAGTAACAGGCGGTAACTGGCCGACAGTGATTCACAACTGCTCATAAACGATGCGCATTGCAACTTACACTTACCACTGCAAATCGCAGTATTGCCGCGGGCGTTGATGGCCTGGAGACACACGCTTGCACTGTCAAGTTTCTTAAATGCTAATGACATAATTACTACAATGTCCCGAGCGATTTGTTTTGAACTATCTGTACGCGAAAGAGCCCCTGGGACTGCGATTAGTTCCAGTGAGTTCGCATTTAGTAATGTGAAGCTCAAATCCTGGGTTGCTTCCTTGAACAAGATCACAACACTGATGTAGCCGGTTCTCTCTAGCTATGCTTCTTTCGTTTCATTCAGGACACTAGCCCTATTCGCATTGTGGAGGGAGTTGATGGTGGCCACGGAGGGCCTTATTCTCGCAGCGTCTTCGGCAGACTACACGTAATTTCGAAGTGTCAGTAGTATATAAAGCCAAGGAATTGTGCCAGCTAGGCAATATCGGCATCATGCTGTCCCTCACTTCTCTAGAATCTTGGGAAATGTTAAGCATACAGTTCCTCTTCTCAGATTCAGACAGTTAGGAGCAAGCAAGACTCCCAGCCGAATAGCAGATAGTGGTTGCATACATCGATACATAGCAGGCTGTAGCGGCATGTCCACGATACGTCAACAACATCGAGGAGAGCGAGCCAACTGTCGGTCCCTCAACCGATGAAGCAATCTCCTGTGTTAACTTTAGCGAGACTCAACGACTTGCGAAGAACGTGGTGGCTGTTGCTGCCCCAAATCTCAACAATAGCCAAATACTTCCGGTATGGTGTAGTGGCTAACATTTCGCGCTCTCATAACCTGAGAGATCAAGTACCGCGGAGCCCAGGGTTCGATTCCCTGTACCGGAGTTGCTTTTTGCAACTCGTTGTGATTGCGACACTTGTCGTTTCGGCGTTCTTTTTGCGGTCATCTTTGTCGCTTGGTGGGTGGGTGGTTGAGTGACGGCTAATTGATGTTGGCTGGGATGGAACAGACTCTGCAGAGGTTGGTTAATCTAGTTGAGCCTTCTCGATCAATTTGTTGTTAATGAGAAGAAAGATAGGATCAAGACAAGTCATTAAGGGGTTCGTCAGCTTTCAGCAGATGACTAACGATCCTGGCAATTGATGATGACATGAAATGGGGACTTGCCATTCCTAGAAACCACGTTTCGGAACAGGAAGGTTAAGCTTTGGCCCGACTGTTCTCCTCCATAGTTGCGGGGATTAGCATTCAGCAACCGTCAGCTCTAACCTGACTTCTTCACCAACACATCATCAACGCTACTATGAGCATACTGAGCAGCACATCACAAATAGCTCGTCTTCGGTGCATAAGCCATACGAAACCTTGACATCCCACCCAGGATAGCTTTTCGTCCTCTTAGGTCCTCTACGCCTCGCCTTCTTTCATCAAAAGTCAACCACTAGTCCGGTATGGTGTAGTGGCTAACATTTCGCGCTCTCATTCAATGAGAGAGAATCTTCTCGATCCGCGGAGCCCAGGGTTCGAT